TCGCAAGATGCCATGGTCGAGACGCTATTAAGATAAAGCACGGCCGGGCCTTGACTGGAGTGTATACTTAATCTCCTCAGGCTGTCGACGTGTGTCCTCTCCACCCTGCCGTAAATCAACATGGTGAAGACGTTCCTGCTGGGTCTGTTGACTACCTCAACCACCATCTCAGCCCTCTAATCGAGACTCGTGGCTCATTCTCTTTCTGATACCCCAGTCCGACGGACCAGCGCGTCTCTCCGCCATCAGGGCGAATGCCAGCCTCCACGCCGACATTGGTTTAGATGGCCTCACCCTGCTCCCGCGACACTACAAGCAAAAGCTTGAATTGGATGATACAGATCGATGCCCGCTAGGTGATTGCTGCGCCGTTTACCAGAACTGCACCCCGGATGGATGCTGTGACAAGCCTAAAGTCGGCTGCGGCGCCGATGGCTACTACAACCCCGACGAGGAAGTATGCTGTGAAGTTCACGGAACTTACTGCCAAATTGATACGAGTGCATAAACACGGGCTGTTGCCCAAGTGGCAAAAAGAATGCGGCATCGGTAGTTGCCTCAACCCCAATAAACGCGTATGCTACCCTAACGACGGAACGACGAGTCCCTTAGGCTACACCTGCGAACCGGAGGGGTGCTGTGGCGAGGGCTGGAAAGGATGTGGCCCGGATAAGTGCTATGACCAGGAGGACCGGATTTGCTGCACGGCGGGGGATAGTGCGTGGTCTGGCCCGGTAGGGGAGAGGTGCCGCTCAGCTTCGCAGAGCGGCTATGACCCGATACCGAGATATCCTGTGATATCGGAGCGTGCAATGAATTGAGGAGGTGTTGCGAGAATTAGTGCTGCGATGAGGGTACGAGATGTGGGAGTGATGGGTACTGTACGGCGACAGCTACCAGGCCGACTACAACTAGCGACGGACTCTCGCTTCCCACAATCGATTCCTCGTAGACTGCCATTGTGACAATCCCAGTGCTTGTTACGTCGACAGATGCAGCTGCAAGGGCGATGCTCAACATCTGGCGTCTGAGCTTGCCAATTCTGCCTATGCTCATGACATTTGTCAATGCGATATGAGCAGGCGCAGTATAACTACGGTATTAAGCAGTCCTGCAGCTCAACTGTGGAATAAGTATGGACCAACTCACGGCAACGCAATATCTAGTCTTTCCTGCAATTACCCTGGCAGTTCTGTGACTGGCCCCTCAAACACTATAGCACTTTACAAAGCCTTGTGCCTCAGTCAATTAGGCCTCAACATTTTCCGTTTATGTCTCTGTGACCTTGAAGAACTTACTGCAAGCCTACACCTACAATGCTCGGAATAGCAAGACAGCCGTTCCCTCGTCTTGTTCATGAATTGGCGCCTTGGACCTCTCTGCCAGCCTTTTCTGGAGGCTGGATATTACTTCCTGGACCTGCGATCGAGACTGGGGCAGGCATGCCTTAGGATTGCAAACCATGCACTGGGCCTGTTAGTTCTGGCTTCGTTGACCAGTGAACCTGATGCATAGGTCATTGTGCATCCGAGGAAGAGCGGATTGACACCTTGGCCCCTGAGTCCTGACAGAGCCCCGACCGTCGTTGATCAAGCCCCTTTTTCAGACAAGGCTTACTCTGGCTTAACCCTTGGCCCGGCTGAGGCTCTATGTCATCACCTTTGTGCAACTCAAGACCGAGAGTAGAGGGGAGCGCGTATTCTGGCGACAGACCCACCGGCTCCGAGGACCACCATGCCTAAAAGGGGCTGTGTTCGAATTTGCCAGTATGGTAATGTACATACAAACTGTAACAACGCTCCTACAGAGCATTGAAGGCCAAAATTGCTAAGTCATGCGTTAAGGTACGGGTACATTAATTTGTATAAGGTCTCCCACACAAATTAATGTACCCGTACCTTATTGGCAAACTTAATAAAAAAGACCTTTGCGAACTTATTTTGAAGCTATTTTGAGGCGTAGTAAACGCGTTTTTTGACTGTAGAATGGTGTTGAAGGCCGCCGACGCGCTGGTACTTGAATTTTTATAGGAAATCGCATACAAATTAAAGTACCTGTATTTGTGAAGCTTTTTGGTCTATCCGCGCGGTGTTGGCCTAGGAATAAGGTTGTTAACGCGCTGGCAAGGCCACCAACGCGCTGGTACTTGAATTCCTATAGGGAATTGCATATAAATTGAAGTACCTGTATTCGTGAAGCTTTTCGGTCTATCCGCGAGGTGTTGGGCTAGAAATAAGGCTGTTAACGCGCTGGCAAGGCCGCCGACGCGCTGGTACTTGAATTTCTATAGGAAATTGCATACAAATTGAAGTACCTGTATTTGTGAAGCTTTTTGGTCTATCCGCGCGGTGTTGGCCTAGGAATAAGGCCGTTAACGCGCTGGCAAGGCCACCGACGCGCTGGTACTTGGTTTTCTATAAAGAAATGTATATAATTTAAAGTACCTGTATTTGTGAAGCTATTCGGAGGTCTATCCGCGTGGTGTTTGGCTAGGAATAGGGCTGTCAACGCGTTGGTAAGGCCGTTAGTGCGTTAGTAAGGCCGTTGACATGCTAGTACTTGGTTTTCTATAAAGAATTGCATATAATTTGAAGTACCTGTATTCGTGAAGTTATTTAGAGGTCTATCCGCGTGGTGTTTAGCTAGGAATAAGGCCGTTAACACGTTGGTAAGGCTATTGGCGCGTTAGTAAGGCCGTTAACGTGCTGGTACTTGGTTTTCTATGGAGAATTGCATATAATTTAAAGTACCTGTATTTATAAAGTTATTTAGAGGTTTATTAGTATAAAATTTGGCTTGGTAGGTGGAGGGCTTACCTGGTTAGGGTGTGTATATATAAAAATACGTGCCGGGTTTTATTATAGCTTTTGTTTATATAAGGATTTTTATATAAAGTATAGCTTTATTTAAACAAGAACCTTACATGCCGCTTTGCTTGTAATTATGCTCCTAACTTTGCAAGCTTGCAGCGCCATAAAAACGTGATAAAAAATTAAAATAAAGTAGAAATATTAAGAGAGTGAAGTTGGTTTGCTTTATATAAGTTTTTTTAGTATTTAAATTCATGGAGTTCTGGAGTTATTTACTGTTTTAATAAATAGTTAATATCTAACAATAAAATATATATTTAAATATAGTGGTAGTTGACTCCGGAACTTCTTTGGTAAATTTACCTAAGTCCAAATTCTGCCAAAGCAGCCTAAAATACTCTCTTTTTATTAGCCGCAGCCCACCAACCGCACCCTTAAGGTTATTAATACTGCGCAGTTTCCCCCTAAAACACTATTTAATATACAGGTACATTAATTTATATAGTATCTACCATACAAAGTAATGTACCTATATATCTAACTAAGTTTATTATAGGTTACTGCGGCTAGTTTGTAGTAAAGTTTAACTACATAGCCTTGTAACGAGGTTGTTTGGGTTTGTATGTTATTTTCCATACAAACGCGAATAGTAAAGTAACCGAAAAATGGTGGGTCCGGGAGCGGTGGACCTGTCGCCAGAATACGCCCTCCCGAGTAGAGCACTACTAATTTAGGGCGAGATAGACCCGTATCTCAGCAGCGTGACGTCTGCCGATGAGAAATAGTAGATAGGCCCCATTTCCTCCATCAAAAAGCATTGAACCGGGGTTCATTATGATTATCTAGTCATTGATTCGGGATTCGCTTCCTATTCCAATGTCCTGACTGACCTTCTCAAGCTGAGGCAGCGCCCTGCCTTGTCCTACTTAAAGACAACGCCATAAAATCTCGATCTACCTCCCCGGATCGATTCGACCTTTAGGTTCCTGCACCGGCTTTTCCCATATCATTTACCATCCCAAACTCCACCAGGAAATGTTACTTTCCAAATGGTGTTCAGGCCGAGACAAATTTGCCCTGTTCGGGCGAGGAGTATACCTCGTGCTGCGACTACAGGGACCTCTGCATGTCAAATGGCCTCTGCTTAGCGACGAGAAATCAGCCCTACACCTTATCGCGAGGGGCCTGCAAGGACCAGAAGTGGGACCAGGGGTGCCCGCAGTACTGTGGTTAGTCCATCTACTCATATTCCACCGTGACGTACCCTATTCTTCGTAACTTTGCATGTAAGCTAACGAGCTTGTACAGCGGTAGTCAGTCCTGCAGCGGCATTTCTCGCTATGTCTCCGGCAGCAATGACTCGACTTCGGGTACGACGTGTCGGGACGGCGAGCCGTTCACTGTTGCTGATGCGGAGGCGCTACCGGGGAATGCTCTGTTGGCAAATATCAGTTCGTTTAATGCGACCACGGCCTCAGTGTCAGGTTCTTCGAATGAATCATGTTCAACACCATTGTCACCGTCCACAGGTACCTGTTCAAGCTCGACATGCTATGAAACCGTGGTCGGAGCTGGTGTTGGTGTTCCACTCGGCATTATCGTTTTGGCGTCAGTTGCATGGGCTGTCTGGGAGCAAAGAAAGAGAACGCAGGCGTTACCATCTACGACCTCGCCTCCTGAACAGACATCGGCTGCCGAGCCGCCTGATACCTAGAATAACGGGTTTATAGAGTGCACAGAAAACGACGGATGTCCAGCTCAGCGACAGTGGCCTGTCGCGGAACTTCACGTATAACCCCATGAGGCTCTCAACTATTCTGTATAAGCGGGGCTCCTGCATTTTATTATTGGCGTATTTGCTTCTCTTTTACATCTTAGCAACGATGCCTTGATCTCAACAGCGATCGGACCCTTTCCTATCCAGCCTTGCGCTGCTAAACGAGCTGAATTCTTTCATGGGCTCTCAATCTAGGCCCCCAACATTCCTAAGAGACGAGAGGACAAGAAAATGGCGAAAATGGTAAGGGTCCTGCGGCTCCAGCCAGGGCTCAGCCACCACATTGCGCGTTGGGGCCAAACTAGCACCGAACAATCTAATTGCTTTGCCTAGGTCTCAGCTGGGGTAAAGCCTGGACTTCTCCATCTTTTTGCGTGCTTCTTTTCTCTCTTCAAGCACAGACCTCAACTAGGATGGCCACAACAGCTACAAGAAGGCTAACGAAACCACGGTCTCGTAACGGCTGCATCACATGCAAGTAAGGCGCAAGTCAACGCCGACCTTGCAAAAGTCGTACTGACAAGCCCAGGATTCGACATGTAAAATGTGACGAAACCAAGCCCTACTGCACGCAATGCCAAAGCTCTGGGAGGAAGTGCGACGGGTACGATAACGTCTCGCAGACCCAACTTCGCCAGCGCATCACCGAGCGCCACCAACCGCTCAACAGAAACGTCTTGAGCGCAGACCACCGACTTATTCTACGACAGGAGAGTCCGACCGAGAGGCGCTACGTCGACTTCTTCAACACGCGCACATCGCATGCTTTCTCTGGCTTCTATGATAGCAAGCTGTGGTCATACCTTATACCTCAGTTCGGGGAGTATGAGCCAAGCGTGCGGCATGCTATTACTGCCATTGGGGCGATCCATGAGCGAGTCGAGCTTAGTGCTGCAGAAGAAGCTGGCGATGCAGTTGTCCTGAGGGAGGGCGGCTCAGCACCAACGGAGCGGTTCGTGCTTGAGGAGTATAACAAGTCCATTCAAACACTGGTCAAGTCGCTTTCTGCGCAGAGCCGAGGGGGTAACATTGATCTCACGCTAACGGCGTGCTGTCTGTTTATATGTCTGGAGATGCTGCGAGGGAACCGGAAGGAGGCTTTGGATCATATCGAGGCCGGACTGCGGATAATTTACAAGCATGAACAGTCCACGCCACCGGGCTCAGCTTGGACCAGCGAGCTATACCAACAACTCCGCGACCTCTTCCTCCGACTCAATCTCCAAGCAGCGTTTATGAGTCGTCTATTGATGCCACTGAGCATGGATTCGTTAGATACCAGGCCGGGGCAGACCTTCATGAACTGGCCCGAAGCAAGATCGCAACTCGACCAACTAATGACAAAAGCCCTACTTTACATTCGCACCGTCGGCATCATGCGCGAAAAACGACCCCCAGCACTCGAAGCTGAGTTAGAAGCTGAGCAAGAGCAGATCCTCATTGAAATACTGTCGTGGCGATCATCACACGATAAACTTCTCCACAAACTAGGACCGAACATCCAACAATCAGATCTCTGCGCCTCCCTATTACTCCGAGTGTACTACTATATTGCACTGATGTGGGTTAGAGTTGTGCTAAACCGTGACGAGCATGGATACGATAGATACACCGTCGATTTCGAGTCCGCGGTATGCTACGCTGAGGAGATTATCCGCCTAACCTCTCTCTGTCCCGACTCGACGGCAGCGACGACTACCGACAGTGCGAAAACAAAACAAGCAAAATCAGTCTTCTCCCTCGAAGGTGAAATCATCGGACCCATGTATTTCACGGCCGTCCGCTGTAGGAATCCGTCTCTCCGCCGCCGAGCGATCAATACTCTCCTTCACTACTCCAAGCGCGAGGGGTTTTGGGATGCGCGGATATATGCAAATGTCGCTAAACTTGTTGTTGAGGTTGAGGAGAGTCAATGTTCGGAGCCGCCGACAAGCGAAAAAGACATTAGCTCATTGGCAAGAGTGTATGAGGAGGTGCAACCGAAGGATTTCAAGCCGAACCCGGTGCAGGTCCTGCTCTATATGAAGCCCGAGGGGGTAGATGGGCCATGGAAGATGAGAAGTTATATGGTTGAGTGGTAGTTTTCTTCTAGTCGTACTAGCGTTGGCTTGCTGTTTCCTATACATCTGCATTCTCAATTGACGGATGGCCCGTCAATCTTGCTTCATTTGATTCCGCATATACAGTAGCCCAATCATCTATCCAGAGGGTATCCAGATGGTCTACCATAGCCGAAGTTTCTCCCATGACCCAAGCTCAAGCCCGTAGCTAGACAGCTAGGTACTTTTTACAACGGGCACATGCTCGGGAACGAGGTTGAACTGTAGGCTTCTCAGTGTCTGATCTCCTTCTATTGATGGCTCGAGTCCCAAGCTTTGAGCTTTCTTTCCACCACTAATACCCACCACGGAAGCCAAGTTTCGAATACTTGGCTCATGGCCAAGTCCCGCCAAGCCAATAGTCTAGGTGTAATGTGGCTGAATTTCAGGGTTTTTGGACCTTCTTATGGTGTTTTATAAGATAAGATACGTTCATCTTACACCTAGCACACGCTAAGTGGAGGGCCAAGAATTCGAAACTTGGCTTCCGTGGTGGGTAGAGCGGTTGCACATATAAATAACGTAAGATTTGTGCGTGTAACCTTACTATGCCTGTGCTCGTGTTATCAGACTGAAAACCAGCATACTATAGCCCAAGCACATGATTGGCTGATAGCTAGCGGCGCTAACCACCATAGGTATAGCGTTATGCTCTATTTGTGCCTAAGGCTGCACCAGATTGTTTGCTGACGACGATATTATTTCAACTCCCATCTCACCCTCTACTCAGACATCCAAGACAGCAGCATCCCTAGGTCTCCAGGCTCCAATATCTCCCAGCATATCCATACGCCAGCCGAATTGGACACTAACCGCAACCCAGATCAAAGTCCCAGCTCAATCCATACCCCACACTCAGTGTAGCACAAACAGCAATGGCCGCCCCCGCCAAAAGACCCGAGATCATTGAGATCGCACGCGAGCTGAAGCATGTTCCTATGTGCGAGGACTACGAGAAGATGATTTCGGGTATGATGTACGTTTACGTTCCTCATCCACTAAGCCCAAACCGCGGCACGAACCCTACGCTAATCAATCAGGTACAACCCGCTCCTCCCCGCGCTAGTCGCAGCCCGGCACCGCTGCCGCGGCGTAGCAAGCGACTACAACAGCGTCGACACGAAGACCGTGCCCTGGGAAGAGATCGCAGACCGACGATTTGAGCTACTGAAGAATGTCGTTGGGCGAGTTGGCGAGGGCACGTTCATCGAGCCGCCCTTCTTGCCGGATTACGGGTGTAATATTGTTATTGGGAGGGAGTGCTTTGTGAATTTCAAGTATGCGTCTCTCCTCCATTGCCCGAGTATCTAGCTTTAGGCTGATGATTATGTTTAGCTTTACGGCCCTGGACACGAGCTTGATTGTCATTGGTGATCGTGTCCAGTTCGGACCGAATGTCTCCATCTACACGGCGGGTCATGACACGAGTATTCTATCCCGCCGCAAGTTCGTTGAGTTTGGGCATCCCGTGTTTATTGGGGATGACTGCTGGATTGGTGGGAATGTGATCATCCTGCCTGGAGTGAAGATAGGAGAAGGCTGCACGATTGGCGCTGGGTCTGTTGTCACGAAGGATATCCCTCCTTTCTCGGTTGCGGTGGGGAATCCTTGTAAGGTGCGCAAGACTATTCAGTCTGCGGAGGAGGAGATGGAGGACCCGAAGAATCCGTGGAGGGATTTGCCGGAGAAGTCGGGGTAGTTGGCAGGAAGTGCCGGGCTATGGACATAAGTGGTTTGATCCTGGCTCTGTGCTCAATTTAGATGAACCACGGAGTCGGATTTGCTGGCATTCTCCGAATATGGAAGAGCAAATGAGATCAGAAGTAAGACCTAGATAGCGCCTTGATGATAATGGTGTAGATCGTGGACCTGTGCCATCGGAGTCGCGAGCAGAGCTGAGCGGCAACCATCACAGGCCTTGATCGTCAATTACAAGACCCCCCAACCGCTCCCTATCGCTAGATGGCCTGTATATCCGTACCCTGCACCTTATAACGTTAGATAATAACTTCCCTTACCGTGCGGGTGTACAGAATAAACTTGCAGAGATAACACCTGTCTTGACGGGTTTCCCTGGTGATGGAAATGCGGAGGCTAAAGTGCAGTTGAATCGTCTCAAGGCTGTAGGGGATATCGATGATGAGGGGAGCGGAGGAGATAGGTGAGCGTGGAATAGGAGTGGTCACTGGGGCTATTATGGTTAGTATGGTTCCTTGGGCTGGTTGCTTCAGTTCTGTCTATGGTGGTATAGTACTTCTCGGCACAGATCATGAGATCTCATTCTTGTTTTACTCGTATATGTTCATATTTGAGGTCAAATATAGAAGCAGACTTGGTATCATTTCTCAGAGCCCATTGAGGGAACCATCACGTAATCTTCCTAGTGATGCTCGTTGACAATAAAGGCTACGTCGCAAGAGACATAAGGCCAGACGCAACCTCCTCAATGAGCCCCCTTTTCCGCGGTCCTCCGATTCATCGAGACGGAATCGCACCAAGCCCATAAAACGCCCCCGCGGAACCCCATGTTGTGGCATATACCGCACCAACGGTGTCCGTATCCAGTCTCTACAGCAAGGTCCTCTTTGTTGGCACCATCCAAGCCGCGTGCAATGAGCTTGGTATAATCAGTAGATTAGACAGCACTCAGCGCATCTCGGGTATGGATGGGTTACATCTGAAGAAGCGGAGGCGTGGTACAAGTCAAGGCTGCTTCCATGATACGGAAGAATACGGTACGAGGCCAATTGAGGACGCGCGTGAGAGAGCCGTTTTCGCAGTATCTCTACCCCGTATGTCAGTCAACCCTGGCGTAATTCATCATCGAGGGGAAAGACCTCATGCTTCAAAGCCTGATTTCAGGCTGGTCATCTTCGTGACCTTCGGGATCGTCAGGAATGATTGCAGGAGATCGGTCAAAGTAGAGCGGCCCACCCATTACCAAAATCCCACCCACTAGCGAAATTGCTTTTTAAAGATAATACTAAAATTATTATTTCACGAGTTTGTATTTTAATAATGTAAATATAATAATATTATAATAATTTAAGCTATATTAAATAGCTATAAATTTACTTTATTTAATAATATATTTTTTTTTATTTAAATTAATTGCATGGCGGGATTATTAAAAATTTTATTAAGGTAGTTTTTTTAGCTAGTCTTAGTTAAATTTTTAACCTTAATTAACTATAGGTTTATATTATTTAATAAATTTTAATGCTAGTTAAATAAAGGTGCTTTATAAAGCCTAAAGCTATTATAAATAAATATATTAAGGCTTTATAAAAAGCCTTTATAATACTTTATATAAAACTAAAAAAGGTTTATAAAACTTTTAAAGTTATTATTTAATTAAAAGTCCGGGAACTTATATTTAGCTAGTAAATTATTATATTTATAGTAGCTAGGGTAACTAGGTATTTTAATAATTAAAGTTAAGGGTATTTAGCTTGCAGGAGTTAAGTTTATATAACTATTTTATAATATTAAAAATAAAAATAAAAAAGGCTTGGATATTTAACTTCGCAGGGGTATTAAAGGTATAATAAAAATAAAAAATAATAAAAAAATAAATAAAGCTCCTAATAGCTAGGCTTTTTTAATAAATTACTTAAAAAGTTTAGCCTTTTATTTAGCCTTATATTTTATTATTATTTTTATAGCCCTTTTTTACTTAGCCTTATTTTTAGTAATTTTTTTAAGGCGCCTTTTTTTATTTTTAATAGCCTTGTTAATTTACCTTTTTTTATTTTTAGTAGTTTTTAGGCGTTTTTTTTTATTATTAGCCGCTTTTTTAGCCTCTTAATCCGCCTTTTTGGCCTTTTTATTAGTAATTTTTTTAAGGCGCTTTTTTTTATCTTTTACAGCCTTTTTAGTATGTTTTTTATTTTTTTTAATAGCCTTTAAGCAGCGCCGCTTTTTTACCTTTTTTTTATATTTTTTTTTTTTTTTCTTATGTTTCTTGGCCTTTTTATATTTTTTTTTTTTAGCGTGCTTAAGCGCCGCGATAGCTTTTTTTTTTTTTTTTCCTGCTTTATTTAAGCCTTAATAATATTTACGTGCTTAAAAACATAGCTAAGGCGTAGGGATTTATGCTACTTAATTTTTTTTTTATTAAGCTTTTTTTAATATTAAAAACTATTTTAAAGCTAATAGCCGTGGTTGCAAATTAGGAGAAGATTATAATTTTTAGCCTTTTATTAATTTATAATTTTATTTATAATATAGGCTTGTGTTATAGGGGAATTTATAAGTAATATATTAAGCTAGTATATTATATTTTTATAGTTATTTAAAAACTGCTTATATTAGGAGTTAGGCGTAAAGTTAGGTGTAAAGTTAATAGGTATTATAATTTTTTAATTAAGTTACTTTTACTTTTTTTTTTGCTTAATCCTAGCTTTATTATATATAATTTTTAGCTTAATTAGCTAGATCCCCGTAGTTTTAAAAGTAGACTAAATATTATTTATAAATATAGCCTTTTTTTTAGCCTTTTAAAAAATTTTTAAAAACTTTTATTAAGTAATATTATATTAGCTAATTTATAACTTTTAATATATTTTTTAAGTGTATTAGGTAGATAAAGGGCTAAATATACTAATATTAAGTAGTTAAAAAAAATAAATAATATAAAAAGGTAAATAAACTAGTATAATATTATAATCCTAATAAGTAAAAAAAAATTTAAAGCTAATATAAAATACATGGCTATTAAATAACAAGATACGTAAAAAAAATTTAATACACTTATTATATTAAGTATAAATAATATAAAAACTTTATAAAATAAAAATATTATATAGCTAGTTAAGGGCTAGCTTTAAGGTATTATATTTTTTTTTAAATTATAAAAAGCACCTTTTTATTTAAAGTAAACACTATTAGCTAGTTTAAATTAATTTTCTTACTTTTAAAAATAACTATTAGGGATAGATACCGGCTAAAAAATAAGTAATATTTAATAATAAATATTTAATTATTACCTTAAGAACTAACTATGGTAAATCCTTTATAATTTTTTATAAGCTATATAAAAAAAACTATATGTTAATAGCTAAAAAAAATATTATATATAAAGCCTTTTTTATTTATATTTTATATATTTTTATAGTTAACTTTATATTTAGCCTTAACGTGTTTAAATAACTTAATAAAATACTTAAGGATCTTAAAATTAGCCTGGTAAAGGCACTTATATTCTAGCTTTTTATTTTATATAATAATAAATTTTTTATTTTTTTACAGGAAGGCTTTATATTAATTTATATTAATTAATTTAAATTTACAGCCTAACCACTTATATTTTTATTTATATAAAATATTAGCAGCGTCTTGCAATATTTTAATATTTAAAAAAAAGTTAAATTTAACCTAATATAATATATTACGCCTAAAAAATGCTTTTTTAATTAAAAATAGCTTTTACCTTAATATATAAGCTTTTTAATAAGTTTAATAGCCTTGTATATAATACTAGAAAGTTATTTAAGATAGGCTATATTTATTTATAGCTTAATACCATGTTTTTTAGTTTTTTTTTATTTAAATAATTATAATTAAAATAACCTTATTTTATAAATATATTATAGGGTCTTCCCATGTTATTTTACAGGCTTTTTTTTTATAATATATTTATTTTTATAGCACTAATTTTATTAAGTAGCTTATTATTAATTTTAAATATTTTAAAGCTATATAACCAGCGTGGACCAGGGGATAATAATTATAAATTTAGTATAAATAAATTAAATAAAATTATAGGTAACTCGCGGCCCTTATTTAAAAAAACTTTTTAAATATTTTATTAAATTTTTATTTACTAATTTTAAATAACTACTTACTAAATATTTTTATAATAAATTAGTAAAGTTATACATGGTTAAAGTTAAGGAGTTAATACTAGGCAATTAAAAATAAAGTTTTAAAAGTGCGTTTCGCTAAGGGGTGGGATTTCAGTAATGGGTGGGCCGCTCTACCTAGCGTTGGCAGGTGATCAGCGCCTTCGTTGTCTCGACTGGGCCTCCGAACACATCACTCACGGCCACATACGGAGTAGATCATCATGAAACCTTCGATTCTGATCTCAACGGACGGACGGTATTCCCATCTGAAGTTCTGAACTGACAGCGTTAAATCATCTCAGATGATTGGAGGAACGTCGATAGGTACGTGGGGTCAACTCCTTGGCAAGCTCTGAAAGCGCTGACAACCAAACACTGGGCAGCCCCCTTCCTGTCGCTCAATTGACCAGCGCAAGGAGTCATTGGTGGATCAGAGCGCTTAGGTGTCCAGACAGAGCAGTGCCTACCTTTAGTGGCCGCAATTAAGGATAATCTGTGATGTTTTCCCAGAGGATTGTGCTTGCTAACCAACATGGCCTAAGAAGCTGCAGGGGAATACAACGGGTTGAGGTAAACAGATTCAGGGGTTCCCATCAAGTTGATGTTAGCTAGAGCCTCGCCTTACATCACGAAACTACCAACCAACCAAAGGGAATCCCAGAATGAACGGCCATAAGCCCTGGACGTGGTCATTTGGCAGATCTTCTCAAACATGTACTTGCTTTTTCTTGCACTGTTAACTAGACTACAGGAATTGCCCCAGCAGTGGTGCTCCGAGACGGAAGAGGTATATGAGATTGAGAGGAGAGAGCTAGGCTATTATGACTGGCCTGGTTGAGGATCTGGTTGAGAGACTGGTCGGCCTTGCTGATTGCCACAGGCTGCGTGCCAGGTGCATCGTTCCTCTTCTTCAAGCCCTCACATCGGCGTAAATTATCACGCCTTTGCTGGTAGATGAAGATGACGGTATCTGTAATGTATACTTCATCTTCTCTACGGAGTACTGCTTCCACCAACCCATCGCCTCTGTTCTTCGCTGACTCCGTGGCCTTGTTGCAGCTCAGCCTTCTCCCTAGCTTAGCGCCTACTATGCAGACCCGACTACTACGGCCGGTATCCGCTGCCAGCTGGTACTCAAACGCCATGTTTTGGCCTTGCAGGTACTGGCTCTTGAGCCCGCTGTGGGATAAACTAGCTCCTCCCCAGGCAAGCTGTATCATTACCTTCAAAGTTTCAGTCAACTTACTATCTCCTATCGCTCCACGCCTAAAGCTACGCTTTTATCCCCTTATTATTCTCGTTAGATCATCGGCCAGCTTCTCTTTCGACGAAATGAGTGCCTTCAATGTCCCCAAGCGCCGCGAGGACTTCACAGTTGCTATTGTGTGCGCCTTGTCCGAAGAAAGTGATGCCATGAGACTCCTTCTTGACGAGGAGTACGACAGAGCCTCGCGCAAGTACCCCAAAGTTTTGGGGGATAAGAACCTCTATACCAACGGGCGCATTGGCAGACACAATATCGTGATTTGCCAGGCCAAGGAGGCGGGGAAAGCCGCCGCCGCTAGTATCATGTCTAGCATGTGGACCAGTTATACCAAGATCGAGATCGTTCTTATAGTTGGTATCTGTGGCGCACTACCCTCCGAGCCTGGTGAAAAGCGTCAGAGGTCTTATGGAGGCAAGTCTTGATATTCCAGACTCGGCCCGTTAGCTAACTTGGTGAATAGACGTGATCATATCCCAGAGTATGAAAGAACATGACCGCGGCAAGGCTCTCGAACAAGGGTTCAAAAGCACAACCATCGTCAAAGAACACAATCGAGAGGTTTCCACTCTTTTGAAGCTACTCGAGTCGGAAATTGACCGCCCCATGTTCGAAACCGTCATCGTGTCGAACCTCATCTATTTGCAAAGCCGGAATGAGAGCTACAAGCGCCCTTGCGCTAAATTCGGCCCCCACGAACAACAAAGCTCGACAGCCGTTGAGCCATGCGACAAAGGCAAGGCAGTATCCAGGGAACTAGTGGTTTTCGATCGCACCGCCGGGGTCACCGAAAGAGACCCAACCAGCACTAGACAAGGTAGAGTGGAGGTGGTCCAATTCCATCTAGGAAGATTCGCATCCGGGGATCAAGTCGTTAAATCGGCCGAATTTCGTGATAACTTGGCTCGGGAACACGAAGTCATTGCCTATGAGATGGAGGGTCCGGGAGCTTGGGACTATACAGTCCCCTGCATAATAATAAAAGGCTTAAGCGACTTCGCTGATGCTTACAAGAACGACGAATGGAGAAAGTATTCGTGTGCCACAGGAGCATCTGCTGCAAAGGCATTTCTGACGAAATGTTGGAAGACTTCGAGCTAATGTTAGTACTAGCAACAGACCATCATTTATTCAAAGTTCTAAGATCTTTGGTGCTAATGACCGTCCTTCGTAGTCACTCAAAGCCTTTGGGCTGTCCCTTTTTCCCGTAACCCAGATTTCGTGGGCCGCGATAAACTCATCAGGAAATTGCGAAGCAAGATTTTATCGCCAGAAGGACCAAAAACCATAGCAGTGTTCGCCCTCGGCGGAATAGGGAAGACCGACTTGGCCGCCGAGCTGCTTCATCAAATGGGAGAGAGGAGTGAGAACACTCCTTTTTCTAGATCTCATGCGCCGGCACTGAGAGCGTCAAGCAAGGTTATGAGAACATCTTGCAGGCTTTGGTAGTTCGCATTGATGACCCATCCGAGACAAGGAAGCACGTCGCGACTCACCTTGAGTCCAGCGTCACCAAGTGGCTGCTTTTGCTAGACAACGTCGACAGTCGGTCTATTTGGGAGGACCTTGAAGCCGACCTACCGAAGAGCAAGAACGGCCAAGTGTTGATCACAACGCGCAACCGAAGCGTTGTTCTGGACGCCTATTGTGATATTGTGGAAGCTCCAGAGCCCAGTGAAGAGACTGCCGTGACATTCTGCGGAACAAACTGAAAGACCAAGCCCGACTGAACGACAAACAGACAACGTCCGAGTTTCTCAAGAGACTCACCCGCCTACCTCTGGCCATCGCACAAGCGGCCTCATATCTGCGCCGCAACGAAAACATCGGGCTATTCAAGTACATGGAGCTCTTTGAGAAAGAGGAATCTGATGACCTCGCTCTGCTGGACACCGGCCTCCACGGCGGAGAGCGCTACCTTGACACGTCCAGCCCCGTTGCTACGACATGGCTTATATCCTTCTCTCAGATCTCGGACATCAGCCCCTTAGCGGCGATTTACCTGAAGCTTATGGCCTGCGTCAGGCACCACAAAATCCCGGAGAGCTTCTTCCCCCAACCCACATCTGAGAAGGAAAAGCTGGAGGCCGTGGGGGACTTGTTGAACTTCTCCTTCGTCACCGCACGCGACAAATCAGGACCCTTGACAATGCATCGTCTTGTGCGCCTAGCGACTAGGAATTGGATGCGGAAGAATCAAGAGTTCACGGACAGTCTGAACAAAGCAGCAAATCGCGTCTGTGATCTCTTTCCTAGTCGGGGCCAGGAAAATAGGCAAATGCAGCACGAGTATCTTCCTCATGCTATGTCTCTTTTAAGTGAGAAAGAAATTGTGCTGGATGACCATCCTTGGTTGCTCGAAAAGGTAGCATATGGTCTATCCGGGAATAGTCGGTACAGCGAGGCTCTGAGACTGTTTACCAAACTCTTTGAGCTTCGAAAGAAGTGCATCCGTCATAGGAACCCAGCCCTCATAGTAGACTCCATGGCCAGCATAGTCACAACGTACAAAGATTTAGGCCAATTCGAGAAGGCCGAGGAAATGGCGATCAAGGCCTTGAAGATGAGCAAAGACGAGCTTGGGGAAGAACACGAAGATACTATTTTTGTCGAGGTTCTCCTTGCGTCTATATACAAGATGCAAGGTCGATGGGGCGAAGCAGAAGAGCTGAATCGACATGCGATAAATGTTCAGACGCGGATCGCGGCTAACCACCGCAATACCTTGGATTATATGGCAGTTGCTGGCTTGTCGTACCAAGTACGGAGAAAAACAGAAGAAGCAGAAATCACCCTTTCACAGCTACTCAGTATGCGAGAGGAGACACTCGGTCCTGATCACCTCAGTACTGTGGACAGCATGGTGGCATTGGCGTCCCTGCCTCGTTTGAACTCACTGCTAGACAAAGCAAAAGGCTCATTTGCTAGATTAATCAAGATCGCTAAACTTGATAATAAGTTCAATCACAGCAAGGTTATCCACATCGGGAGTCAGCTTGCCTCTACTTGTCAAAAACTTCAGGAGCCGAAAGAAGCAGAAAAACTGGTGGGTCAATCACTCGAGATGGCTTGATGGTTCAGGCTTTGGATGAACTAAGAGAGGTCTCTGGAGAAGAGTACATGAATATCACGCTGACAATGTTCATGCTGTGGCTTACGCACAGACGCCATGGTCATCAAGAGAAAGCAGATGCGATGGAATAAGCATTCAAAGACAGACTGAAAGAAGAAGTGCAGAGAGCAAATAACCATCAGACACTGAACACCATGTATGCCTCCGCCCAGGCCCAGCACAACACTGGTGCAACGGAAGAAGCCAGACAGACAATGAAATTCATCGTGCAACTTGCAAACGCGGTACTGTGCCCAACAGACTCAAACATTAAGATCTACGCCTCATTTCCTTCGAAATCAGAAAAAGAGACTGCCATAGTTTTGGCGGGCGCAGCGGTCCCTCCTCAGCCCGAGTCAACGCCAGGGACAAGCCGCCGGCGAGACACTTCCATTCCGAGGCGTCTTTTTGACAACATTGAAAAAAAAAATGTACGAAGCCCACCGAGATCAGGAACACATACTTAGAAGGGAGGCAATTGCGATGCGGTGTTCCTTTTCCAAGGCTGTGTATACTTCAGGCTTATATACATGATTACTTAATCAGGAATGGACTGTTTCTATTCTCAGCCCCAAGCTCGGCGAGCAGCCAATAAGAAAATCACTGCCTCTCTAAGGCATCAAAATAACCATCAAACGGCCGTGAACACCTTGAGACCCTCTCTGCGATAACCCCATAGTACAAACTAAGTCGTTGCTGCGGCCAGCCTCGCAAAAAGGAGAGTCGGACGATCGTCACAGTCAAGGTTTGCGCAGGAATCCGAAGGCGCCTCCATCAGCCTGCTCCGTAGTTTTCCCCTGAAGACGGCGGGGACTGTATAAGAAAGAGAAATGGACTAAATTAAGGGACTCGCTCATAATCAAGCCGTTTCAATAATGGTAAATGAAATACTAGCGAGTAGCGACAAGGACAGCAATTATTTGGTGGAAGCTCAGCACCTCCAGCCGCGCGCCACCCGTGCGTCGTTGCTCAGCCTCTTGTCTCACCAGTCATCAGTTGGTCCCTTCTCAGGAGCTGATCATTTTTCTCCTCTCTCGTTTTTCATCCCCTTGTCCCTCAAGGCTGTCAACTTGTCCCTCAATCAAACTCCTCCTTGTTTCATCACCTAATTGAGCCTCATTTCTTTTTCCTCCTGCTTCCGTCATCCACATTCCACCTCTGTCGCTGTTTCGCGCGCTCCGCCGGTCGTCCCTCCTTTCCGCGGTTCCGACCACAGCTCTTGCGCATACGACACGCTCCCTTGTCCTAATTCTACACCAGACGACGTTGTCGTCCTAGTCACCTAAGATCTTGCTACATTTAATCCCGCTGTATCGTCACAATGAGTGTATGTCTGCCAGCTGAGCTTTGCTGCTGGGGGCCGTTTGCTGCCCCTGGGAGTTGCGTTTAGGCGCCCTACCTACCTTCAACTCGCTAATCGCCTCAACAGTACGGACAGAGCTACAACAATTACCCGGCGTACGGGGAGCAGCAATCAAACCCCTACGGCAACAACCAGGGCTATGGTCAAAACCAATATGGCCAAGATGTCGGTAAGGCGTAGTGCGATACTCTTTAAGCTACTCCAACTGACATATCTGGAAATTTAGAGATGAACCCAGTTCAGCACCCCGTGGATCCTAACAGATTGCTGAACGAGATTCAGAAGATCAAGGAAGGGATTAGAACTCTAGACGACCTCATAGAGAACAGGCTTGCCGTCGCTCAGGGGGCTATGCGTGAATCAAATTCAACAAGGGAAGAAGAAACTGCGCGTCAGGCTCTCCATGACATCCAGCAAGAAATCAGCGATGGTTTTCGGAAACTCACTGACGATCTTACGCGGATCAAGAAGACGCCTGGATCCGGCAATGTCCAGGCGCAGCTGGAAGTCACAACTCGCAGTCTCGGGAACGCATTCGAAAAATACCAGAAGAGCCAGGTAGCATTCTCAAAACAGCTGAAAGAGCAAGTGCGACGACAGGTCGCATATAACATGGAAGGCCAGCCGCAAGAAGAAGTCGAACGGGTTGTCGAGGCCGTTTTGGCTGGCCACCAGCAAGCGTTCCAGGTGAGGACCGTTTACAGGGTTTGTCTCAAGTCGGAGCTAATTAATCTCATTAGGTCTCTGGCGCCAGAACTCAGAAAGCACGAGATGCACAGGCCGCTGTTGCCGAACGTCACAGAGATATCGAGAAGATAGCAACTGATTTGGGAAAATTAAACGAAGACTTCCAACACTTGCAAAGACTTGTTCATGAGCAAGAGCCAGCTGTGCAGCAAATCGACCAGGGCGCGGAGAATGTTGCTCGGGATCTCGGAAACGCGAACACTCAGCTTGGACAAGCTGTCGAGAGTGCGCGCAAGGCCCGGAGATGGAAGTGGTACGCCCTGATTATCGTTAGTAAGTATAACTGCTCCAAAATCATCTATTACTTGCCTAACAGACTATCTAGTCATTATCATTGCCATTATCGTGGCAGTTGCCGTCGGCGTCACTCAGTCGAAATAAATTGCTGGCAATCCGCGCCAGTACATCCACAGTGGAAGATATTCTTCCGTTTTTCCATCCGTTGTTCGATTAGTTTTCCTGTCATCCTGTCCGAAACGAAGTTGCAATTGGTTTCCAAACCTAGTTTGGTTTTACTTCGAGCACCCCTGCCTGCCCTGGGAGTTTGCTCGCAGGACCCTACGAAGCCCTCTGCCTCGTCCTGTTTTCTTCCCTTTGTTGTCTTATCAGCTATACCACGTCGCGCCTTGTTTCATTCCGTTACTGTTTGAAAAGCTTTCGATTCGCACTGTCGTTTTCCCATTGCCCGCTGATGATCATGTACAGTTGCATCTATGACGCGGCTTGACTGACCCTGTCGCTGCTCGTTGGCTAGGATGCGCATACTGTTGTCGCTGTATATATTAGACTCTTCGCTTGGTTTCACTTGGCCCTAGAATTTATGTGATAGTCATCACCTAATAATCTTAATATCTTTTGTTACCGGGTATTTGTAGTCTCTCTTTTCGCCGGTTCTATATTAATGCCCCTGCCTCTCCTTCTCCCTCTGCTCCTCCTCTGGCGTCTTTGTTTTCAACTGCAGCGCGTGGATCCCACCATCCTGGCTCATTTCGTCTTTTAGTAATCCGTACACCATCCGATGTCTGGCGGGTTGCATCTTGGACTGAAACGCAGACGATGTAATTGTGACACTTCAAAAACCATCAGTACAATATCGGCGTATGTAAAGGAATATATACATACTGAAAATGGGTCTCCTTCGACGTCGATCCTTGCATTGGCGCATGGTGCGCGTGTAGATGCGAGTCGTTGCGGATTATCAAGTTGGACGGGGAGAATGCTGTGGTGATCTAATGAGAAGAAATAACTACAGTTAGCCACTGTCCATGTTGTTTTCAAAGTAGAGAGATGAGACAGGAATGGAATGTAAACTACCTTCTCCCTCATAACATCTTCCATGGGTGTTGCTGTTTTCGAGGACATTCTGCGGGCTGTGGTTGAGAAAAGGCGGCGGGTGAGCAGGCCGGGGAGGACGAGACGGGGCATTTATGATCTGTATGAAGAGAATAGTTGCTGAGGATGAAGAAGTGGGTTATATGCGTGCTAATGGACGGGCTGGCTTCTTGCAGCTGTTGAATGTCATTCGATTTTATCGGAATCGGATTGGAGAGCTGCGGTGCCCTTTTGGGAATGGTCGATTTAAAGAGGACCGAGGTACTCCTACCCAGCTTTATTGGAGATCTTGGTTCTGCTTATTGCGAGGCCACTTTACGCTACATTGATTCGCTCATATATAATGTGCCATTGATTGAAGAAATCTAACACTCCTCAGTTCCAAGAGTGTACCGCAGTCGCATGACCGCCGAGGTAGCTCCGAGACCGCAATTTTCATGACATCAACGCATCTTTTCTTCAGCTGCAGGAACATGCCAATCGCACCCTGATCACACCTCGAAATGCATCAACGCACATTACTCTCCGCCTCTCGCGGTGTTCTCCTTTCCCGCCGTGCTTCTTTAGCGTATCTCACCTGCAAATCATGCCGAACGCGCTTGAACTTCGGCTTCTCTGCCCGGCGATCCCTCGCAACACTCCCGAACCTCCCTCTTTTTCGCGCCCTGAAGAACCACGATCCCGCCAGCCTCGCGGTAGTACATAACCCGTCGTTTCGGTCATTTACATATGGGAACCTTGTCGCGGATGTTGTCCAGGCGCAGGATCGGCTTTTGAAGTCATCTGGTAGCGGGCGCGATGGGCTGCGAGGGGAACGAGTCGCATTTCTTGCGGAGAATAGCTATGACTACGTAGGTACTGTTTTCTCTTGGGTGGTCTTGGCTCTTATGTGCATGGGTGCGTTGCTAATGGATGGTGATTTTCAAAGTGATGCTTCTTTCGATTGTTGCTAGCGACGCAATTGCCGTTCCATTATCGACGGGGTTTCCGATCCACGAGTTGAAGTATATCATGGATAACTCTCAGGCAGGGATGCTGGTTGCTACGAAGCGGTATGAAGATATAGCGCAGAATATAATGGACGGAGGCTTAGATCGCCAGCCTATCCTTGATGTGCGGAGCAAAATTACGGCTGGTGCGTCCGGGATTGGGGTTATAGAACTGGAAGGTTTGGATGGGGTAAACGGCGGTATGATGCTGTATACGTCTGGGACGACGAATCGTCCGGTATGCCCACAAAGCTGTTGGATAAATGGGAGAACTAACGTGGTGACCAGAAAGGCGTTTTGATTCCGCAGTCTGCACTCGCGGCGCAAGCCGCTTCTCTGGTAGAAGCGTGGAAATACAGTCCGGATGACAGGCTTCTGCACCTTCTCCCACTGCACCACATCCACGGAACAGTGAACGCGATTCTCACGCCAATTCTATCAGGCTCATCAATCGAGTTCATGTTCCCATTCAACCCCACTGCGGTATGGAAACGGCTTGCCGAGCCCTTTTTACCAGAGGGGACGAGAGACAAAATCACATTCCTCAACGCCGTACCAACTATTTACAATCGCCTCCTATCAATCTATCCCACTCTCCCTCCGGAAATCCAGCAAGCAGCGAAGATCGGCATCTCCCCCGAACACCTGCGGCTCAACATCTCCGGCTCCGCAGCACTTCCTACCCCAACGAAGAAAGCCTGGCAGAATGTCAGCAACGGCAACGTCCTCCTCGAGCGCTATGGCATGACTGAAGTCGGTATGGCGCTTAGCTGCGGACTCGACTTCGCGGATCGCGTCGACGGCAGCGTCGGCTGGCCTCTACCTTCCGTTGAAGTCCGACTCGTAGACACCGACACAAACGAGGTCATCCATCCTGGCGAAGAAACAGACGCTAGTGGAAGAATTCGTGAAGGAGAAATCCAGCTCCGTGGCCCAACCATCTTCCGCGAGTACTGGGGCAACGAAAAAGCGACAAGAGAAACGTTCGCTCCGGACTCTGACGGTAAGGGGTCTTGGTTTAAAACCGGTGATGTCGCGACCCGCCGTACCGTTGAAGCTGCTGGCCGGGAAATGAGTGGCGATTGGGCGAAGGGGCCTATGTACTTCATTCAAGGCCGGCGCAGCGTAGACATTATCAAGATTGGCGGGGAGAAAGTCAGCGCATTGGAAGTTGAGCGGGAGTTGCTATCTCTGTATGCTCCTCCCATCCCTTCCCAGTTTCCTCTCCGAATTCCCAGTTCCCTTGTTTGATCCTTGAAACTAACTCAAGCTAGGCCGCAAATCGCAGAGGCAGCCGTTGTCGGTCTTCCTTCCGAGCAATGGGGCCAGAAAGTCGTAGCGATCGTCGTGCTTAATACCGAGGTTGCCGCGCAAACAGGCCGCAACGGGAAACCCTGGGGCGCGCTAGATATGCGTCGCGCCCTGAAAGATCGTTTGGCGGGGTATAAGTTGCCGTCTGAGATGAAGGTTTTGGACGGGGCCATTCCGCGAAACGCGATGGGGAAGGGTATGTTTTTCACTTTTTTCTTCTTCGATAGGCTAGTATTGGGAAAGGATGAAGTGGAGTCGAGGCTAACGTTGGTCTTTCGTTGCAGTTAATAAGAAGATGCTTGTTAAGGAGGTTTTTGGGGTTTAAGCTTGAGTTGGTGGTGTTCGGTGGCGCTAATTTGTCCCACTGGTAGTATACTACGAAGTTGGGCTGTACGATATGAACATAGACTTGTGTTTTTTTGATGAGCTGACGATAATAGAGATTGAGAACTCTACTCTTAATATGCACCTACAGCCCCTTACTGTTGAAGGTGCTCCCAATATCTCCCCACCTCAAATCCTCAAAGACAACATTTGTCCAGGGAGTGTTCGCCTCAATAAAGCTCGGTGCTCCCTCGGTCGCATTGCAAGGCCCTGAATCCCCACCGTCGAGCCACTGCATGTATCCACCAGCATCATTCCAGATACTCATAGCGAGCACCATGCCGCGACCAAGAGCCCTCCCCATACCTTCCATCCCTCCGAAGAAATCGAACCAGGACGTCGTCGAGCCGCAAAGGGAATCGGTCAGCGAGTCTGCACCAGACGCGACGACCGCGTTTTGAATGATCTGTCCCTTCTGAATATACAGCCGCCGGATCTCCGTCAACGCACCCGTGGTCGTGCCATCATCCGTCAGGAACTGCGTGACGACAGTAAAGGGTTCTTTGGAGTTGACCTCGAATCCGCGACCACGGCCGTAGTACTCCTGGTCTCCTAACGCATAAGGGTTGAACCCACATCCCCATTTATCGCAGATCCCGTCGTTCTCGCTCGCGCTATCGCACTCGTCTTCGGTGGCACACTCGTATACACCCCCGTCACCGCTACTGGCATCTTCCGGATCATACAAACAGGCGTGTGGCGTGAAGCCCGTAGCCCGCGAGTTCCCCTCCCAAATGTCCATCTCGTTGCAGCAAGCCCCGTGCCCGTCGACGTTGGCTTCGCCGTTGACCCAAGGATTTACATAGCATTGGGCATCGCAGTAGCCTGTCCCATACGATGCACCAGCGGGGTTCAGCTCGCTGCGGCCGCCAGAAGGCGACATCTCGGACAGATACAGCGCGCCGTTCATGCCACAGGGGAGGGCGGAGACGTTCACGGTGAAGGTAAATTCCTGGGCGAGTAGAGTCAAAACCTCGTACTCCTGGTTCTCTTGGCTTGATTCGTCGACGAGGTATACCCGCGGCGAGACGGACGAGAGACTCCCGTTGAAATTGCGGTACTGCGTGAGTATCAGCTTCGACCCGTCGGTTTCGACACCGCGCGCGGCGTAGTCGGTTATGCCGTCAATCACGCAGCTCTCTGCGCATGTCTCTTTGTCCGGGCATAGGGTGGGGTTCAAACCGCCCCCGGTCGTGCAAGATATACTGGGGTTGTTGGCATCGTGGATGGAGTGCGTTGCGGCGTCGAGGACGACGGATGTCTCTTTTCTGACACACCCTTGTGCGGATGTGCAGTAGTGGGTTGTGAGGCGGGGACGGTTCTCGGGCGTGCCGATCTGCTGGGCAGATATGGTGGTGCCGGTGGCGAGGAGGAGGGCTAGCGATAGGATGGCGGCAGCCATTGTAAGGATATTCGGTGGACAGTCTGTCTGGTCAAGGGCGAGAGAACTGGCCACAGCATGCGCTCTATTAATGTACCCAGGAGGTAGTCCGTTCCGTACATGGACCGGTCCGACGGCCGTCTTGGAAGAGGTGGAGTACTTTGCAGATACATCCTGACGCTATTTGTATGAAACAGCCAAGCTTATGATCTCCAGGGCCGATATGAAGATGCGGGGAAGCCAAGCTGGTCTTGCAGACTTCTCTCCGTGCCTGATGCGGAAAGGGACATGGTGGTTTGTTTCAAGTAGAATCTTCTGGGGGAATGATGGATTGGATGATGTCTGCAGAAGTTGGGCAATGGACAAGGAAGAGTACATGACGGTGACGATGAGCTCATCAGACATGACTTGTGGCCCACAGCCGACTAGTACACTTTGATCTTCCCATTTGCATCCTTCTCTTCAACCCACCCCTCAGGAGTTCCTCCACAAATCCACCTTCTCATACGCCTCTGCATCACAAACTAGCAGACGATTCCTGTGCCTCACGTCCTGTACAGATTTCGCCCTGTCGCGCCAATTCTATAAGTGCCAATCGGTCCGGTGCTGTCCGCTGAGATCCAATCATCGCTTGGGTGGTACGTGCCGTGGCCGGAGATGGTGTTGTTGATGGTGATATAGACGAGTTCTGGTGGTGGCGCTGGGGTTCTAGATGCGCAATTGATTCTACTGGATTTGATGAAGGTTGAAGGGCACTGTCCGCCACGATCCGAGGGGTTTTTCGGCCAGCTTCTCCGGCACCAGCTTCAGTCAGCGGCTTCATGATTGTATTCGGTGGCGCAAGGAGCGGTTGCGTGTGGATGTTTGAATCGCAGTTTGGGCGGTGCTAAACGTGTACCAGGTCTCTGGGGCGTCGAGGGCGAGTAGGGGCAGCCAGTGTGTTTAAGTCCAGCTGGGTCGCCGAGTGCGTGGCGATGTATGCTGGGGTGTTGAAGGGGGCGAGGCGGATGAAGCGACCCTTGCTGGTAGAGGGCTCGAAGAGATCATACTGAGAGGTGATGAGCGGGAACGTCGGGGCAGAAGGGAACGAATGCGAAGAGGCCTGCTGTTGTCGTGATAGTAACGGATGTAGAGCTTGTCTCTCTTGTCGTCTTTGTGGTCTCGGCCGCGTTGTTGCTCTTCGCGATTAGAGCTCATTGTGGCTTGTTTGGTGGTCATTCCGAGATCTCTAGTCGGGCTTAACCTTGGACGAATTTCCTGAGGATTGTATACCCAGTCGTCCGACCATGTCGATGGCTATATAGACTTCTTTGTACGCAGCAACTATGATCCGTTGGTTCGATGAGACTAAGCATCTGTACTAACGAGATGACCGACATACACATCAACCACCCAGGACAGTGCCTCTCTACAGAGTGCAGTCCCTACAGAGTATACACTCGTTAAATCAGTCTCTCAAAGAAATGGCAGCCGGCCACCGAACTCCGCTGCCCTAATAAGGCCGGTAAGATAACCCGCATAGAGGGTCTATGGGCAAGTCTAGCTCAATTCCTTGCACGTCAAGGAGTCTGGGACTTTTTTCTTCTTAGTTCCTTTGTAGAATTGTCCTTTTCATCCCTATCCTGGATCTTCCTGCGAACTACTATAGTAAGCTTGGGTTTCCTGTTTCATTGCACTAAAATAATATACCACTGGACAACGCTGGCTTGGTGAAGATATATATATATATATATATCCATAGAAGCGCTTTACATACAGTGTCCATGAATTAGCAGGAAGCCTGTCTTCCCATATGACGTCGAGCGAGAGCCACTACATGATTAACAATTCTATACAAACCACGACTGACGCTGAATGGTCAGCTTGTGTCAGCAATTAGCGCGATCTGCCTCATCTGGTAGTGGTGTGGAGGTGATTCTTTCCAAGTCGCCAATCACAGCTTCATTTCTCCAAGTGTGGGACGACCGTGTTCCGTTGCATGAGCATCAAGGCCCTGCGGTCCCCTCTTGATGACAGCCCACGGACTATACTGTCGGCTTTAGGAGATAGGTGGCCGTAGCAGTGATGGACGCATTGGCTAGACCTAGACGGTTAGCAAGCTTCTCGAGCTTCATCCGCATTCTCCGCGGTATATCCGAGACCGATCTGTGGCATACTTAAAGATGCCCTCTCTCCCGGTTCAACCAAGAGGCTCTCTCAGTATTACACAGCAAATACAACTTCAAAATGGTCAAGACACTCCCCTTCGCCGACATCCACGTCCCCTCTCCTGGCTTCGGGGCTATGGGTCTGAGTTTCGGCCTGGGCTCGAACCTCAGCTTAGAAGAAGCAGAGCCCGTGCTGCTAAAGGCCATCGAGCTGGGCTGCACATTCTGGGACACTGCTGTAAGTCGACGTTTCAAGTCAAGAGAGTCGAAGCGAAAACTGACGAGTCGGAAGGTTGTCTACCAAGCCGGCATCAACGAGAAGCTTCTCGGCGCCTTCATCAAAAAGCACAACGTTCGCGACAAAGTTTTCAGTACGTGGCCGTTGACACTGCAAACCAAAGGCCGGCATTCCGACTAACCATCATACCAGTCGCCTCCAAGTGCGGTTTCGATGTATTTGGAAAAGGCGGCATCACCAACTCTGCTGCTCATATCAAAGAATACATCGAGGGCACCATTGAACGCCTCGGCTTCACGCCCGACCTCTACTACCTCCATCGGATAGACCCTAGTACGTCATGAACTGAGCACTGGTACCCATGGCATATCCCAATCTAACACACTTTACCAGACACTCCGCTAGAAGAATCAATCCCTGCCCTGGACGGGCTTCGCAAGGCCGGAAAGACCAAGTACATCGGTCTCTCCGAGAGCTCAGCGGCGACCCTGCGCAAGGCGAACTCAAGTGAGTCCTTCCTTGTCTAAAAGTACTATATGACATTGATTGACCTGTGCAGTCGCCAAAATCGACGCCATCCAGGCCGAATATTCCGCCTTTGAAACCATCCACGAAACAGACGGGCTCATCGAGACCGCAAAAGAGCTCGGAATCGCCTACGTCGCCTACAGCCCACTGGGCCACGGCTGGCTCGTCGACAACTTCGACTACAAGACGCCCGACGACTTTGCGCCGGATGACTTCCGACGAAAGAGTACGCCTTGCCCTCCCAAAGAAGAAGCCACCAACTAACAAACATGACTCGTCTAGGCCCCAAATTCCAGGGCGATAATTTCTACAAGAACCGCGCGATCGTCGAGGAGATCAAGAAGCTTGCGACCCGCAAGGGCGTCTCGATCTCGCAAATTGCCCTGGCGTGGGTAGCGGCACAGGGGATGATTGCCATTCCCGGTACAACCAAGGCGAAGCGTCTGGAGGAGAACTGGGCGTCCAGGGAGATTGAGTTCTCGGAGGAGGAGTGGAAGGAGATGAGAAGGATTATTGATAGCGCGAAGCCGGTGGGTAATCGGTATGGGCCGGAGCATCAGGCTATGGTTGGGAACTAGGTATCTGGATCTGTATTCAGGTAGTTGAGCTTGGTATGAGACTGGATAGAGTTCTGTATGGAATGATTTCTGAGTTCTTTAGAAGACAATTGATTCCGGGCAATCGGGGTAGGACGTAGTAAGGTGGGTTTCGGGAGCGGTCGAAAATCGTATGCGCGCGTTTGATTGTGATTGATGATTGATTTTCGGTGTGGATTGGTTAAAGAGTCGAGTTTGGAATCGATGCTGGTTGTTCTGTATCTGGTGAGATCGGGCGTGGGTTTGTCCTGCTTGTTAGTACGCGCACCTCTACTCGGCCAAGCCGTAACTAGTCAGACCAAGAATGACTGGTAGAAGTATCTCTTATTCACTCCGCTGCTTTTCCTTCCTTCCCAAATAATTACATTCGTGGACACCGTAAAGTCGCATGGCAGGCGTTATAAAAGTCCTTTGTCCCAGCCAAATTTGAACCCGTAGGAAATAGTGGAATCAATAAAACGAAGTCATGCACATATAATCCCCATCACCGCACTTTTAGTACTTCTTGCCCTGGCGCAGGACGTCGGAGAACTCCTCCAGAGGGCTCCGGGTGAGCTTCGTCTCGGTCCAGAGGTTGGGGGTGAGGAAACCGTAGGTGTTGACGACGGCAAGGAAGGTGGCCTTGAGGGTGTTCTCGAGGGTCTTGGTGGAGCCGGAAGAGGAGGTGTAGGCGTCCTGGACACCAGCGAGCTGAAGGAGACGCTTGACAGCGGGGGAGGCAACGAGACCGGTACCACGGGGAGCGGGGATAAGCTGATCTTGTTAGTAGCGAAAAGATATGGCTGAAAGGGCGAACATACTCTGACGGAGACGGAACCACACTTGGCACTCTGCTTGACGGGCAGAGAGTGAGGCTCACCAAGGTTGGTACCCCAGTAACCGCGACGGACGGGGAGAACAGCGAGCTTGGCGATGGTGATGGCGGCACGGATGGCAGTGGCGACTTCCTTGGAGGTCTTGATACCGAGACCGATGTGGCCCTCGGAGTCACCGATGACAACGACAGCCTTGAAACGGGTACGCTGACCGGCACGGGTCTGCTTCTGGACGGGTTTGATCTAAAACGCGGCTGTCAGCCCCCATTGCTGCAATTCATGTATTTCCATCCATTCCCAATTCGCGCGAAATCCCTCCTCGTATGTCGTTTCACTTGGCGCAAATCCGTTCTTTCCGCGAGAGAATTCGTATCCGTACCTTCATAACCTCATCCTTGAGCTTGGGCAGGAAGAAGTCCACGATCTGGTACTCCTTGACGGGCAGAGAGTGGAGGTAGATCTGCTCCATGCTGGTGATCTTGCCGGCCTTGACGAGACGGCCGAGCTTGGTGACGGGCTGCCACTCCTTCTCCTCCTGCTTTCCACCACGACGGCCACGACCACGACCACGGCCACGGCCACGGTCACCACCACGGTCGCCGCGCGAGCCGAATCCTCCACGTCCACGGGGAGCAGCGTCAGCCATTTTTGCTATATGTGCCGGAGTGAAAAAGGTAACCGGGCGGGAAGGTGTCGTTGGAGGTGTTGTCGACGTCGAGGTTGCAACCTTCGATTTCTCTTCGCTATCCCCACTATGTTTGGCGTCCAACGGAAAATTCGCGGGTGCGCTAAGCGAGGCCCGGTCGTTGTGCCCTACCAGCGCAAACCCTGCCCTAACTTGGCATCCCGATCAGGTAACCCGCTCTAGACCGCCGGCACGGGCCAGGGGGTTCGTCATGTGACGGGCGGGTTACCGTGTCGAGGCGCGTCCCGCTCCAATGATTGTGGCCAGTGGCGTTGATTGTCGCTGGTTTTGCTTTGTTTCGTAGGTCATGCTGCATTCTGAGCTCTCTTATCGGCTGTCCGGGGTGCTATTTCTTATAGCGGGATTCCTGCCAGCTTGACACCTCTTCCCCTGACACTCTCTTGACTTCTTTCCCCTCAATTGCTTCAATTGATACCGACATAGCCATAAAAATGTTACGGTGGTGCGTTTGATTACACTAGACGGTTTGGAGTCTTTGGACCCTGGTCAACTAAGCTTATCGCCATCCAGGTACCAGGCCAAGCTCGCAAAGCAGCCCATTCTCACAGCCAGTGTTACCAGCGCTGTATGTATTCAATCTTATCCTGAAAAATCACTAATATACTTGTTGATTTCGATTCTCAAGTGGCTCAGCTCCCGCTAACCATTGCCTATTTACAGGTGCTTTTCGGCGCTGGTGATACTCTAGCACAGCAGGCGGTCGATCGCAGGGGGCTTGAAAAGCATGATTTCGCTCGAACAGGGCGCATGGCTCTCTACGGTGGTGGTAAGTTATCAGGCTTTGCTTGTTACATCATGTTGATCCGGGTCCATGTTCGTTCGTCATATTACATGTTCTTATGAGCTAACGCCGATCAAGCTGTCTTCGGACCGGCCGCCACGCTTTGGTTTGGTTTCTTGCAGCGCCACGTCGTTCTGAAGAATTCCCCCAAAGCCACAATCCTGGCCCGTGTGGCTGTTGACCAAGGGCTTTTTACACCGGTCCATCTCACTTGCTTCTTGTCTTCGATGGCCATCATGGAAGGCACAGATCCTGTCGCGAAGTGGAAGCAGAGCTTCTTTCCAAGCTACAAGGCCAACTTATCGATCTGGCCTTTTGTCCAGGGAGTCAACTTTGCTTTTGTGCCCCTAGAAATGCGTGTGCTTGTGGTGAATGTCATCAGCTTGGGTATGGAATACACGTCGTTTGCCACTTCTTCAACCATTGCTAACCAATCTAATAGGTTGGAATTGCCTTCTGAGCGTGATCAACAGCGGCGATAAAGTCTGATCGTTGCGTTTTTGAGAATCGTGCCTGGAGATACCCCTTTTCATATCACTGACGCCTCATATGGGCATATAGACTTGTCCTCTTTCTTCCCATACACTGGCTTTGTTTCCTCCCATATCTTCGTCCATGTACCAAAATTCTGAGGGAAGGGGTCGTTAATAGAGGCTTCAGAAAGATAGACCTCTCGGTATATTCAGTTACCGCGATAGACAATGGTTCAATAGACTGTAAAACACCCACTCACCAATTGATTGAGTTTATCTCACTTCTCTCTTGTCTAGGCATGTCTAGCCTTTGTTCAATTACTCCAGCTTCTCCATGTTCTTAGGGCTTCCAGGTAGCCAATAAGATCCGGGCTCGGAGGGGGTCGCCCAAAGAGGAAAAGCGGGACAGCTGCTGCGGCAATCTTCAAAAAAGGATCGGAAGAAACCTCATCATATCTTGCAGTGTCCTACAACACTATCTATCCATATCGTTTTTGCTGCCTGGAGCAGGTTTTAATTCTTGAGGCTTGTTGCGCGGCTTAAAGCCTCTTTCCTACGTATCATTCACCAGGGCTGCTCCTTCCTTAACGGCCGGACAACACAAATTTTCCTCCCCCGCTGAGACTTCGCCCTTCAACGCCCATCTCCTCTCAAGGCAGATTCGCCGCTCAAAGGCTCTTATCGCATCTCGCAATACCTTTACCTCACTCTCACTTTCCCTCTTTATTCAGTCAGAATGGCCGCTGTCGCAGAGAACGCTCCCCCCGTCACGAACGAGAACACCGCTCCGCCCGCGGTTGCTGAGGAGAAGACCGAGAAGGCCAACGGCGACGTCGTCACGGTCTTCCACGACCCAGAGAACTTCAATGTCAAGCACCCTTTGATGCACGAGTGGACTCTTTGGTTCACGAAGCCTCCTAGTGGAAAGGTACAACGCGATTTCCCCGACCGCACAAGGCCTTTGCTTACGTTGTCTCGGATTTTAGGGCGACAACTGGAATGACCTTTTGAAGGAAGTCGTTACTTTCAACTCTGTTGAGGAATTCTGGGGCATTTACGTATGTGTATTCTGGTATTCCGCTGATTCTGCGTCATCCTAACGAATTCCTTTAGAACAACATCACTCCCACTTCCGAACTAGGCCTCAAGGCAGACTACCATCTTTTCAAGAAAGGCGTTCGCCCCGAGTGGGAAGACCCCCAGAACAAGCATGGCGGCAAGTGGTCATTTTCGTTCAAGGATAAGCGGTCGGTTCCTATCGATGATCTGTGGCTGCACGCCCAGCTAGCCGCCATTGGCGAAACCCTCGAGAACGATGGTGACAACGAGGTCATGGGTGTCGTTGTGAACGTGCGTAAGGGTTTCTACCGTGTTGGTCTCTGGACACGGACCGTCGGCAAGACTATCCCCGGTGACAAGAACGGACGCACACCTGCCCAGGGCAAGGAGGTGCTTGAGAACATCGGTCGCAAATTCAAGGATGTTCTTCGCGTTGGTCCGAATGACAGTGTGGAGTTCTCGGGACACACTGACAGCGCCCACAGCGGCAGCACGAGAGCCAAGGCCAAGTTTGCTGTTTAAGGCGGTGCTTTGATGAATGATGAGATCTGAAATCGTTTCAGGACATGAAATGACCGAGCATTTTCTAATCACGGGCCGTGGCGCATAGTTGCGTTGCATCAAGAGGGATGGATCAGCCGAAGCGCTACGCCCGCGAAACTCTTTCGATTCGCTGATGATGGCTTTCTAGTAGACACCAGCTTTTTACCTTTTTCATGCTTTATTTTTGACGAGTCTATACCACTTATATTGGAGTTCTATTTATGGGGCTTGAAGAAAGCAAAGCGTGCGGAATCACATCACAAAAGCATCGGCGGGATCATTTCCAGTAATCATCTACATTAGTACTCGCTGTCAACATACCATATCAATACACGTAGCACTCAAATATGTCCAAAGTAGATCTAGAGACAATCCCACTATGGAAGATAGTCCGGTCTCTCGTGATGCTGACACGGATATTCGGTAATGACGCCAATGTAAAGTTATCCAGACAGCAACAAAGCGTGCCGGGTTTAAGCTGTAAAGACTATGCTCTGGATCATAAATGCCATGGGCTATTCTAAATCGTCATCAGATGAAGGTCTGTTTTGTTGTTTTTGTTCATTTGATGTATGTTTCCATGTTTATCCCAATGATATATATTTGCCTGTCCTCCGCCCATCTTTCCAACAACCGTGGACGATACTTGCTATATCTTCTAGACATCACCCAATTATTCTGTCGCTGTCTGCCATGATGCCCAAGCCCACTGTCGAAATTTCAAACAAACAATGCCCCACCGAACTGTCTCAATCTTGCCATCTCTCAAGGACTGCTTATGGTTGAGTCACCCAAAACCTCCAAGCTACTGGAAGCAGACGAGAGCGCAAAGTAGTAGGCGTTATGGCTAGCTAGGAAATCTCTCGGTATTGAAGAAGGTGGAAGAAGGCCTGCCATTATCCAGAACGTATCAGTATCAGGGCTGTACCGTATAATGGATTCGATTACACCATGGTGAAATTGGCATGATGTCTGATTATGCAGAGGCTTGAGCTTCTATATGTCCGCTAGTAGTTATTGCTTGAATCCAGCCAGAACGACCCTTGACAGCGGCTCGTAGATAGTGCTGGGCATATAATGTCTAGAGCCATTGGGACACTATGTCCCTGCAGCGGGCTTCAAGAAAAGGTATAACAGAGCCTATCTGTTTAGTTCCTGAAAACAGAGAGCAAGTGCGCAGATTAACAAACACTGAACTTGCTGATGGTCTCCACAGATGAGTGAGAGACCTGTGGACGTTCTCTTGTGTTGCTCCCAAACATCTCTCTTCTTTCTTCTCTCATTTCTCGGCATGCTCTGTTTACTTTGATTGTTCACCTGCCATCACCGCGCCAACACAGAACACATCATGGATTCCAAAACAAATGGCATCGATGATTTCCCTGATCACTGGAAGGTCACCCTTTTAGGCGAGGAATTCTGGAAGGACGCCGAGAACTGGAACAAAGATACCAACGACAGGATTGAAGCAGGCAAGTCTCCGAGCATAATCATGAGTCCTAGATCTAATGAGAGTACCTAACTGTCTACTGCATAGCTCACGACCAGAGCCTCCACACCAGATTTCCCTTCAACATCGGCCCCGAGCAATCGCAGACTCCCCGAGTCCCGTGCATCATCACCACCATCGCGGATCTCGACGAAGTGCTCGAAGACTCCGTGCCACTGAAAAGAAGCAGGCGCTTTAGCATGAGCGATGCTCTTGGCGTGACCGTAAACTTATCAAGCGAAAACAGCGGCTCGACTCTTCAACCTCCGTCTCGCGTCTTGGGCCTGGACCTGCGCAGACGCTCACGATCACGCTCAAGATCTCGCTATAACAACCGCGTCCGCTCATCCAGTGTTACGGCTGATATTCGCCGCTCAAGCTCCATGATCAGATCAACCTTCAACCGCTTGAGCGGTAGGCGGAAGCTAAAAGACGAAGAGGAGGAAGCCGTCGAAGAGATCGAGACCGAGCTCAACGAGCTGGAGCTTGAGACCCAGGAAGAACTAAGCACTCCGATCCCAGAATTCACGCCCGACCAGGCCACGCCCGCAAACCCGCTTATGGAATTCCGAGGCGGGGCTCTCTGGGCTGCTCTCCCCAAGGATCGCCGGACCTTAGGCCTGGACGTCTTCTGGCCAAACCCAGCGGACCAGTTGACGGACAACCACACAATAGAACATAAGACCAAGACGAAAACCGCCACAGAAGACGAGGAAGAGGAAGAGGAACCCACAATCTTACCCATCGACGAAATGTCGCCCCTATGCACCTTCCGTAATCTGCGCGTCCTCAAGATTACAGGCATGATGCAATCTTACCAAATGCACATCTTCCAAGCTGCCTGGCTCAACACTGATCTCGAGGAACTAGAGATCGGAATGGCACTGTCCCCACGTCTCCGCCGTGGCTACAAATGGCCTTATATCAAAGGCGGTTGGCGTCTGAATAAAGCTACCTATGGAGAGCCTGTTTACCAGTAAGCAAACTGCCCCTAGACCCAAGACATCTTACCTCACGTGGCCCCTCGCCCCAATTTGTTCCAAAAACAGAACACAAGATAAAAACGCCACCCGCTGCAGTAAGGATAAACGCTAACATGGAATGAACCAACCCAGCGGCACCGGCGAAGGCACCCTCCTCCCGAGTGTCGGCGTCGCCGAATACCTGGACAAGATGTGTCTTGAGAAAGCGAAAATCCGCGCCATGGCAATTGGCAGCACACGCAACCGTCTCTCGATCCGCACATTGATTCTTACAGGCGTCGTCGTCGACGCAGACCCCTTCCTGCACTGGTTCGATCCGAAGCGGTTGAAATGCATCAACTTCAAGGACAACTGCGTCGATGCGGGGTTCTATCTTAGCCACTGCATGGAGAAGGTGTCTGTTCTATTTCCGAGGCAGATCAAGGAGCCAGTGATAGCGGCGAGGAGGGTCGATTTGGGCAGGGAGTTGAAGGTTATAAGGATTGAGGGTGGGAAGAAGGTTGGTGAGATCCCGTACCGTGGGCTGGAAAGTCTCAAGCAGGAGATTCCGAGGAATATGGTCAAGGCAGATGATAATAAGGAGAAGGAGGGTACCGCAAAAGGCTAGGTGGGAGTTGCTATTGAATTGTTTTTCTGCAAAATTTGGGGTTATGTACTTGCTGAAAGTCAAGCATATGGACCTTGTCATGGTATCATTTGCTGAAATGTAATGGCTGAAAACAAGAGCCTAAGGATACCTGTGCGCAAAAGTCGTGGATTCAGATGTCATGTCCGGAAGATTGCTAGAACCCGCACCTGGTACATTGAACCAACCCACCAGCATCGACTGCTTTTCCGCATGCATCATTTGCCCGAGTACGGAGAGGATGATCCACAACACCTCGAAGAATAGACGGTCGTAATCCACCAGGCAATCATCTTAGAGAGAGATACTGCTAGCTTCGTCTGCAATAAATGGCCGCCGTAGTAGCGTTCCATCCGTAGGCGACACCCCATTCACCAGGCGGGGATTATCCAGGAATACTTCGGCGCTATCGGGTAGATCAGGGATAGGATGAAGAGTAGAGGGGGTGATAATCTCGCTGTGGCTATTAGGACTGAACCTGAACAAAAGGTAGTCATCATCCTGCCCCTCGGCCTGGTTGTTACCCACCGTGTTCTCGTTATTAGATGTCACGTCCCAGGACATGTGGGATTCTCCCGCGTCAGATCTTTGATAGCTCATTTGCACGGGATCGTAGACCAAGCCGCCAGTAGTAGAGGTTCGAGGGCGTGTAGCCGCGGCATCTGTCGTAGCAGGGTCGTTGTTGTTGCTCATCCCATTTGTGTTCGCGTTTCCGGACGTCGCAGGGACGTTCCGGTCAATGAACATAGCATCTGAACGCGTATCAAGGAACGTGACGGAGCCATTTAGGCGGGTGGTGGCTGTACTCGTATGAGTGTTCTGGTACGGAGCGGCATTGTGGCTGACAGCCATTGCATTGGCAATGACATGAGCCTCTGCATGGCCGTTAGGGAGCGTAATTCTCTCTTCCAAGCTGAGGCCATCTCCGTGTCTTTCTCCTCGTTGCTGTCTGCCATGTCTACCAGCTCCTCCGTAGCGACCCCCGCGTCGGCCTCTGCGCCAATCTCGCCTCCCGTTCCAAATTCGTGATCGTGTCTGATTCTCGTGATTTGGGTGTGCGTGTATCGGAGCCCGAGGGCCTGGACGATCTCGATGACGACCGGGAGTGGATGTAAAGGACTAGACGATGTTCGGGTAGTGTTAGTGATGACTGATGGTATGGTGTCCGGAGGGGATGATTCTCATATTATACTCACCACAGGTCCGCGAGCCACAATGGTCAGGTCATTGGGAAGGGTTATGAAAGTCCTTGTGCCCAGGGACTCAACTGAAACGCCGCTGTTGTTCGTGATACCAAAGTACCAGCGCGCTGACTATGAGGTGCTTGTTAACGTTCGTGCCTAGCAGCGTTGGATGGATAACATGTTGCGTACCATGATGCGCGTAAAAGCTTCGTAATAAATAAGACTGTCCGATTGAGAGAATAAGATAAGCTAAAGATCGTCTTTGAATGCTGCTGAAGGGAAAGAGGAGAGCTTTGATGTTCATTTGGGATGTGGGAGCTGCTCGCCTCGATGAGGAGCGCCTGCCTGTTCAGGAATTGTTATTCACCCCAGCTGGTGAATGACGACAGGCTATCCAACAGCTCATTGTTGCTGATTGACGCACAATAGCGGGTTTTGAGGATATCTCAATGCTGACCGTGAATGCCTCATGGTACTGCCACTCTGGGTTGTGGTATCCCCACTAGGAGACCGTTCCAGGAGGGTTATTCACTGTTCACCATTATTGAGGCCGAGGAAGGTCTCTATCTGCATCTACGGAATATCACAGATGCCCTCGATGATAAGACGAAGCTATACCGCTTTCGAGCAGAGATCAGACACGCCTTGTATCAGATCGTGGGAGCTCCGACTTCGGCCATCAAACTCCACAGATCCATCCCTAGGCCAGCGCCCACGCGCAAGGGGCCGATTCAACGGGCATATGATGGTTTGCGACGTGCTGACAAGATATTCACTATGAGGCTCTTATACAGCGCCGATCTCGGATGTCGGAGTCTTTGTTGGGTTAGCTCATCGCCCTCAAGGTGTCGCGTGCTTTGAATCGTCTGAAGGGTCATTGGCAGCTCGCTGCACTGTTTAGAGATAGGAGTGGGGTTTGTATAGCAGCCATGGTGACGGTATGACGATATTATTGACCAGAGGAATCGTCGGCCTCAAAAAGCCCGTGAGGTAAGTAGCTGGAAGCGGGATAACTTCGGCGTCCCTTGGTCATGAATCATGTCGGATCTTCGAATGTCCAAACGGTGCGTCTTCTCAGTTTCACCGACACCGCGAACCATCCACCGCCAACTGTCCTATTCTGCTATCAGGCGGATTGCGTGCTGGACGTCTAGTCTAGCCAAGAAGCCCAAGAGGCTTGATTGGCGTGGCTGCAGGAGACCAAGAGTCCAAGACGCTGGTTGCTGTCTAGCGGCTCTTGGAGGCGTGCTCGGAGAGCTAAATTGTACTCCGTACGACTCGCGGGCTTGATAAGAAGGTGAGTCCCTCCCAAATCTCCCTGGATTTCATTCTTGACTCTTCTCTCAGGATGTAAGAGAGTTCACAAGCTGCTGCTGCCCGCTGTCGTGTCCCTGCACGTGAGCTTGTCCTCTGTTTGTCTCTCACAGGTGGTCAGTCAAGAACGTCAATTAATTCTTGCGCTGAGCTCCAACAATCCAAGGTAAGTAGAGCTATCATGTTCATTTGCCCTTTTTACCCTCTGCCTTGTCACAATGCCAGCCGCCGATGCCGGAGTTGCTGCAGAAGCTGAATCTCGAGATTCGCCCGATCGCGGATGTCTGAAAGTCAGCTTTGGGTCTTGTTTGGATAAGCGCTGACTTGATAAGTAGCACAGGGACCCGGGCCTCTTATCAATGGGCTTTACCTCGTTCGCTGTTCGCTGGATGATCCCTGACGCCGCTGACGGCTCGAAGCGCCGCCTCGATTACCTCCGACGGTTAGACAATCGTTCCACCATCCACGATGCACGACCGGAGCCCCGAGTTCAGGAAAGGAAGCGATTGACTCGCCCTGGCCAACGATGACATTCGATTCTGGTTGCTCTTCCCATGGGGTAACATCACTTGCTGTGGGTAATCTACTTGTCAGAACCCCAGGATCCTGATTACAGTGTCGCTGAACGTGGGGAATTGGGTTTAAGACCTCCGGATTTCTACCAAGGACAATGCAGTTGGAGATAGGAGAAGCTTACGGGGTCACATCGTGTCTAGTACGCGGGGACCTACTCCGGAGTACAGTTACGCGACTTGTCGACCTCGGGATACACTGGGTGGGGCCATCAATTCATGCTCGAGGAGTCTACTCGCTGAGTCGCTGGAGCCCGTCGAAAGCTCGCTGTTCGATGTTGAAGGTTGATATGCCCCATCGCCAAGCGACGTCGAATGGCTTTGTTCGACGGCACGAGATCCGTCCTTATCTCGTCTTTGCCTGAGATGTTATCCGGGTCGCTAGCGAACGCGTTTATGTTACCTAAGACGTTCCGGAACGCTTGTGGTTGAGCCTCGGTCGCAAGTTCGCAACATCCGATAAATCATTGCGCAGGGATTGGATGTTTGAGGACATTCAATTTGAAGAAAATGGCGCGCCATATCATTTGTGCTGAACTACTGGCTTGGAATTGATGTTTTGTTGTGGGATGGGACTTTGAGACGATGGCAAAAAAAGGTTGAGAGCCGGTGAACTCCGGCCGTTGGCCACCGACCCAGTTATCTTCGACCCAGACAGACAAGCCAGCCGAGAAAAGGCTTGACTCGCTTGTCTGAACCTGGGGTTACATCCGTGGTTGTTGCTCTTTTTGGACGGACTTTTTACGGGTCGCCATTTCGTTATTTTTCTTGGAGATAAGACAGCTGGTCCCGCTTTGCTCGCACGCGACCTGGCCCTGAGTATAATATGGTGTGACTCGCCTCCGTCGCAGTTGCTCTTTTTTTCCCTCTGCGACAACACTAGTCTATCCTGTCCAGCGAGGAGTTCTATTGCCGTCCTCTCAATATGTCTGCTGTAGAGCATGGCGTCGAGGCCACTCTGTGAGTTTCTCCGTCTGCTCTGTTTTCCCACTACGCCCTGCGCCCTACTCCCCACGCGATCTGTGTTCCTCACTCGACATTTTTGACTCCTCTCGAAGTCGTCAATTTACTCTAACATGTCCAAAGCCCGGCCCTCGTTACCGATGCTCCTATTATGACCGCTCCCGTGACTGGGCAGGATAAAGTTGTCGGCCAGTCCGAGAAAGCCCTCACTGACACTCCCGATGGCGAAGAACCCAACGACGAAGAGAACAGGACTCTTCGACATGTTGCAGAAAACCTTCCACTCTCCGCTTGGCTAGTCGCCGTTGTCGAATTGTGTGAGCGTTTCACATACTACGGCATGTCTGGATTGTTCCAGAACTACGTCCAGCGTCCCTTGCAGCCTGCCAATGACGGACAGGGCCCTGGTGCGCTCGGCATGGGACACCAAGGAGCCACCGGATTGACTACCTTCTTCCAGTTTTGGTGCTACGGTTCGACTTCCATACCATTTCCATGATGAACTCGCGTCCTAATTTCGATTCTAGTCACACCTATCATTGGTGCGATTATTGCTGACCAGTACCTCGGAAAGTATAAGACCATTGTTCTCTTCTGCGGCGTCTACCTTGTTGGATTGTTGATCCTTGTCTGCACCTCGATCCCTACCGCCCTTGAGCATGGAGCTGGTCTTGGAGGTTTTATCGTCGCCATTCTCATCATCGGCCTGGGAACCGGTGGAATCAAGAGTAACGTTGCTCCTCTGGTAAGTCAAGGCCCAGACATCCAGCACTATCATAGCTAACGCTTGCTCTTAGATTGCGGATCAGTACAAGCGCAAGAAGATGGCAGTCTCAACCACCAAGAAGGGCGAACGCGTTATCATCGACCCGGCCCTTACCATTCAACGCATTTACATGATCTTCTACGGCTGCATCAACATTGGTTCGCTCTCATTACTGGCTACACCGTACATGGAGAAGTATACTGGATTCTGGTCCGCTTATCTTCTCTGCCTCTGCATGTTTGCTGTCGGTACCGCCGTGGTCATCTGCGGACGCAAGTACTACGTTGTGCGTCCTCCCCAGGGCTCTATTATTACCGACGCCTTCAAGGCTCTCTGGATCATGGCCATCAACCGCAACATGGACGCGCCCAAGCCTACATGGCAGGCTGCCAACGGTGGCACTAGGACCAACCTTCCCTGGGATGATCACTTTATCGATGAGCTGAAGCGCGCCCTTGTTGCCTGCCGCGTTTTCGCTTTTTACCCTATCTACTGGGTCGTGTACGGTCAATTCTCCAGCAACTTTGTCACTCAGGCTGGTCAGATGAGTGGACATGGCATTCCCAACGATCTGATGCAGAACTTCGATCCCATTTCTATCATCGTCTTCATTCCTGTCCTGGAATCCTTGGTGTACCCCGTGCTCCGCCGCATGCGCATCCGGTTCCGTCCCATCTCTCGTATCTCTCTCGGCTTCGTCGTTGCTTCTCTGGCCATGATGTACGCTGCTATTGTCCAGCATCTCATCTATTCGGCTGGCCCGTGTTACGAGTCTCCCCTGTGCGCCGACGGACCCAATGGCAACAACGTTCACATCGCTATCCAGACACCTGCCTACTTCTTCATCGGCATCTCTGAAATCTTTGCCTCGGTGTCTGGTCTGGAGTACGCATACACCAAGGCCCCGCCATCCATGAAGTCGTTTGTGCAGTCGATGTACCTGCTCACGAACGCCTTCGGATCCGCCCTTGCCGAGGCATTGACGCCTGCTGCGTATGATCCAGCCGTCATGTGGATGTTCACCGGTCTGGCCGTCGCCTCTTTCATTGCCGGTATCCTCTTCTACATCGTCTACAGCCCGCTCAACGCCCAAGAAGACGAGTTGAATGCCCTGGACGCTAACGACCCTGACGTTCCTGTCCCGCGCATCTCGGGTGAGAAGGAGCACAACTGAATACGGGGATGGACTTGCGGTTTTAAATGCCTAAGACGATGAATATTGCGCTCTATGAGCGGTACATGCATAATGCTAATACGCGATATGTTGCATAGCGGTCGCTGCTGAGCAGACGACGGTTTTGATGTAAATAGTTAATAATTATTCTAACCATTCTTAAGATCCCGATTGTCGTAAGAATCCGATAACATGATCCCCACAACCGCCAACCCGTGAGTCATAGATTCTTAGATCTCTCACCGGCCAGCTAACTTATACAAAACCCTCCACGGAGCCATGTCCCAACTCCGCCCAGCCTTTCTACATGAAAGAACAAGTGGATCTTTTACCTATTAAAAATCAACATTGCACGATAGAACGCAACACTGAAATCCTATTTGACTTTTCCTGACTCAAGTTGACAGGATAGAAGCTCTCGAAGCTCGGCGAGCTCCGCTATAGCCTCTTCCGCTCCACCGGTTCAACAGGACCCATTTCTCCTTTTGGGGGGTTTCCCGGCGCCCTAAGACCCTCACCACGCGGGTGTGGGCCGTACCTGCATTTGTTTCAGCTTTTCTTTTTTTTGTGCATCCGTGACTCTGGATTATTGGAGATCTTGGCGTGCTTTTTGGCTTAGGGTTAGATTCGCTATTTCCGCTGCCGAGCCGGGAGTGCGGCAGAGGGCTTCAAAGTCCAGACGGGATTTGGCTACTAGAACAGAGAAAGAATGGCAAAAGCTTAGGGTGCATCGAATAAGAGGATGGATAAGTTTGTTGTCTATTGGTGCGTTTAGGAATGTTAAGGCACGCCCTAGAGCATTTTTATCATACATAGCCCCCCGGGGCTTTCGAGGTCTCAGAGAGCGGTACGGTAGAGACAAGACGGGGATGTTAGGGCTAAAAGCCTCGTACGAGTACGACAATAAAAAAAAAGCAATTTTATGAACGCAGACCCAGTTCCATTCTGGCGTACAGCTAAACCTAAGCCTAGATAAAAGAAACATGTGCACTATCCACCATTTCCACAGAGTTATTTTCTGTCCTTGATCAAATCAATATGACTCTTGCTTTTCTTGTGCACCTCCCGTCAAACCATATGAACCGCCGACCCCAATTCACAATTACCTTAACTCACCTATACCCAGCCAGCATACGCAGGCATGCATACCAACGGATTGATGTCGATGCCGCTTAGAATGCCTGCAAGAACATTTTCTCCGCCGAGGAGATGCCCATACCCGCAGAGGCGAGCTTGTTCTTCGCAAGGCCCTTCGCCTTGGTGGTAAGACGGTATCGCTGTGGGCTTCCCTCGCGACGACTACCATACTTGGTGCCGTACTTGGCGTACTCGCCGCCACGGACATATTCGCCACGACCGTAGTCGCCGCCCTCGTTGGCGATGGCCGTGAAGACGGGCGCAACCTTGCGGATCACAGCGGGGGCGATCTTCATGACGGTTGGACCATGCTTGCGGATCACGTCGCGCATGGTGTCGAAGAGGCCCTCTTCTTCGAGATCCTGCTGCTGAATGCGCAGGATAGCTTGAAGGGCTGCTTCGGCGACGACAGCGCGGAGGGGCAGGCATTCGATTGAGAGTGGGAACTCATCGTCTTGCATGTCCATGTCTATGAGCTGGTGCAGGTTGTGCAGGGTGATCTGCTGCTGGTACTGGTGGTGCATTCCACGGCCATGCTGCTGGTACTGCTGCTGTTGCTGGCTCTTGGAGACGAGGAGCGGACCGATCATCTCGGGCTGCTTCTTGCCTGCCTCGATGATGGAGGACGTGGACGAGAGGCGCTTGGAGATGTTGAGGCTATCCCATTTGACCTCTGCGTCATCGGAGAGACCCTCGGAGGCAATATTGTTGATGAAGCGCTCGGTGCGTTCGTCGCGAGCGCCATCGCAGAGGGCGTCAACGAATTGGCCCTTGCGACCGCTGACGCCGCGTCTGGAGCCGCGGGATAAGCGGATCGAGGGGATTGATGCCGAGCGGCCGGACCGCTGGCCGCCTTTCTTTACCTCGTCGAGTGCGAGGCGCAGGAGGGGTTCCTGAGTAGAATTAATGACCGTTGAGCCGGCTTGCTGGATGGTCGGCAGGAGGTCGGTGACGACTTGGGTTATTGTGTTGAAGACGTGCTCGTTCTGCCGTAGGCGTGGGCTCATCTCCTGCACAGCGGCGAGAGCGGCTTCGGCGAGGATCGCGCGCTGCGTGATGCTGTCAAAGGCTTGGTCGCGGTCAAAGTTGTTGTCAAATGTGTCAACGTCTTCAGTTACGGCGTTGGCGGCGGCGCTGAGAGCGATGTTTGCAACTGCGCCTGCGGGGATGCCGAGTTGGCCGAGGGAGAGGCTAGTGCCAGGCGAGAGGATGTTGCGTGGGATGGGCTCCGGGACGTCACGGACGAGGCGCAGGATCTGACTGACGAGATCTTGGTCTTCGTTGTCGATGTCGCCGCGGCCGCGGTTCTGGGGCTGGCGTCCTCCGCGCTGGCGCTCGGAGCGGGAATCTAGAGCATCGAAGTAGGGCTCGAAGGAGTGCCCGCGGCGGCCAATGACGGTGGCGCAATTTTGGTCGCCGCCATAGGTGTGGACGCCAATGCAGTTCATGTCTTCGTCGAAGACAGGGGCGCCGACGTTACCTGCTTTTGTTAACAAACGTGGTCATCAGGTTGTCGTAAGGACCTACCCCCATAAGCATCAATTTGATACTCAAGCATCTGCCACTTCGACCGACCCAAATCCCACTTCTCGTCCTGGAAGCACTCGTAGAGCTGAGCGCCAGGCTCGCCGTTCTTCTTGAGGTCACCAGCGTAGCCAACGACACCGATGTTCATCTTGTCGCTCTCTGGGGTGTCCCTGTAGTCGAACGGGGTAACATCCCTGAACGGCTTGCTCAACTTGATGAAGGCCACGTTCGCTTCGCGACGACCGCCCTTCTCCATCCACTCGGGCGTCGTGGCAACGCGCTTGCCGGAGCGGAACTCGACCTCGGCGTTGTCGATGTTCTGCTTCCCAGTGTATCCGAGGTACACCTTGGCTTCGATCAGCTCACCAAGGTTGTACTCCCAGTCGTAGACAGAGTGACCAGCGGTTACGACTAGATCATCCCTAACGAGGAAGCCGGTTGCAATAACCCAGGTGTCCTGATCGCTGTTTTCAAAGCGCAGGAAGAGCTTTGCGATTCCTGTACATCACGTCAGACTTGGACAGATACGATCTATAGGTATTGAAGAGATTGTACGTACCGCGATATTTGCCGCCAGGCAAGATATCCCTCCTGTTGACGGAGGTACGATTGTCTTGCTCCAGCTGGGAGGCCGAGCCGTTGACGTATCTGAAGTGCTGGACTTCATCTGGCACCTCGGAAGAGCTGGATTTTAGATCCCAGACAGGGATCTCGCTCGAGGAAGAGCGGTGGTTACCGTTGAAAAGGAGAGGCATGGTGGAAAGGTGGCAGGGCAAGTTGAAGATAAGAGTTGCTTTGATCTGGTTGATCCGGAAGTATTTTTACGGACAGGGTGGGTAAAATCAGGAAGAGAATCTCCCCTTGCTGCAGCCGGAAGACTTGAGCTTTTATACTGACCGTAGAGAGTATGATCACTCGCGTCGAGGCAATCAGCAGCTTTCGGGCTTCCGACTATGACGGACATCACCATCGGCAGATCGATATGTCCACCCCTGGGAACAGGGATCGAGTATAGAGACCTCCTCAGCGGAGATCAATCCGAGCGATTCAAGGCGCCTAGACAATGAAGCCGTCGGGCTATTGGATGTCTACCGAGTGGTCCTCATCGCATAGGGCCTAGAATGCAATGGGGAGGTGGTCTGAGTTTTGCATTGCTCCACTCTGATAGGGGCCAGATCTGGGGAACCTGGGGGACTTTGGTCGGAAGTGACCTAGCGCGTTCAAAGTCGATGATACGATCGACGCAGGCTGATTGAGGGCAACCAAGATTTGGATAAGCTTAATTTGGTGGTGAGAATCTGGCGGACAGTGGAAGGTTTGGTAAGCCCACCGCGAGCTGGCACGGGCGAACAAGTCAATTGCTAACATGCACATAATAAACGTGACCGCTAGACTATTCGTCATTCGTTCTGCTCCTCCTCTGCCTTTAGTTCCCGGGGCAGGAATGGCATATCCCAATATTCAGCTCGTGGATCAGAGATACGGACATCAATCCGGGCCTTCATACTCTCAAAATCATGTCCTGCCAGTTCATAGAATATGTTTGGGAGCCCAAATTCGTGTTGCTTTATGCTTTCGAACAACGCCTGGACAGTCGATAAGAAGATCTCGATCGGAAAGTGCGGAGCGCTGGCGCTCTTGAATGAGTGGACTGTTAGGGATGCTCATGCAGCGCACTCTATCTTCTGAAAAGCGTATTCGAAAAACCTAATTGACAACAACTGTAGGAAAACCAGTATAACCGTAGAGTAAAGCGGGGCTTGAATATGTTGTGATGAGATCTAACGTACTGGGCAACGAGCAATCTCCGAAGCAAGGCAAACTGTGATATTGAGCTTCGGGGCAAGAAGTCAAGCATTGGTCAGACTTCCCTCCACCCACTGCAAAGTTATTGACGGCTCGATTGTTTCTAACATGGCTTGGATGATCTTATTCCAATGCAGACAGATCATCGGCGCAGAGGTGATGTGCCGCGCACTATCAATGCCTAATAGGTGATCTCTTAGGGAGGATGGATCATATTGAGTGCAAATAATGTACCTGCTGCCCAGTAGCACCTAGCCTGAGCTTCACGAACTCTTTCAAACCAGGCGTTTCGGTTTTGTACCGAGACCTTTTGCAAGCTGATGATCGAACGGAGGACGCAGGGCAAAATTTAAGGTTGATAAAAATAACGCGAGGGTCAGTATATATTCAAGTGCGGTAAGAATGACCCTCACCGTGACAATTGGGTTGTATAAAATATCCAGACGGCATGTAGACAGTCCGAGACTGTCTGCCAGACATGGGAAATTCTAGTAATCGCAGCCACCAAGCACTCAAGAAATCTGGAATGCCGAACTCTAAAACGTGGTCTATTTCAATGCCATTGGAGGACCAGGAGGCATTAGGAGAAAGCAAGTTGCTAGAGCAATCTCAAGATATGGTTTGATGCTGTTCCTTTCCAGTCTTCTGCGGTCGTCTCCGAGCATCCACTCAAGGTACGCGTTGCGGAAAGTGGATGGATTTTGTAATCCAATAGAATGACCATACTTGGACGCCATCGGATCGGCTGCGAGGGGGTGGCCGCTGTGCCTGACGGACTCAAATTCTTCTTGTATGACGGAACACTTGATAGTGGGGGTTTCCAAGTTCCTCAGCACAACGACAAGATCAACGCGGGATTGCGACGTGCGAGCTGGGGTAACGAGCTCAGTATAGCCCTGAGCAACTGGGCGACAAAGCAGTGTAAGGGCATGCTTTCGGGTACCTAGACTGCCTTTTTCTCCAGAGCCGCTTTTGCAGCATTCGCTGCTAGATATGCTGCGTGTTCGTGAAGCGCACAGCAAGGTTTTGCGGAATACACGAAACGTTCATTAAATTTGATGAACAGTCTGAACAAGGACTCGAGCCATATATTAGTGCGTCATGTCCCGATTTGTAGGTCGGCTGGTGGCTGTTCCACTTCGGTAGATTCGTCTGGCAGCTGAGAAATCGCAACAAGTGCAACGATGTGGGCGAGGGAGGCAAGGCTGAAAGATGAGGTGTCGTAGGGACGTGGAAGGAGGTAATCCGTAACAGTCGGCGAAGACGCTTGAAAGGATAGGATAAGGCAGAGAGCATAGTAGCTGGGCTGATCTCGCCGTCGTCAGGCTGACGGCTGACACTTGGGGTAGAAGCCCTGCTATCCTTGTGGTTATCAAAGCACCAGTAAAGCAGTTCTTCAAAAAGTTCGGAAGGAAACGGATATAGGAGGCAAGCGGCTTATCGATCTCTCGCGGTCGTAGCTTTCGGTCGTAGCTTTGGACAGGAGTTCAAAAGGAGATGTAGGTACTTGTGCTCCAGCGTTTGAGTGGAGGAAATCTCAGTCACTAGGCAAAGAACGAAGTCTTGAAATTCACTCAACTGTGGAAAAAGGGAGTTGTTGGAGGAAGAAAGAGATTGACGCGTCTTATAAGCTGAAATGGCAAGTTTGTTTTGATCGCAGGTTTCAGCACTTCTGTGTCGTCTTTAGGTAGCTCGGATCGCTTTGATTCTCGCCTTCCCCCATCCAACCACCCACCTCACACTCAGCAAACTCACTTAGCTCCCTCTCCACTCCCTCGAAGTCCTCCACCAATGTCTTCGCTCTTTGAGGAGTACGGTCTAGCTTTACACCAGACACAAGACAACGACAGCCCCCGCTCAATCAACCACTCAAACAAGCGGGCTATCGAAAATGCTTCAAAAGGTTTGACCTCCACTTATCCATTTCAACCAGTAATTACAAACAGCTGACGCGACGCCTGCTTAGAGATAGGCAAGAACAGCCTGAGTCCTACTCAGTCCCAAGTCGCCTCCCTTCTAGAGCGCGTTAGAGAACTCGATTGGACCACGAAAATCGCCAGAGAGCTGAAGACGGAAGCGCAGCGCTCAGCGGCTCTCTTGCATTGTCGCGGAAAGTCCGTTGAGCCTTGTTCACACTGTGCTCAGGGCGGTCCCTGGAGTACCTGTGTCGTCTTTCCTGTGTACCAAGGGCAGTCAATGTACTCCTACGCCTGCTCAAACTGCGTATACTACCATAGAGCTATAAAATGCAGCCATCGTCAAGCATTTGAAGCTCAAGGTGGTCGAAACTGGGACCCTGCTATCACCGAGTACGTACACCTTCACACTGATTTCTTGAAAGATTATAACTCAACCGAATGAAAGGTCCATTGTAGCCAATGGCGGACTACGCTCTGTCCTCACCAAGGACCACAATAACATCGCCCCTGTTATGAAAGTGACTTCACCCGCCGTCCCGAAGAAACGGAAACAGAGCGCAGAGTGCGCTGCGCCGTCCCAGGCTCAGACGCAGATGCAGGCAAATACCACACAGATCGCTACGCCGAAGAAGACCATTCGACTGCAGAGCAAGTCGGCTTTCGATGGAGAGAAGCTCCCTTGGCCAGTGTCGCCTGCATCATGGAATGACCCCATCAAGCTACGTTCCGCGATTAAAGACCTGGAGACGTTTACACAAATCGCCAAGAAGCGGGTTGCGAGACTGGATGAGGAGTGTGAGGCCATGTCTACAGCGGACTTCTGGAACCAGGAGGCAGCTAAACTCTTCTCTTGAGGGTCTGTCAATTGGTCATGGTGTTCGAGATTGGCATATCGTAACGGGGCATAGCTCTTGACTCTACCAGCGGCACTGTTGTGAGCTGGGTTGCATTTTGTTTCGGTTCTACGGTCCTTTGGTTTCTTATCTTCTTGCATTTACTTTGCGGATCTAATGCTCATCGCGAGCTCTTTCTTTTGATTTAAGACCTGGGTTGGTATCTTTCGTTTGGCCCCAAATCAAGCAATGCTATGAGTAGTGACGTCCTTCTTCCATGCTCGTTTGACTTTCTCTTAGGTAGCTTTTTGTTTAAATCATCGAGCTCTGTGTCATTGAAGAGTTCGAATACTCCACTCATGCAGTTATATTCTCGAGGCTACCTAAGAGGCCTATTATCACAGCGTATCGCACAACAAGCTGAGTCCAGCTGGCAGAATATCGATAGTTGGTCTCGGGAATCCTGCCTATACGCATCCCTGTAGTAAAGGGCTCTAGGACCCCGTAAAGGTGACAGTCGAGCCCCATCGCGGCATTTCCCCTTTTCTTCCTTCTTCCTTCTGACCCAAGTTGGTATATAATAGCTAGCGAAGTAATAGCGCTCCTTCTGCATGCCACACGACTCACCCTGCAAGTCAGATCGTGTACTCCGGCCTTCCAGCTCTTTCTACGCAAGGATAGCATAGAATAGGTTCTGTTCCAGTAAATAATAAAACACATTGGAGGAGGGACACAGAAGCGATCATTACCAGAGCCTGAAAGCTATATTGAAGCAAACAACAGGCCGGGAGCTCAGCTGATAGAACATTACTCACCATTTCCTCCGCCATTCGCAAGATCAAGCTTATTGCCTTCAGTGCACTGCAGTTTATAACACAAATGGCCGGGTAGTTTAATGGTATAACATCACTGATTAATCTGGGTCGGTCTGTCCAGGGTGGATAAGGCCTTTCTGCATCCCATATGGCGTCTATCATCCAATAATAGTGTAAGTCCGATTTTGGCTCAATACAAGGTTGAGTAAATTGATATCTTTACCAAGATTAAGACCTTAATACAAGGTTGAGTGGATTAAAAGTGAAGGTTGCAGGTTCGAATCCTGCCTCGCCATTCTTTTTTATGTCTTTTCCGTTTGCTCAAATATTTACACCGCGGAAGATAGGTCCCAGGCCTTTTAGCGGCTGGTATCTTAGCAAGGCCCAGAAAAAGACTATTAAAGCAAAGCCCCGCGATGCTAATTAATGGCCTGGGCTTTGGTAAATGTATCTTTGGTAAGGTATAGTATCGAGAAGGGTCTCACGGAAAATGGGGTTAGATGTATGGCGCTTGCAATAGTGTGCTCCTGCTACCAAGCTCTGCATGTTGTGCCAGCTTGAAGCGAGGTACGGTATGTCTAGTGGGTAGAGCAGAGGTTGAACCTCAGCAAAGACATTCTATAGCGTGCATACTGCGGTGAGCTTGGTTCCTGCGACTGGAGTTTATAATTAATGTGCACGAATGGGCCACTCTCTTGATATTCTGGAAGTCTTCCACGCAGCCAACCCATGTCAAGGCAATAGACCTGCTCCCAAGCACTACCATATCAAAGCCCTGTGTAATGGAGCCAAAAGAATGGGCTTTAAAAACTCCTCCCGGAGCAAGATATGGTCCAGAAGGAATGTCGGTTTACAACACAACTGGCCGGGTGGTTCAATGGTGGAACGTTGCTGTTGGTGAGCTGTTGAAGCTACCATTTACCAATTACAATATCTAGATATAAATGCATAGATGTAATTGGGGCGAAGGCTGTAGGTTCGAGTCCTGCCCCGGCTGTTTCTTTCTTTCATTTATTTTATTTGCTCAAGTATTGGCAAGGTGGGAGCTCAGCGGCCGGTGGCCCCAGCAAGGCCTTTAGCAAAACTGTATATAGTGTCTACGACGAGACGTAAAGGAATGGGATGCTACATGGATCAACTGACTGCCTGGGTTTCGATGTATATGTTGCCTAATGGAACATCGTATAGGCTAGATCAGAGGCTCAAATGGAGAAAGTGAATTTTTAGGTGTATGGCCTCTGCTCCTGCCACCAAGCTCCGCCGGTACTGCTAGATCCATGTGTTTGACAGGACATTTCAGTAAGTCATGCACTTTGAAGGGGAAGTAAATAAAAACTGCTCTCAAGTTCACAGATAAACATCGTCTTGCAGACTGTTCGACCAGGCCAGTCCGAATGAGACGAAGTCTGATCTAAGATAAGTGGAGAGTAAGTATAATTAGTAAAAAGGGGACCTGTAGGATCCTCCAGGACAAGGATCGAACTTGCAACCTTGTAAAGTCTCTGTGAGCTTCGGTTTCCCGTCACCCCTCTATATTCATGTATTGTTTTTCTTCTCCCCGTCGGTTCTTCCCGTGGGAACAATACATCAGAGACTCTCAACGCTCTACTATTGAGCTACCTGGGCTTCTATGTTACGGTTGATTGTGGTCAAGGTGTAATATAACCTGGTTATAGGGACTGTATTTGCCTATCCTGGTGTGTCCTGCGCGATATCTGCTGTTGTTTACTGGGGACACTGGACGCTTTAACTACATCTTGATGTATCCTTCTTATACAACAGACCCTGACTCCAGACTCAAAGAGCCGTAGAACATTCAAGGCAGGAAAAGTCTGCCTTGTTCATTCTAGTCGAACCTCACCAAGTTGCCGAGGAAGGTTGGGGCGAGTGGAAGCTGGAGAAAAAGACGAACATCCAGTTGCTTCGTTTCCCCATCCGACGCGGATGGGCCTTCCCACTACCTCCAGCAGAATAGGCTCAGTCCGGTTTTATTATCTAGATTATTGTTCAAACTCTCGACTCTTAAATTCCAATATCTTCGCGCCCGCAGCCGCCGAATGACATCGTTCTAGATACGGGCGTGCCCTGAGCGCCCAGCAACATTAACTGGGCTCCTTACCTATAGTAATGGCACTTTCCGTTACTGCAGACGCAGATTCGAGTTCGAAACTGGACAAGCCTAGTACTGTAGAAAGACTATGGAATAAGGCCCAGGATATATGTGGTCAACTCCGCCATTTGCAAGAGCAAGCTTATTATTATCAGCGGAATGTAGTTTGTAACACAAAAGGCCGGGTAGTTTAATGGTATAACATCACTAAAGAATCGCCGGGAGAAGTCGTTAGACCTCCCATTTCCCCCCTAATTTGGAATCTATCATCCAATGATAGTGTAAGTCCACATAATCCTAGATCAGAAGCTCAACACAAGGTTGAGCGGATCGATCTCTTTTCCTAGATTATGAGGCCAATGTAAGGTTGGGTTGATTAATAGTGAAGGTTGCAGGTTCGATCCCTGCCTCGGCTATTCTTTTTATGTCTTTATTTGTCTTTTTGCTTCTTATATGACAGGCCCTGGCCCCAGATTTAGAAGAGCCACACAGTGTGCAAAGCAGATCCCACTATACTCATGCTAGTCAACCGGCGCCTTAAGTTGATATTAATCAAGTCTAATCACCATCAGTGCAATGCAGCCTGTAGCACAAGCGGCCGGGTAGTTTAACGGTATAATGTCACTGATTGACTGTGGAGGAGCAGCTGTGCCAGCGTCCCAGAACTGCTGGAAGTAGGTGCCTGAGGCCACCGGGGGGCTTAGGGCTCTGGTGGAGGAAGGTTTTTTTAGCCTAAATAGCTACTTTACCGGACGGGTTGGATAGCAAAGGTTAACCGCTGGGACGCCAAGCCCGACCCGGATAGGAAGGTACAAGACAAAGTTCTCCAGGGCTCAGGTTCAATTTCAATCGAGAAACTAAACGCAATGGCTTTATGAAACGAAGTGACCTGCTGGAAGTATGTGCCTGATGTTTATTCGCCCAGTTGCAGGGTAAGTATGATTCTAGTTTCCAAGAACGACTCGACTAATCCTTTGGGTTTGTCACCTTGACCTTTCCACCATTTTCTACATGCTTCGTTCCCATCAACCAATACTCTCTCTATTTTTCAAATATAATACTGAGTTCCGTTGCGAACCAAGCGCCTGCTCCTAGGCGGAGCGGGGTGTTTTGGCGACCGTTAGACGACCGTGGGTGCTGGTTTCGCTGACAAGACCCGCTCAACATCAGCAACATGTATAAATGAATGACGCTCTCATAAGCATATACGAGATTACCCTTCCTGCGTATGGAACAGACAGTGTGTTCCTTCTCTTTTGCCTGAACATTCGCTATCTTCGGCAAGATGTCGCTAAGACGAGATATCGAAAGTAGGACATCAACCGCACCGACCTGAAGATCGAAAGGTGAGTACTCTTCCTCGACAGAAATATATTTTATTCTGTAACCTAATGCTGCTTTAGAGATATTCAACGATGTCGGGTCCGTTGGTCCGCCTGGGTTAGGCAGGACTTTTTTATTCTTTCGTCCTTTCGTGACGACTCTAGTGGGCTTTTTAGCTGTCCTTGTCAACTCGAAGGTACTTGCCGACCAGATCCATGACTACCCAGTCGTCGAAGGGTTCGAAGACTGGATGATTCACTGAATTCTGCAATTCACATTACTTATCGCAGTTCGCTGCGTTCTTCAATGATGTCGCAACTAGAAGATCCATCGTTGAAAGCTCTGAAGACTTATACTCGGACACAGACTATAACCCTAAGCCCAGCGGCCCCGGGGGCTCATCTCCTGTTCAATCTTGGCCTATGTGGTCGTTCCAAACTGACCGTACTCAACGTGAGCGTGAGATACCCTTGTTATCGTTTTCAGCTCTAGATTACTGACACTCATCTGTAGGCACTTGTTTTGTCAACTCGAGAGCAACTGTTCCCCAGCTGGACGGCGTTCCGAGCACATCACTCCCGCATCTGCAGGGTGTCGTCCGGACTGCCTGTCCGCTACAGCCTCTCAAGAGCTGACCCGCGTCCAACGTCGGGACTGGCCGCGCACGCATCGGCCGCTCAGGGACTGTTCGTCCGGCTGTACCTACAACAGGAACCAGGTGAATTCGCCTACGATACGAAGGTCAGACGAGGGGAGATTATGAGGCAAACTTGACGCTCGGCCGGGAATTGGCACATGGCCACCCCGCCGTCTCGATATAAATTCCTCTTCTCTTCATCCTCTTTTATCTCATCTATTTCGATCTCCGACCTTCTCTTTATTCTCGCAGTTGCTTTCTGAGCAAACCTTCACTCATTACTGCGTCAATAGAAACACGAAGACAGTCTCTTTCTTCTTCTCAAGTCCGATCCTCTTATCTGCTGGCCCGGGCACCTGCTGTGCCTCGCCAAACAACACGATCCGCACCAGACGCAGTGCATCTTCACATCACGCCTTACAAAGTATCTTTATAAAACGGCAGCAACAGACGGGATCATGTCGACTGTCTTGTATCTACGATCCTCGAACGCGAAGTTGGTCCCGCCCAGGTAATACTTGTTGCTGCCCCTACGTCTATGACTCGAGAACAGGTAACACCTGTAGGAGAAGTAGGGGTGGCCCTCAATTGACCCTAATTAGGCTTTGGCATTCTGATTGGTCGATGGATTTTCTCCGGAGCTTCCTGTTTTAGAGCCGTGGTGGTGCCTTCCCTTGGTGATGGCTGACGTCACTGGGGGTTCAAGGGGGCTTGCCCCCTTGGTGGATATGTACTTTGTTCGAGAAGATGCACACGGGGGGGTTCAAGGGGGCTTGCCCCCTTGCGTAGATTGATGTTGATGCCAGGCTTGCCAGCAGGTACCCGACGGCAGACATACGTAGTTAAGCTTAGCCTAGATAATGAACGATTCTTGTAGATATTTTATTTTGCAGTAGACGAACGTATGTGTCTTATTCTTAGTAGACTCAGACGAACGTAGGTGTTTTATTTTGCAGTAGAATGACGAACGTAGTTGTTTTATTCTGCAGTAGGTAAAAATAACAAAGCCTATATAGCTTAGGGGTAGAGCGCTTGATAGCCTTGCTCTCGAGAGACCCTTGTTTGAATCCGGGTGTGGGCTATGGCGATTCCTGGAGCGGTCCCGGCACACCGGACTGCCATTGTTCCAGGTTTCGTTGTTTTTTTTTTACTTAGACGATTATTTAGTTTAGTAAGACGCAGCGAATTGGTTTACTAGTCTGTTGTTTGTACTTCGGTCGAGCAGTGAATACAAGAAACGAATTATAGCAGTCCACAAGCTTAACGGTAGAGCGCTCGCAGAGGAAGGGTATCACGCTGCGGAGGGAAGTGCTGACGATTGATCCTGGTTTGATCACGGGTAGCGACCTTGGGGTGGTAAAATACCCTGGTAGCCCGCGTGCTAAGTGGTTGCAGTACTTTAGTTTAATCCCTTAAAAAATAAAGGTTATTTTATTAGATAAATAATAACTTACATAGCTTATTAACTTAATAATTATATGCTAGTATAATAATAACCTAAGTTAAATTTAAAAGGGTAATTTAGCTTATTTTAGGCTTTAAAAAGCCCTACATAAATACCTAAAGTCTTAAAATTTATATTAAGCACTTATTTTTTTCTTTCCAGGCTTAAATAAGCTAAAATGACTACTAGGGGCCTTAGGGCTTTAGTAAAAAAAGGTTTTTTTAACCTAAATAATTATTATAAAACTTTTTATTTATTTTTAAAATATCTAGCTTAATATACTATGCAATACAAGAAACTTTTCCATATAATAACTAGTCATTCCTTTTAGTAAGAACCACGTTCTGCAAGAGCTCAACACAACGTTGAGTGGATTGAAGATTAAGGTGAAGGTTGCAGGTTTGATTCCTGCCCCGGTTCTGTTGGCAAGCTTCGAAGCCGCGTCCAGAGGACTAGTTTAAATCTGTGTAGCTGCATAGACCCTGCGGAAGCGTCTCCACGAGCCCCAAGTAATCTCATATTTCTTATTGTTACCCATGCTCTCTTCGGCGGTTGAGCTAAACCCTCCATGCCAGCCTGGCCGCCTGTGAAGCCATTTCATTGAGCTGTTGTCGCGTCATGACTGCGTTTGCTTGTCAGAGATGATCCTTTTATCTTGGAGTGTTTTGGCTCGGCACGCTAGGTAGTCACAGAGCTATATTATATTTGACTCGGAACTGGAAATTGTTTCGGCTGAAGTCAACGGCAAAGGAGGGAGGGAGAGTATCAGACAAATCATCAAGGATTACCTCGACTAAACATCGCTCCAGTGGATCTTTGGGGGAGTCAGTCGCCAAATAGCCATTGCGGAGCTGGCAAGATTGCTACGGTACAGAGAGATAGAGGAACCAGCGTCTATAACTAAGATCAAGTACTCACACCCACTTTGAACGTTCCAACTGGAGATCTTATCCCTGGATCTTTCCAAATATTTATTCAATCCAGATATACGGCGTCGTGATTGAGGACCATCGTACTATAAGCCGCCTGGTGCGGTATCATATCGTCGCGCGTGTTGCCCGGTGCCGCTTCCTAGTTAACAATAGTCAGCTCAAATCATTAACGGACTCCGATAGTCCTGAGTAAAAATTCTGCAGGAATCTCGCGGATCCAGCTTTTGTATACCCCCTTGCAACCGCTTCGAGGCCTTGGAAATTCCAGTGTCGCTCTGGTCTGGGCATTGGAAGTGTGGCCCATACGGCGACTTCGTGGCATAACGGTAAAGACTTTTAGCAAGATCGCGCGAAACAGGTAAGATATCCCAGGTTCCTTTCGTAGGGAGCGTAGAAGGACCGCGTTTGTCCTCGTCCGGGTTTTTGTTCGTCTGTTAAGGGCTGGAAAACTATTGCCTTGGTCTGATTTGGCGGTTGCAAAGATGTTAGCCATTGCTTCTAGAACGCAGAAGAAGGAACAAAATACTCATCTTGACTGGGGATCAGAAGCGTGGCCAAGCCAAGTCAAGGCCGACAGACAACGTGGTGAAGCCGAGGCCAAAACAGCAGCTCTGCTGACATCCGCCTCAGGCAGCCAGAGAACGAGCACGGTATAAGTCAAAGTAGAGAAATCAAGAGATAGCAAAAGATCAGCGCAATATTGAAGTTTTGCTGGGTTGAAAGTGGCTGGCATGTCTGTACCATTCACTCACACCATGAGCGCTCCAAAAGAGGGCGCGTCCAGCACCCAAACAGCCAGAACATATAAAACGGCAAAAAGAGGATAATGGCCGGGGCAGGAGTCGAACCTGCATCCTGCACTGTCCCAAGAGACCATAATGCGTGCCAAGCGAGGTCTCTGTCGGACTGGGGGGTGTGCAGGCGCCCTACAGCTTACGCCACCCGGCCCTTTGTGTTATACCTGAGACTTCTCTAGCGGTGATGGCGTTGGCTTGATTAGTTTGTTTGGTGCGTAGATTGAGGGAAAGAAGTAAGACAGGCTGAAGGAGGCCTAGCTGAAGCTTTTGAGGTCTTCTCGGAGCAGATTGGGATGTCTTTTGGTAGCTGGGGGTTCGCAGGTTCGCCAGAAGGACGATATGCTCTACCAGGACGAGCTTGCGGTATAGAGCGAAGCTCAGCCATTGTTTTGCGCTGCATTCAGCTACGTCTATGGTCATGCAGTGGGCGTGTCTACGCGGAACTGTTTTGTTGGCGGCAGGGAAAGCTGATCTCGGTGCCAAAGCCGCACTTGGAAAGCACGCGCCCAACCCTCTACAGCCATACCGAGCCTTTTCCCACGTCGCTAGATGTTCTAGTTTACATGATTCCCGAGTAATGAAAGCCCAGGTAGCTCAATCGGCAGAGTGTTGATGTTTCTCTGACATGCCGGGTCAATTCTCTAGACTCTTGTCTAGCAAAACCGACATACCGTTGAGGAACTCAAAGGCTGCAAGTTCGAGTCTTGCCCTGGTTGCCCCTTTTTATTCTTTTTGGACTTGACGGCCAAGATGAGTGATGGTGAGGGACAGGCCTAATTATGCGCGCCGTAAGGGACTTTTTGCCATTGTCGCCTTTGGCATACTGTCTGTGATGAGAACAATGAGGCTGTCTGCGTCTGTAAGAAGTACGGTAGGTGATAGTATTCGGCGAGAGCCTACTATGGTACAGGCTGGCTGGGTTCACGACGACTGGGGGTAGCCTGAGGCCTGCAGTGTCAACTCAGCCATCACAAAGGGCACTTTCACCAGGAGAATTTCTAAGACAGCAAACAGATCAGCATTAATAAAAGTAGACTAACATCAAGGCTCAGTTCGCTCACTAGAAGGGCTGGACTTTCCAAAGCTTTGGCTCGTGATAGATAGGACCTAGGAGGAGGCTAAAAGGCCGCGTTTGATAATTTATGAACTCCTAAAGCCCAAAGATTACGAGGCCAGCTCCTCCCTTGGCCTCAGCCTACTTCCATATCTTTTTGCTGCCTCTCTTTTTGTTGGTTTTCATTCGCGTTGCGTTGGCCTTGCGGGGCCGCAGTCAGTGTGCGGTGACAACTAATGTGCTCTTCAAAAAGAAAGATTATCTTCCAGTTTACCTAGACCCTGAACTTTTAGTCTGCTCATAAAGACGATACCATGCCCCGACGTACCATAGCTTTCCAAGAGGATCAATCATCAGCAGTCTCAGGCAACCTGAGAATCAAAATAGCCAGGCCCGTCCATGTCAACAACAGCCTCATTCACCACCACGCCCTGCAAGCTCAAACGGCGACTCAGCATTGTGTAATCTTGATGCATTTCCGGCTCCTCCCAGGCAAAGCGTGCATACAACGTGTCTTTCCAAAATATTAGAGCCCGCGCGCCTCAGACTAGTAGCACTCATGTCCCAGCGCGCGGATAGCGCAGTCCTGCGGCCTCAAAGCCAAAGCCAAACCTGCCTACATTCTACCTACGTGGAGGCCTTGGTCCACCCTCAGTATCTGTCTATCGCGGATTTTGAATAATGTTTGACACTGGAAGATCTGGAGTGGCCCTTGGCCGACAGTTGATGTTTCGTGACTGTGTGGGAACGCCGATACGTGCGATTGCTACTTGTCGGGCACAAACGTTTCTACGATAATGGCTTGTAGGACGATTGAGGGTGTGTGCCGGTAGCTCTGATGCCGGACTCGTGTGAAGATTCAGGATATATATCGTGAGGCTGGTGGGGAGATTGCGCAAGTGTCAACCCGAAGGATCATAAGATAGCATTTAAACCAGGCCAAAACTCAGATTTTACAGACAGAGAAGGCGATAAGAAGTCTCGCATTATCACACTTACAAGGCAGAAGTATCTGCGACGCGAAACGAGCATCTTCTTGCAATGCCGGTCCCGCAAACCTGACGTCGAAGTCACAGACAACGGCTGGCTTGGCGCTTCTGCCAAGCATCCGACATCAACACTACCAAGCAGATCGACTACGAAAGAATCTGGAGACATTGCCTAACAAGCCAGGCTAGGTAGTTGATTGAGGAGCACTGAGTTCAGGGTCGGGGCGTCTGCCGCCCGTGTTCTGTTTCTGGTGAGCAGGAAAGAGACGCGTGCAGTGAGGGAGGGCAGTCCTGGACTCAAAGGTTGTAATCAATGCCCATCCTGACCACATTTATGCATCCTTGATGCGCGGTTATATTTGGTTCCATCTTTGTTGGGCCGGCGGGGTTATGTTTGAAGACAGTGAATGGGGTAGTGAATGGGTGTGGGAGGAGATGCGAAGTCGAGAGAGTGGCATAATCTGAAAACAATCGTACAAAAAATAGTAATCACGGCTACTAGTAAGATCAAGATGAGCGAGCCTATCCAGCGACCGACTTGAGTGGCGCAGATACCATGAGGGGGCGCCGAGCAGGGTCAAAATAACTCGGAGGCTGGCGGAGGAGATGGACGATCGAAGGCCTACGAACAACAGCAGAGGCCTCATGCAAACAGCACTCTCTGCACGGAGCTTTGATTCAAATGGGTTTCCTTCTCATCAGCTTCAGGACAAGGTAATGGGATGCGCGTCCTGGATGGGAAGCCCTGCCATCCTCCGCCAGCGCACCGTAGGTAGCCACCAGAGAGTCCAAGCACCATAGCACGCCCTCACGCGCAGACCCAATTCCACAGACTCAATAAGACCAGCTAGAAGACCCTCAGTAGTAACACAAAAGGCCAGGTAGCTCAGTGGGGAGCGGTAGGCCACAGATACTCGCTTCCGACTGCAGCCCGCAATCTGAAAGATGAATGCATAAGCGCTGGAACTAAGGTTGCTTCTGTGGAGCATACAGGCTGCAAGTTCGACTCTTGCTCTGGTCATTTCTCTTTTTTGCTTCTTTTTTGCTGCCCCCGCCTGCCTCCAGCTCTCTTCGTCTGTTTGGCTTCGTTGGGACGGGGTCTTGTGTTAGGTTATCCGAGTCAGAGGGAGAGGTAGCGTAGCCCACAAGAACAATTGACACCAAGCGAATCCGAGAAGAAGTCGTTCTTTTTGCTCTGCGCGTCGAGCTTTCGGCGTTGGTGTTTGGGATGCCTGAGGCTCGGTCAGGATACGCAGACAGCGGGCAGCAGGGATTTCGGGATAATCTGTTCAAAGCCGTTAGCCAGTCTGCTGTCTTATGCCAACAATACTTACAGTACTTCAGAAGAATTAACAGCAATTATGAGTACGATTAGATGGTCTGCATGATATACAGGATGTACATGTTCAACCCCTCACGATATAATACCCGCCCCTGCCCTCCTGCTCAACTCCACTCCTCACCCCAACACGCTCGACGATCTTCTGCCCACGCGTAAGGACATTTCCCGCACTATCTTTGGTTCGATCAAACCACCCGCGACGATCTGCCGTTTCAGGGCCCCACAGTGGATGATCAAGGAGCGCCTGCACGTACTCGGCGTCATACTGCTCCGCCAGCAGAGAAGCTTCTGCTGCAGCCTGTCGCGCGGAGACGAGGTCGTTTTCCGTGCGAGGTGATGGAAGTGGCATGTCCGCATGCAGAAAGCCGAGGATACGGACAGTGATCGTTAATGGGCAGTTTGAGATTGAGTCGTGAATGAAGCGGACGACGGAGACTTTGCGGGTGGTTTGGGAGAGTGAGACAGGGCCGGTGTGCTGTGAACCGTCCCAGGGGAGGACGGAGAGAATGATCATCTGCCAGTAGTCAGTACCAGCGCGTGCCCAGCCGAAGAAGTAGCCGCGAAGCTTGTCTTGAATGTCGGAAGGTATCTTGACGGGCATTCGGCTGAGATCATGAGATTGGGAAGGCCTCGCCGTGAAGTCCAGCGGGTATGGAGACTGAGGACCGCTTTCTACTGATGGCGGTACAGTTGTATCGGGACCGTTTCCACCTTCCGGCTTGAGGGCTTCATAGGCAGTCTGTACGGCGGTCTCTCCAAGCCAACCCGGCCGGTAGCGCGACGTCACGGTGTTCGCTACTGCGGTCACCGGAGCTACAACTCTCGACGCCGCAACCTGCGCATACGTCCCAGCAACAAGGGCACCAATCTCCAGTGGCATGGTGGACAGGCTAGCACCGCGAAGCGAACTCGGATCGATTGACGTCGAGAGAATCCGGAAAACAGGACTCCGACAGAGAACCTTCTTCTCTCCATGGCACAGTATCAGCTGGAAATACCCGTCCTCAGCATCTGGTGGTATCCGTGCAACGACGGTCTCTCGCAATCGATGCGTTTGTACCCTTTTCGTAGCTTTCTTGTAAAACTTGGCGATATCCCGCTGCCAGGCGCGCTCTTTGTTGGGTTCGACCTGATCAGCGCGGACCGCAACAGTCGGCGTGGCATTTACCCAGTCATCGTGCATGCGGAAGAGCGCTTTCGCGCGCATCCCAGTCTTCCCACTCCATCCTTTGCATTGTAGCCAGAGCGATCTGTCGGCGGGGAGCGGCGTATCGGCGAAGATGGAGACGGTCACGGACGTTGTTGGGCCGCGGTAGAAGACGATTCCGTGCGAGTGGCGGAGAATAGAGTAGTGCTTTGTTGATTCGGAGGGGCGGCTGATGAGGCCGCCGAGAAAATGGCGGGCATCGGCGTAGAAGCTAGACTTTTCGGAGTCTGCGGGAACGGTGGTTTCGGCGCGTGGGAGCGGCGGAGGATTCGGGTTTTGCGGACTCAGAGGCGGAGGAGCACGGAGATTGGGTTGGCTTCGGTATCGTGGAAGGGAATGCGGTGGTTGGAGCGATGGATTGGGCGACGGTGATGGCGAGGGTGCGAAACGGGGAGGTGGAGGAGGAAAGTGAGGAGAATGAGGAGAAGCCGGGGAATAGGGAGAATACGCGACATAGCGTGAATATGGAGGCGGTGGGTTGGGCGTCAACGGTCGCTGAGCGCCATACTCGATTGAAGGCGCAGGTGCTGGAACGGGCTTACGCTTGATTTCCATTTACTTTCGATATCGATATCTGCTAAAAACATTGCGAGATGAAGCTATCTACTGCCATGGCCGCGCTATACCAAGTCACGTGAGACACCTGCTATCGAAGCCATTGCTTGGGACACGATGATAGAAAGGTCACTTCCATATAGTAAACGGACAAAAAGGCATTCATTATCTTCTACCGCAAGCTAAATATGTCCTAGATAGACTTGAGCCGGGGCCTAAAACTACGACCAAAATATGTCAAGAACAGTAGCAGTCTGCTCTCACCCAAGTTCCTTCCTTCTCTCCTTCTCCAATCCGGTTTTCGTCTCATCCCCACCATTATTCCTCCTACTTTACCATCCGCCTCTGACTCTAAACAACTCTGAACTGCCTCTGAGCTGCCTCTGAACTGGCTCGGAACTGAATCTGCCATTATCATCATCGTCGTCGTCTTGGTTGCAAAAGTTTCAAGAAGCCTATTTCGTTGACCATGGCCGATACCGAAGACAGCAGCGTCAGTTCCCACCACAACTCACTCGGTACGTTCTTCCTTGCCTTGATTAGGTAGTCATTAGGCCGTGGACAAATTGAAAATCGAGACTGACATTTACTGTACCTCTACGGACGAGGTCGACCTGAGCAACGAGAATATTGACGACGAAGAGTTGAGTGAGGATGAAGAAGAAGATCAGTGAGGATGAAGAGGAGATGAGCCAGGATGAAGACAACTGGGAGAAAGACGTTGAGGATCACGAATTCGTGATACAGGATAAGACAAATCCGGCAATGGTCAGACTCTGTCGCTCCGACCTCGATGACCCCAAGCACGAACAATGGGCATATATTATCCACGCAAAATGCACGCTTGACGAAAAAACAGTGGCACACTGTTCTGCCACTGTGGTCTTCAGAGAGTCGATCAGGGACGAATTCTGGTATCACCTGGATAGAGAAATCGCAGATACATTGGATATTGCTTTCAAGATCTTTGATCGATACGGGGCTCTGCAGCAAAAGTTCCATTCACAACCTGTCCAAAGAGGAAGCGGCGCGTGGGGATACGAACTCGACACTGGCGTCCTCTTCATCATCGAATTGCTTCACGTTACAGCAAGAAGCCTGCATGGAGTTGGACTGGGGAAAACGACGGTCTCCCTAGTGTTGCAAAAAGCTCAAAGTTTGGTAGAAGATAAGAAATCTGGCCACTGGACTACAAAGTCGAATCGGACTGTCGAACGCGCCTGGTCCTTGCATGCCCTTACACTGCCTGGCTGGCTGCACGAAGACACCAAAACAGAAATCGAAGGGAAGTCAACCCGGCAATGTCGGGAAATCAGGTCCAAGGCTGTGGACGCAGCTGTTGGCTTCTGGAGATCATGCGGATTCCGCCGAATTGGAGCTTCGAGTTGTGCATGTTGTCTCGAAACAAAAACCATTCCCAATCAACGTACAATTCTAGACCAACTCAGCAGGAACACTGATGCTGACCATGGCCTATTAACTCAGAAAACGCGGGACTATCTCCAGAGTGCCGGACAAAAAGCTGGGATTACGACCGTGGTTAGAAACCTCCTGGACAGGGCAAAGATGTACGGCACAAAGGCCGGCAAGGAAGTTTCAATTTTTGAGTCATCTGAGTACTCGCCTCCAGAGGAAGAGCTCCCACGTCTGCCGGCCTGCCGCAACGATCGCGAATTCGGTTTCGTAGCTTCGATGTGGGGGATTTACTCACCGACCTTCAGTATCTTTGACCACCTCTTTTAGGCTTTTCGACCATGGGCGAGGTTGTTGAAACGTTTCTATCTTACCCCGAGCGTCTGTAGCCTTTAGTGCGAGTCATCACGGGCCTTTCCGATGACATGATGAGTTCGAGTTTTCAGCTGCAGCAGGGTATCTCGCCGAGCCCCGAGTATAATGTAACAAGAGTTTGAGTACAATGATATGATCTTGTATCTTTATACTTCCAGCCACTGTATATTCCACGCCCGAGAAAGGGAAAACCAACTACTGACAGCTGCGGATTATGAACGACTGGATGGCTGACTCTCATCCATGGTCCCACAGCAAGCATCCTCTGGGGGCGCAAGGCTCATCCTGGTCATTCCATGTCTAGTCTAGACCAGTGTCGAATGCTCAAGTCCAGGGGCAGACACACACTCGAATGCGTCGATTTCAAGATCAAGCAAGGAGATACCAAGGGGCATACAAAGGTTATTATCAACCCCTCCGTATCCAGCTTCGCGGCAAGGCACTATCAGCAGATCTGGAACCGATGCCGCCTCAACGTACCTTTTGGGTGTTTGCCAGGTGCACTTGTATGAGGGGTACACACCTAGCTACACGTTCGCTTCAGGAGGCAGATAGAAGAGAGAAAGGACAGGGGCATTGTACTATCCTACAAGTGCAAGGAGGACAAGACTTCCAAAGCAAAGAAAATCCAAAGCAATACTCATTCTGATTTATATACACATGCAAATACCACAACCCACCAGCGCCGTCCGCCAAAGTCACTCACTCCGTCCACTTCTTTCACTTCTATATAAACGATGCAAGTGAGAAATAAACATAAACATATACATAACAAAGTCATAGACAGAAAAGGCAAAAGTCAAAGGCATAAACATGAAAGTATGAGTCCTAACTCATCCACTAGGAGACCAGAATCCTCCATTTCTCCCCACCTCTCCGCCCAGTAGGTAAACTAGGCGAGCTTAATGGTGAAAGTCCTTAGAGTTAAAGGGCTCAAAGTCCTTGACAATGTTGCCGTAAGTCCCCTTGAAGCTCGAATCATGCGTCACAGCACGAGTCGCAACAGTCCGTCCCCTGATCTTGATACCCCGCTTCGCAGAGCTCGAAGCATCAGTCATAGAGACGGTGTCAGAGTTCTCAAGATGGCGGTCGCAAGTACCCCCCGGAACAATCTGGTCCCCAGCCTTGCTCTCAACAAGGGTATACTGGTTCTGGATCTTCGCATAGTCCGCCTGCACACCGGGGAACCCACCGGGCACAACCGTATCATACACCGCAACGACCGTGTTCTGCGCGACGTTCTCCACCTGGTTACTCTGCGCGTAGTTATCGGGCACATTGCTGTCCGCATTATACGCATCCAGCCACTCCTGGGTACTCGAGAGCGCGCCGTCTCCGTATGCACCCAGGAGGTCAAGACTGTGCCCGGTCTCATGCAGCGCAACGTCAAGGTTCTGGCTCGTCGTCCCACTGAAGCAGATATTGCCATTGCTGTTGAAAGCCCAGTTGTCGCCGGGGATTGTGAGGACGTGGCGCACCCAGCTGCGCATGCGCACGGGGATCCGCCCGAACGTGTCGACCAGCGTCTCGAAACTGTCGGCCGACTCCTTGTGCCGGCAGAAGGACCATCCGTCTTGACAGTCCGAGAAGAAGATGTCCCAGACTTCGAAGTCGGTGGGGTTCAGGCCTTGGTCTTCCGCGATGGACTTGCAGTCGGCCGGCATGAGGCCGTCTTCCCATTTGCCCCAGTAGGGGCCGGAGTTTGAGGGGAGGTTGGCGACGTTGCCTTCTAGTAGGTAGTCTAGGTCGGAGGTTAGGGCGGGCTTGTCGAGCTGGGCGCGGGAGAGCGCGGCGAGGGCGGCGGTTAGGAGGAGGGATTTGGTCATGGTCATGATGGTGGTTTGATCTTGTGATGGTAGGAAATGACGGGATGTGGTAGAGGATGATAATAGTAGACTTGGAAGAGAAGCTTGATGGTTGATCTGATCTGATCGACGAAGACGAAGGGCCTTGGGGTATATATACCCTATTTCGCGACCTCATCTCCGCTATGCAGGGCAGGATCTCGACCCTGGATCGGACCAACACTAACAGAGCCATTGTCCGATGCGAGCAGACCCTAAGCCTCAATGCGCAAAATACCTTGGCCCGTACTGTCCAGGTGAGTCCAATAGAAACCGTTGCAGCCGGGGGATTTGGCCCCCATTTCTGCAGGACGCCTTGCAATTTCACTCGGAGTTAGGGCTCTCCCGCGAGCAGCGTACTACATGCAAATCCGAGATGGGACGTTGCACGCCCAGGGCGGATCCTGCAGGAACAGCTGCGGCCGTAACGCGGCGCAATGAAGCATAGCCCTACCTTGGCCTATTCAGGTTAGCCTGACGGTGTATTGTGGAGAAGGACGGCCTGCCCCGACCCTGCGATATTTCCGTCGGGGCGCAGCGCGGCAGCACCAGCAAGCTCCGTGAGCTGAAACCCTGCAAAAGTGAAGAAGCAGAGGTCAGGGCAACGTCGGAATGTCAGGAAGACTGAGCATTTGCCGAGCTGATAGAGATCTATCTGGAGTACAATACCTACGAGTACAATACCCGTCTCTCTTAGGCTTCCCTGATCATTGAATGGTTCCTGAATCCTTAGTCGATTCCATCAAGCTCATAGTCAGATCGAAATATATTCAGGCAAGCCGTTTCTGGGGCTTGAGACTGCGTACTGGCACCGACCTACAAGATCCCCAGCTTTACCTAGTTGAGCATGGTAGATACGGTCGTGAATGAGCGTTGTGGAGATCTGGGCTTCTCGATCTATACCGCCCCTCCCAAGCCACAATCAGGATAAACGATAGGTGGAAGTGAAAAGAGCTGGATGTTCTGAAGGCCAAGACTCGTCGAAGCACATAAGAATAGCTTAAAGGGGCTGAATAGGTGATCCTTGGACTATCCCGCTCTGTGGAGCTCGTAAAGTCGTTTCACTGGCCAGCGGGCTTCAGCCGCACGAGTTCGATGCCCACCGTCTGCTTGTGGTTGGTTGGCGCGACAAGATCATGACTCGTGGCAGGACTGAGCATCTATAGACATTGGAGACGACCGAGTAGACAGGTGCTGCTGTAAATAATCTTCACGGCAGAGGGCAGAAAGAGAGAGGTATATCAAGCCTCTCATATTCTTGAAGACAGCTCCTTTGCATCATCAGCCAAGCCACCAAACAGCCAAACATCGTCTTCCATCACTAGAAACCCTCACTCACCTTACACTCGATGAACATCTTACCTTGCCTTATCTCCCCTCACAAGACACAAACCACCGTCAAAATGCACTCCTCAACCCTTTTTCTCGGTCTCACCATGCTCACCGGCGCCATCGCCGCCGACCAAGTCGTGACCATGTACATTCCCGACAACGCCGATGGCCCAGCCCTTGCCGGCGCAGTCATCGGAACGGTATGAGGCCCACCTTCCAACCATAAGACCAAACTGACCATTCTCATCAGCAATCCGACACAACAACATATTCAATCACTTGCGCCGATTCCGTCACAGAGTCCTGCATCGTCCCAAGCGGCGCATCAATCATTCAGGCGCCTGGCACAGTCACCATAATTGCCGCTGAGGCGGAATAGTACGTCACCCATCTTTCCACTCCACTCTTCTCATCTAAGAGGTATAGCCGCTAACATCTCGTGTTCGTACAGCACCGGCACCGCAGCCTGCACATACGGCGATGACGACGAAACCGCGACTTGCTCTGTTGGCATCGACGGCGAGGTCCTGCTGACGAGCACTGACCCTATCATTTCATATGAGGTTACCATCACTGCGACAGAGACCGGCTCGGCGACGACCTCAAAGCCGCTCTTTGGATCGGGATCAGCCTCCGCCACCCCGACGACTTTGGCCAGTAGTACCACCCAGACCAGGAGCGTCGATGCCCAGTCCACCACGACCACGAACACGACGACTGGTGCGGATGCACAGGAGACGGATGAGCCTGGTAACGGAGCGATGGGTGTGGCTGGAAAGCCCTTGGGTGCTGCTGCTATGGCCATTGCCCTGGGGGTTGCCGTTGCTATGCTGTGAGGCGTGGCGTGGCGTTTGCTCGCTATTATAGTTTTCTGTATTCCTTGTTTCGGCAGCGTGTCGGGTCTGAAATGGTTGTTATGATTGCTTGGATACCTGGATAGACTCGATATAATAGATGCAAATTGCTGATCTGTGGCATTGTTGGCCCCGTTTCGGTACGCGGTTCGGCGCCGCTTCCACCAGTGCTCTTTCCTAACTCAAACGTAAACTCAAATATATGCGCCTAGTTTCACTGCAGGCGCATCGGAAGGGCGTGGGTTTTGACCATGTCGCCAACTCTCGAACAGCGTAGGAAATACTTGCCCAGTAAAGCAGCGAAGCACGCTCCTGGTGCAAAGAGACATCATGGGTTCCAAGGGGAATCTTTGCTTTCTGGAATTTAGGAATTGGGCCCTGCCTAGTAAAGGCAGCTTCGTCTATTTACCTAGACCATTTGGATCCGTAAAATGCTCAATGGAATTCTGGTGGAAGAAGTCAACTCCTAAACTGGTTGTTGCCAACCACATAGAAGCGGATCAACAACTGTCGTAAGACCTACTAGATGTTCAAGCAGGCCACTTTTGTGACTTTGAGGAAGAAGTTCTCCCCGCTGGACCAGATTGTTGGCGCGCACGGCGGCGCCTACTCTCGCGATCCATTTGAACACCTTGTGACTTTACAGTCATCATGGCGATACTCTCTGACAGACAAGAGGAGCAACAATTTGGTGACTGGAGCCAAGCGCCGATCATTCCCTATGCCACCAGCTGGACCCGGCGCAGCACATCAGAGTCCTCACAAACAATGAAGTTGATAAGGGCATCCGATGGTACCCTGCGTTCTGAAGCATTCGGTGTCTCTGCGGCTTGAAGGATGCGAACCAGAAGGACCAAGTATCGGCGTCTCTTCATGTCCACATTCACCCAGGTCTGTCCTGCAAAGGCGCTAGCCAAGCTTGATGAGGATAGGTAGACACCCAATCACCGCGGGCTGAATGGAAAACACGCCGGAGACACAGCATTCAATCTCGCCTCTGCCTCTACATTATCAGGAACTCTATCTTTTTGGGCCGGGTTGTTAGATTAAAACATTCTCGCCGTGATCGAGCGGCAACTCGACTGCGTACCAATGAGCTGGGTCACGAAAAGCAACCAAGCGGAACTGAGAGGGGACGTTGAGGAGAACCGCAGCGGAGATTGCTAAGTCTAAACGTCAAACAACCCTGATATACTGTTATCAGCGTGACCGCAACAGAGAGCAAGGCCGGACTAACTTCGAAAGCAGACCGCCCAAAAACAACATCGTTATCCAAATCTCCGGCGAAGGTCCTGAGCCCTCCGGCTCTCCGTATCTCGGGCATGTTGGCACGTCGGTCTCGGGATCGTGGTAGGTAACCGTTTTGCCAGCTGGAGTCGCATGGTTGTAATCGTGCCGATAGTATATAGGAATGTGTAAGGAGTAGTTCTGTGGCCCTTCTAAGGCAGGCATTTGCGCGTTTTTGACCACTTATATGCCGGCAAAAGGATCCTTCAGACCCAGCAACTGCCTCCCCACAACCCCCTGGATCCTTCTGGCCTCGACTCGTCGACAATGGGCGACATCCGGGATATCAGTAACTTTGACGAGTGATGGTGAGTGGAATAGGCGGCTGTGAGGTTATGAGGGCGATGAGCATGATGGTGAGCATGATGGTGAGCGATGAAAGTGTGAGACGTGTTGGTTTGGAGAAGGCAACCTGAATTACCGCAGGGCGAGGCGCGATGACGGCGAGGAGCTTGGCTGACTAACCTTTGGGACAACAAATAGAAAAGACCACTCTACAGAATAAATTAAATAACTCCTCTATGTATAAAACAGAGAGAAAGCAAGCCTCCTATCCCAGATAGCACCAAGACAAACCCCGCGCATCCTGCAACTGTTGGAGGATTCAATTCCAGCAGTAGGTAACACCCAACGGACTGAACGCTGATGTAGGTAAGGCAAACTAAACACGTCTAGAGACGCTCGAAGACGCTTCTATTGCCAAAATTCCAATGGGACACGGTTAGAGATACAAGCCGACAAATGATCACCTTGAGTGTTGGAGTATAAGACATCCAGCAGCATCGCCCGCTATAGTTTGCTCACGCCCACTCCACATGTCTCGCTCATCCTCCCTGTCGGCCCCCAGAGCCCTATTGCCCAGTTCTCTCTTCCTTTCCCCTTTGCGACCTTCTCTTGTTCCCTCTCTCTCTCTTTCCGCACCTCCCGCCACCTCTACAAACGCTGAAGAATCTCGTTTGCATTATACAAACACCCCCTCTTCCCTGGATACAGCCACCTGGTATAGTCAAGGGCCATGCTCCCCGCCCTTTCTCCGGTAATGGTGCAAGTGCCATTGCCCATGCCAACCACACCCTAGTTTCACCAGGTTGAGCGACAGGACCCTTTTGAATCGGAAACATGCCAGAATACTTGTGAGAACACAAAAGTGCCGCCAATCTTGCGGATCCAAGCCGACGGCCTGGTCCGAGGCACTGACAAGCCTGCTCGGTCAGTACTGGATAAAGTCTCGGTATGGCTATAATCCTCCCGTGACGGACACGGCTGCAGCATCTCCCGCTCATTCAGATCGCCGAGCACCCTGGGGCACGAGTGAAGCGTCGCGTGAAAAGATTGTTTGGCAGAGGAGGGAAACGACCAGGGAACGATGACGGGTCGGGATCGGACAGTGGATCGGAGAGGTTCGAGGTTTCCGATCCAAGCCCCCTCATGGCCTTGGACGACGTTCTCTGGGAATCATTATCCAATTTGCAGAGAATGAGGCTAGCTTCTGATCGTTCTATACTCCTGGGAGATTTTGGGCCCATCGACGTTCCAGCACAAGACTATGAGGAGGTTAGAAGGTTCATCAAGCGGGTACAGATGTACGCTTGCAGATGGCGATGCAATCTACAGATTTCACCCCGTTGCGTACGCACATTTCCACCTGTCTTCAGGCCACCTCCTATCCCTGCTCAAACAGGACGACATACTCCCGCACCTCCCGGATATAAGACACGGCCGCCCAAAGGAGAAGGAATACGAGTACCTCACGCTCTCCATAGATCAACGTCTGCCCGCCCATCGGTCTGCCGTAGACGCTACCGGGAGGCCGGGCCCCTCAGGCCCCTGGAATGACCTGCCTGAAGTCAGGGTCCTCAACCAGCGAGGGTTCATGCAGGCGCTGCTGCTTCTGCGCTGCCGGCATATTGACACCAAGCCAGCCGTCGATAATCTGTGGCGTGACATGCTCTGGGAGATCAGGCAAGTCACGGAGCCATTTCGAAGCGAATACCTTGCTTGCCCAGAGGTTCTGTTCAGCAGTACTGGCTAAATTTAGTGATCCAGGACAACAGCCTACCGGAGACTCAGCAAAAGTTTAAAAGCGACAAAGAGGTGCGGAATTGGCGGGGTCATCTGGTGGAGGAGGGTATAGACCCTAGTGCGAAGCCCAACTGGCTGCGCAAGAAACTCGGCAATTACGCTGGCAAGCGTGATAAGCCCTTTCCCATGAAAAAGGATTGGTTTTAATCAGGTTCCTGAAAGCAATATCACTGTAGTAGGTCATACTACCGCAACTATTCCCAAATCAAATCAGTCTCCCGTACTCTGACACACTCAGTGCTAGGTGAACCCTGAGTAGCGGATCTACACTACCTAAACCTCTAGCACCACCGCACACAGCATGGCCTAGTGCAATGGCCCAAGCGTACCCCAGGTATAGTATGATTAGCGACCTGACTGTCTATTCAGAGTCCCGGAGTCACGACTCGACTCGTCCACGGGTGATTACAGGATATTATGGTCAACTTCCGACCGGCCACATACCTTGATAGGAGGTACCCAAGCCCAGTGCAGCAGGACTAGATCACAAGCTCTCTTGGCTGCACTAGGAGTAAGTGTGATCTCCTGAACCGGAAGACTGCAGGCTTGACTTGCTCTAAGAGGCATCAGGGACAATGGTTCCTGCAGGGCGGGCCCTCTAGTGATGCGTGCGGCGATTACGTGTCGGAATAGGCATTTCCAGCCAATCACCAACAGCCTTTTGATGATATTGCGGACTAGGCTCTCGTCTCGAGCTCATCGTGGGCTCTAGTCCGGGGAACGCGTCGATCGAACTAAGATCTTGCTGTGTCTGCGTCGGGGGACATGCCAGATCAGGATGATGGGCAGCAGATGCGCATCTACTTCGCGAGCGAGAACCATGGATCTGCCAAATTCAGGATACTCAATCTGCTGCCAATTGGCTGCGCAAGAGATGAGGGATTGCGATCGGCCGGGTCCAGGAGCTTGGTAGCGTATAAGCACGAGATGCCGCGGTGGGCCGGCCGATCTGTCGCACTATGCCCACTAACTATACAGTACTGACTGTTGACAGGCCATCTGCCCGCTTAAGCTTTCGCTGGTTCCATTCTGATTCTGATGATCCAGAGTCACTATTAAATAGAAGCCATGCCGACGAGGCGCGCGTAAAGCTTGCCACTCCGCGTGCTGTGCATCCTCCTACATGCACCATGGCCGCCCTTATTCGCGCCATGTCTCTGCTTCGGAGTGAGAACCTCAAAGATGGATCTCACAACCTCGTTGCCAGGCAAGCACAATATGTCGAGCCTGTGGACGGCCCGACAAAAGCAGGCTTCATCGCCATGGGCATCTGCGGCGTCATCTCCTTCGTCGCGACCCTCACGCTCTTTCTTTTCCTTACCTTTCGCTTTATCTTCTGGTCGCGCTACTATAAACGACCTCTCGTGCACAACCAATACGTTCTCCTTATCTACAACCTTCTGTTAGTCGACCTCCAGCAAGCCACTGCGTTCCTCCTCTGCCTGCATTGGGTGAGCAAGGGCGCCGTTTACTATCCAAGTGCAGCTTGCATCCTCCAGGGATGGTGGATTCAAACCGGCGATCCTGGCAGTGGGCTGTTCATCATTGCGATCGCGATGCACACTGGTGCCGTTGTCCTCCGAGGCCGGCAGCTACCATACCGGGCTTTCGTAGGCTGCGTTATCGGACTCTGGGCATTTATCCTCGTCCTCGGCTTCATCCCAGTGGGACTTTACGGCTCAGAGACATTCGTCATTTCCGAAGCAGCCTGGGTAAGTCATCTCCCTGACCCTCCATGCCATCTACTCTCCTAACACCCCTCAGTGCTGGATAGGCCCCGAGCACGAGAACGAACGCCTCTGGGGCCACTACATCTGGATCTTCCTCGCCGAGTTCGGGACCGTCGCGCTCTACGGGGTAATGTTCTTCTACCTCCGCCGCCGAATGCTGCACGCCGCCAAGCTCCGCGCCAACCACGGCCACCACGAGAGCCTGAAGCGCCTCAACCGCGTCGTCATCTACATGGTCATCTACCCCTTCGCCTACGTCGTCATGTCGCTGCCCCTCGCCGCCGGCCGCATGTCCAGCGCCCGCCACGTCGTCCCGAGCCGCGTGTACTTCGCCGTCGCGGGGTCCCTCATGGCCCTGTCCGGGTTCGCGGACGCGGTGGTCTACACGCTTACGCGGCGTCAGCTGCTGCTCGATACGGACCTTAGTACCTCGGACGGCCCGTATGCGCGGTATGCGTACTCGGGCTCGCACACGTACCATACGCAGATCACTAGTGCGACTGGTGGACGGGACAGGAAGATGGGGTCTAGGTTTAGGAAGGGCATGCAGACGCTCAACGAGACGGTGCAGGATGATCGGGACGACTCGACGGAGGAGATTGTCAAGGGGGCGAGGAACGGGAGTGGCGACATCGAGATGAACAATTACACGGGCCATGGGGTGTACCAGGAGACTACGATTGAGATTACGCATGAGGCGGCGGACTCTCAGGAGTTCCACCATGAGCATGGGCATGAGCAGTCGGAGAGGCGTAGCGGGTGAGCACGGCTGACTGCATCTTATTCATACTTACTACGGTCGATCGTGACCTTTCTTTGTCTAATGTCTATACTCTCTATACTTCTATACATAATGCTAATGTCAAAACTTATATGTTTGGTCCCGGGACTTGAACTTGCCATTGTCAATCGCGTGCCCATCTGAAGTATCTGTATGCATTACACGCTTTAGCCTCCTGTCAGCATCCCCAGTCGGCAGCAGTCAATCTGGGTATGGGGCCATCAAATGCGCCCTGGAAGCCATCCCCAACAGCATGACAGCATGACAACAAGCTCAAAGAGCACCACCCCAGCTTCTAGCTCGGACACAACGTCTCATCGAGCCCTTTGCCGAACAAGCGTCGCACACAACATCCTTGCTTCCCAAGGTTCCCAGCAGAGATGGTCTGTCCCGAATAGGGCTCGATACAGTCACGTGCAACGCACGCGCAGCTTTCTCACGACCCTCCCTGGGCTTGCGCTTGCCCACCGATACTTGACAGACAAAGAAGACTCATCGCTAGGAAACACTGGTCTGTCGTGATATCCGTCGCAGGTGGCACTCGTCGCCATTGTTATGGCGGTAATCGATCAGTTGTTGCGCTTGCTGCTAGCACAGATACAAATACTGGGTGGGCTCAGGTGGGAAAGGTGGTTTGATCCCGGTTGAAGCAGTGGGACATTGTCTGCTGAGGCAAGATTTCGGAGTCTGTAGTGGGGAGGATGCACAGGTGCTCAGATGTTGGTTATGGATTATATGCTGAGAGTGGTAGAGGATCAATCAATGGTTCTATTCCCTTTGTCTCGTAGATACAGATACAGCGGCGAGGAGGCTGGCACACAAATCCGCAAGTAAGTCCACTGGATGGGTGGCCGGGTAGAGAATACGCTGTGTATGAGGGTCTGATGCACATCCAAGCTATATTACAAGTCAAGAACTGAAAGCAAAGCTGGGGACGATGACTTTTTGAGTTTACGTGTTCCCAATTTGAAGAGTCACTATATGGCAAGAGACAAACGAAACTATGTCAGAGGCTAAAACTAAAAGCAAGGTAGGCTGCTCTATCCACCCTGGTCCTCCGAATGTCTTGGGGGTGTACCAGCCAGACGGAAATAGAAAGGAATTATCGCAAAATAGGCATGAGCTGTCCAGTCCCTGCTACAGCCCTTGCAAGTCTCCATTCACATCCTTTTCCATCACAGCCCAAGTCTGCGGCCGCAACATCCCAGCGAGCCAGTAGTTCCCGCCATGATCCTTCCCCAGCACCACAACAACATTCCGCTGCGTCGGATCCCGGCGCATCGAGTTTGGAAAATGGAATACAGGCGTACCAGGCGGGTTCAGTCTCGACGGGCCCTGCTCGCCAGGCCGCACCACCGCACCGCCAAAGTCCGCTGTTTTGAGTGCATTGGCCCTTGTCCAATTGCTCACGATCATCAGCGTGGCATTTGGTTCGCCACAAACAATTACAGGCTCGCGGCCGGATTTTGCTCGCTGGCGTAGTTCTCGGAGGAGCGCGAGGACCTGCTTTTCTGTTGCTTGCGCTGTGAGATCACGGCGGTTCTGCAGGGCAAGGGGGCCCAGGGTTCCGTTCTTGATTAGTGCAGGTGAGTGGAATGCGAATGTGCCCATGGCCATGTTCTGGATGTAGACTCCGGGGGCTTTGATTAGGGATGGCAGGCGGAAGCGCGCGTTGAGGACCTGGAGCACGGTGATGGGACGTGGTCGGGACAGGGAGCGTGCTATTGCGCGCGATGCCCATGCCGTCAGGACGTCGCCTTCGCTGATGAACGGTTTCTCCGCATCTTGGTCTCCATCAGGAGCTGAGACTGCTAGGTCACGTCTCGCCTGGTGAAGCAGGTCGTCCACCACACTTTTAGGAAGGAAGACAGTCCGGGCCTCGACCGTCCAATTCCACAACATATCCCAGAGGAACCGCAGGGCGAACATGAGCATCGCAACGCCTCTTAAACGCTTCTCGGCGAGCATGGACTCTTCCTTCTGCGCATCTGGCGCGTCGGCAAGCGCACAGAGCTCGTCATCCCGTGCGCCTAGCAGGGGCGGGACTTCCGATTCGCGGCCTGCGACGACGAGAGACCAGGCGTGCAGCAGAGCCTGCTGGCCCATGACGTCCATGAGCGTGTGCGGCCACGAGAGGCCGACCAGAGTCGCGTCGTTGAAGGAGGTGATGTGCAGCGAGAGCTGCGGTGTGTCGTGGTAGATGAAGTCAGCCAGGGTGGCTGGTGCGTTCTCCCGCACTGCGAACTCTTGGAAGGCCCCCGGTCCCTGTTGGAGCGATGGGGTCTTGGTCGGCTTAGGGAGGATGCTTGCTAGTGGGTGGTCTTCGAGGTCCATGGTCAGTGTGCGGTGGGTGTATGACACGGCCGGGCGTTCGGCAGTGAAGGGGTTTGGGCTGTGGATCTCCAGCCGGCCATTGTCCTGGGAAGGTCAGTCCATGTACGGTGATTGGAGATGCAGCAACTGACATTTAACCGAAGGCGCCCGCCCACCTTCCTCCAGTCTCCGATCTCCAAGAGTCGGCATAGCGAGGCATGCAGCTTATCTGCGTCCAGGACGTCGTTGAAGCGCAGGGTCCAGGTGAGCACCAAGTTACGGAAGGCTTTGGTGTCGTCGAGCAGGTGGACCGGGTAGACTTGGTCGCTTCCAACCCTGGCAGGGGGACTCATGGAAGGCGAGAGGCCGAGCAGACGGCGTAAAGGGTCCATTGCAGTGGCAGCGGTGGGACTGATTGTTGAGACAACAGGGTCAGGATTGGAAGATCAACGGTGTTAGATGAAGAACTGCAGAGGTGCATTCCATCCCTTGTGTCCTGCATTCACCGCTCTCTGATCATCGATAGACCCCCCAAAGCAGTAACAATCGGCGATCACCGACTCTGTCAGCCAATGGTGGAGAACGCTCAGGCGCCTCAGGCAGTCCTGATTGATTAATTGAAATACTGCAACGCCTACCACTGAATTACTCGCCTGTACGACAGTGATATCTACAGTTCTTAGGATATCACAACGTATCAGTAAAAGTATTTGGAATTCTCGTCATTTCTCGAAGCTCAAATTGTCTATATAAACCCTAGTTAGCTTCAGCTTTTGAATATCAGTTCGATCGACAGCTTTCCTTGTACGGTATTCGAAGGGCCTCATAGACTACTGTTGGCGAGAGAGTGCCCGTACTTTTGTTCTTCTTTCTTTCTGAGCGCCAATGGCTGCTTGTCCTGGCTGACACGAGTATCCGGGGCCAACGAAGGGGTGATATGGAAGAGTGAACTTACTCGAATCGTCTGAGGTGTTTATGGTGTATGTGAAGATAGATGAGTCGATGGATATGGTGTAAGTGAAGATATATGATTCGATGAATATGACTGGATGGTTGTGACTGGATGGTTGGAGGATTAGATGGATAGAGATGAAATTCGAGATACCCTACCAACGAGAGCCTACATATCACATTCACCCCATATGCGATAGCCAGCGGTAGAGGACAATGGAAGAACACCACAACTGGCTGCCCTAAGGCTTGCCTGGTTTTGCGGGTCAGGTATAGGCTCTCCCATAGAAACATTCGCCCGGAAGATGTACCAGACTTGAAGACCATCTCTTCTTCTACGCTCGGGAACAGGCAAGATAACAAGGCCGACTTATTCAGGCGTCGAAGTTTCTTCTTTCAAGACTTGCCCTTGGCCTCAGCAGCCGCGATGCCCGTCTGCTTAACGTTGTCTCGAAGTTTAGTCCCGCGTAAATTCGAGAGGCAGATGCCCCGCTATTTCATGCTGTCGGATAGCGTGCGTTTGAGAAGAACCGTGGAATTGAGAATTTGACGGTTTCAGGACGGCTAAGAGCGCAGAAGAAAAAGCAAAGTTGACTACTTAGCCTATAGGGCTTCTGCCTATGCCAGCGGAACCGACGTCGGCCATCCACGGATGTTGCGATTCGTCCCAGGTAAGGAGGAAGGATGTAGAACATCACAAGGCCATAGTCCCAGACTCCGTGAGAACTCAGAAGTGAGAGAGACATCTCAGTTCAGAAACAGACATATATTGAACTTTGCGACTGCCTCGCGTTTCGAAGGCAGTAGGGACTGAAAAGACGGTGTCGAAAGGGCCGCCAGAGAGATCCCTGCTGTTAACTTAAGGCACCACATACACACAAGCTGGAATTGGTTTGAAGCCGGGTGGGCCGTTCAGGGGAAGGCATTCAGCGTTGGGGGTCACCGCCGCATTCCAGACAAGGTGTAGGCTGAAAGACGCTGTGCTATTCTGAGTCAAGCTCCAGGGGAACATGGATAAGTGGATGAATAGGTCACTATATCAAAGAACCAATGAACACGGGCTGTCGTAGAATAATAAGCGAAGCCCCATGTAAACAGACAGCACCATGGATAAGTGGATGAATAGATCATACACCCTACAGCCCTTGGGATCAAGGGCTATCGTAGCCCCAGGGCGGTATTCCAGGAAGCAGTCTTTGAAAGACCATGAACAGACGGCCCCATGGATAAGTGGATGGATACACATTCCAAGTTTGAAGCCCCAACTTAGACTCCCGAGGACATTGAAGCTGTCCAACGAGCCTCATTTGGATGAAGCGCCATGTCCCGCCCTTTTCGATTGTCGCTGATGAATGTCATCGGTGCTGAGATGCCGTGAATGGAGGTTGAGCATAGGTAGCGGTCTATATTGACGAGCCCTAACGCCCAATCTCATGTCAGCACACTGTATCAGACTCCGATATACCACCGGAACATACAAGTGGACGCGTTCATAAGACAATGGAACTCACCCAGCCGGTTGAAGTCGTCGTATTGAGCGGAGACTGTGAGTTTTGTTTGAGGTGCAACTCAAGGTTCTCTGAAGGGGTTACCAGCAAACCCATTGTGAGGTATAACAAGAAGCTCGCTTGGTTCCCACCAATGGCGGCAACGGCACCAAGTCCACGCAGGCTCAGCAGGACGAGCAAGAGCTCCTCGAGAAAACATTTGCGGAAGCAGAATCGAGGCCGTGAGGCCCGGGAAAACGAAAGTATTTATGCCCGCTCCGGGGGAGACGACGGGGAACGGTGCCTTCAAGGGAGTGGTCACTGTTCCCCTATGCATTAACTGTCTCGATCACCTGGCGTTGGATATTGAATAGCTCTAGAGCTCGAGCCGTCACTATCCCCTGAGTTCAGGCTTGAATTGCTATGGGCTTCGACAAGGTAGTCTCCGAATCACAGGCCATGGAGTCACTTCTTGAATGAAGTCGGTTACAGAGCAACCGCAAAGAGTTCAAATTAACCCTCCTCGCCCCCCGGAGTCAGACACTGGCTACGTGAACGATTTCGTATTGGAGCTCGTCACCAAGCGCCTGGATTAGCCTTCGATTGCGTCGACCTCAGTGTCCGTGGCCGTCTGTCCGAAGCATCAGCCCGTTCCTGGCCAATGTCTGTGTCCAGAATGCGTCGAGCAGAGTCCGCGCCTATATCCATTTTGTTTTGATATCTCTCGTATGGAAAGCACCGCTTCCTGCTTCATGGCGGGTGCCCCCAGGATCGCTGGCTTGTGGAAGAAAGCTCGGTGACAGGGCGTCCGCAGAATTCACCGGCAAGATCAATTTACTGCCATGATGCACTGAGGCAGTCAGAGAGAAGTCCAGTCACAGGACGATGTCACTTCCCTTCGAGACTTCTTGATATTTTTCACCTCGGCCAGTGTAAGGAAAGGAACAGATTCCAATCGCAGTCACTGGTCAGGGAGTGCCGCCGGAACGAACACGAAAGGACGAGGTGGCGACGAGGGACCGGATCCGCCCCGCCTCCCGGTGGAAAAGTAAACTCAAAAAGTTCTTACACGAGGATGGACTTGGAAAGGCTTCCGAGGAAACACGAATGATACAAAAATAACGGACGTGGTATATGGTATATGTGCGTCTAATCAAAATGCAATGCGAAAGGCTCAACCCATGCATCAAGGCTATATACAAATGTTCATGACACGGCATGGTCACATATAAACAAGAGGAAATTGATTCAAACGGACAAGAGCACTAAGCAATCTCCGCGTGCTCAGTGTTCTCCTTCCTAGCGCCCCGGGCATCATCGTGGTACGTGATCCGGGGGATCTCGTACTTGCTGCTCTCCCAAGGCTTGACGTGGTTGATGTACATCCAGTCGAGCTCCTCGAGGGTTCGGTCCTTGCCCTCGATGACAAAGAAGTAGACGACGAAGACAGCGACGAGGAGACAGCCGGCAAAAACGTAGCCGTAGGCAAAGTCAATGGCTCCGGTGATGAAGGGAGTGAAGAATCTGGAGGCGAAATTAGTTTGATGTCTTAACTGAGCTTAAATGAGAAGTGGAGACATACCCAATAAGGAAGTTCCAGAGCCAGTTGGAGGCGGTGGCAAGAGCCATACCCTTGGCACGGTACTTGGAGGGGAAGAGCTCGGCAACAATAGACCAGACGATCGGACCCCAGGTGGTGGCGTAGAACAGGACGAAGAAGGACGCGACGACAACCATACCCTTACCGGGGCCGGGAGTATTCTCAGGGTGATCAACATCGAGCATGAAGTGGCCAATGGAGGCGAAGATGATGAAGCAGATGAACATCAGGGTAGCACCGGCGATAAGAGACTTGCGACGACCGAAGTTCTCAACAACGTAGAGACCACCGAAGGTTGTGCCGAAGTTAATGGCACCAAGGATGACCTGGGTCACGAAGGAGTTGGAAATACCGGCACCTTGGAAAATAGTGGTACCATAGTAGAAGAAGTAGTTGGCGCCGGTGAGTTGCTGGAGAGCTTGAAGGACGATACCAAGGATAATGCGGTAGAACATGCGCGGGGCGGTAATGAATTCGTGCCACACCTGGGTCTGCTCGCTTTCGGCATCGAGCTGGGCTTGAATTTCAGCCAGCTCGCGAACGATGACGACGTGGTTTTCGGGAACACCATACAGACGGGCCATGGTTTGACGGGCAGCATCGATCTTGCCGTGGCGGTAGGCAAAGCGAGGGCTCTCAGGGAACATAGCCATGCCGAGGCCGAGAATAAGGGCAAACAGGAAGGTCAAGCCAAGGGTAATGCGCCATTGGGCACTGCCCTCCATACTCTCGGTTCCCAGGTTGATACAGTACGCTAGGAAGATACCGAGCGTGACAAACAGCTGGTAGGAACTAATCATAGCTCCACGAACATGTTTAGGGGCGCTCTCTCCTTGGTACATGGGTACGACAAGGGAGCATCCACCGACACCCAGACCAGTGGTCCAACGGCCCATCACCATCTGGACCCAGTTGCCGGAGGGGGCGGAGATCTGGACGATCAGGCCGACGATGAGGATCATACACCAGACAGTGATGGACCATTTTCGACCAAGCTTGTCGGCGACGGGAGCACCACAAAGAGCACCAACGAGTGTACCAATAGACAGCAGACTAACAATCAGACCAGACCGGACGTTGCTGAAGGCATATGAACCATCCGACTGGAGCTGACCGTAGCGTTCAAGGTAGTCGGACATTTCCTGAAAACCAGAGATCTGACCGGTGTCATATCCGAAGAGGAGGCCACCCATGGAGACGAACAGGCCCATGACGGCAGCGCGCAGCGTGATGCGGGGGACAGGGGTGTCGACCCCAAGCTCAGGCTTGGTGCTGCCAATGGTCTCTTGGCTAGAGTGGTGCTGCGGCTGAACAGCCGGAGCGGGGGTAATGGATTCCCCATGATAAGAAGAAGACTCAACACCCATGGTTATGGCGCACGGGTAGGAAAGTGATAAGAAGTGAAGTGAAGAAAGAAGGAAAGTTGGGGATGCGGGATTCTGGGGATGTGCAGAGGGACTTCCACTTTTATAAGGCGAGCAGCTGAAATGAACCAACGTAAGCAGTCCAGTCTGGTTGCAACCGTCCGGGTCTTGTGGAGAATTCTGGAAAGGCGTCGAGGGCTGTCATCCAGAGAATCCAGGCCATATGGTAGCGAGGGTCCACCGACTCCTGAATCTCGGACTCTCCCCATACGGAGAACTCCGCGAGAGCCCGATCAGAGGCAAGAACTCGTTGAGAGACAGCTGGTAAGCGACCGCTGTGTCTGTGTACCGCGAGTCTACATTACTCTCGAGTACATTATCGAGTTGGCAGGGATACATCATAGGCTTCATAACGATACTTGGCAGCAAGCCGAAGCCTCCGGAGCCGACGTTGGTGGCGCAAACGGACCGCATCAGGCACGGGACCTGTGACGCCTTTTCCGGGCCAAGCAAGGCACTTGGAGGCGCCGGGTGCCGTGGAAATGGAATTCTGCGGCCGAAATCTTCAAACTCGGCATGCCATGGACGGGCCGGGCTTGGCTGTGGCTTGAAGGATCAAGAAGATTCTGTTGATATTTCCATGGTCTTTGGAACAATCGCATCGTATCGTACCATGTTGTGATGACCAGCAGTGACGTGATGACAGATCGGGCACGGAACCTGGAAGTCCCAGATACTGGAGAAGATGGGGACGCGGAGAGAAAACACGGAGAGGCGATTCTTGCCTGAAATGTTGACCGGTGAGCCTCCCCAGGATTTCAGTACGGAGAACAGTATGGGGTCATCATGATGGCATGATGCATCACTTATCTCGCTCACTCTCTCGCTCTCTCGCTCTTTTTCTTTCGTCGTATAAAATCCTCTTTTTCCCTTCCTAGTCAACCTTCTCCCCAGTCCACGGCTATACGGTCGGTGACTCGGTGGTCAGGCTGCGACCGTGAGTCCGAAGATCAGCCGAACTCGGCACTGGAATGCGACTTGCCACCCGACCGGCTCAGCTCTGAAAGCGCACCTTTTCCGACGGCTCGCCCACGAGTAAGTCGCTTGCATGCTCCGACAACCCACCAAGCTTTGTGGATTCCTTGGCTGACTGTGGTGGCTGTAAGAGGCTGGTTTCCACGATCTGTGGACATATATCATGTGAGTGTTTTAAACGCTCATGTGAGCATCACCCCTAAAATATAAGTAAAAAAAATGCCAAGCCAGGTAAGTTAGTAATAAATATATAACTAACCTTAATTAGTTAATCTTATATAATTAATATAATCTTACCTTTTTAATAATTTTATATTAATTAAAGTTTAACACTAATATTATTAGCTAATTACTAATTACTTATTAAGCGCTAGTTTAATATATTATTAGTTATAAAAAATATTTTTAATAATATAGTAATTAAACACCTAATCCCGCGTGGTATAAAAAAAAAACCAGGTAATAAAATAAAAATAATTAAAATAAGTATAAAGTACTTATAAAGCGCTTATAAAGTGCTTACTAACCTAGTATATAAGTAAAATAACTATATATTTTTAATAAATATTAGGGGACGTGATCATGCTTTAAGGTTATTAAAGGTTAAGTATATTAATAACTTTTTAAAGTATTCTTAATTATATATTAATAAATATACTTATATTATACCCACAGGCAGCTAATTAAAAAAAAAACTAGTAAAATTAATTAAAAATATAAGTGCTTATTAATTATTAGTAAAGCACTTGCTAAGTAATAGCTAATTATTTAGCCTAAATTTAATATATAAAGTATTAATTTAAAAAAAGCAAGTTTAATTAAATAATTTTTTATTTTTTTTTTAACACCCGCTGCTATAAAATTAATTATTTATATTTTAAAGTAAATACTTACAAGTATTTAAACCCTAGGCTAAGGCATTATTATTATACTTATATTATTAATAAAATATAAAAATAAATTATATAATATAAGTAGTTTATACCTAGTATAAAAAAAAACTTAAATAAGTAAAATACTAAAAAATAAGTTACTACTTACTAGGCGCTTGGTAATTACTTAATAACTACTTACCTATTACTTATTAATAATAACTAACTACTATTATGCAAAGGTTTAACTTTTTAATAAATAAAATATATGTTTTAAGCCCTTTTTAAGCTACAAGCTAGTATTTTATTAAAAATAGTAAATAATAAGTGCTTGCTAGCTACTTAATAACTACTTACTAATAAATTAAAATATAAATAGTAGCTTTACCCCTTATATTACCTATGTTAATAATATAAGGGCTTTTTAAATAAAGCACTTTTAATAAAATATTATTATAATATTTTTTAATTTAAAGCTTTTAAAGTACCTTTTTAATAAGAATGGGGAGCCTTTATAAAAAAAGTATGGGATTATTAAGCCTTTATAATTTTAAAGGGATTTTTATAATAAGTACTTATATAATACTTAGTTATTACTTAACAAGTAATTATTAATTACTAGCAGGCAAGAATTATTTTTAAGACTTTAGTAAAATAAAAATTTTACTATATAAAATTTACTTTTTTACCTTTATACCTATAAATCTTAAGTAATATTTATATATAGTTTTTAGCTTATATAATATATATAAATATTCTCTGCCTGCCCTAGCAAAAACCCTAAAAAAAATTATAAAAAACCTAGATTAGCTAGTAAAATAAATAAATAATCTAGTATAAATAACTAGTAAGTACTTGCCTAGTACTTATTAACTACTTATTAAATACTTACCTTTACCTAGGCTAATTTTTTTGCAACCCTTAACTTAAGGCTTATTATTAAAAAAATAGGGTTTTTACACTTGCTAAACTTTATTTAAGTCTTAGTAATAAAAATAAAGTTATTATAATTTTTTAAAAATAATACTTATTATTTTATCCCCAGGGGCAGGATATTAATAACCTAATTTACTTATATAAAGTTAATAAAAAAGTTAATATAAGTATTTAATAGCTGCTTAGCAAGTGCTTGCTAATTACCTAAAAATATATTTAAAAATACTTTTATAATACTTAGGGCATTATAATTTTTTATAAATACTTAAATAATATATACTTGCTTTTTAAGTTACGCTTGTTTAAAATTAATATATTTTATAAACGGATCCAGGGTAAAAAAATAAATAAAGTTTTATTTATTATATTTTTTATAAACTAGTATAAAAGTAAGTTTTAACTACTTAATAAGTACTTAATAAGTGCTTGCTAATTACTTACTTTATTTATAATTATTACCTTTTTATATATTTTTACTAGCCTAGAAATAACTAAGAAATATTATTTACTATTTAAATAAGCTTTTATTTTAATTTAAAAAATAATAAAAAAGCTAGTTTTATTTAACCACCTTTATGGCTCTAGAATTTATGGTTTAGTTATAAATATAAATAATAAGTAATATATAGGTTAGCACTTGCAAAGTACTTTTTAAGCACTTATTAATTACTTAGGTTTTAGCTAGTATTTTTATAATATTAATTTAAAAAAATATAATATTATATAATAACTTAAGTAAATCCTTGTTTTTTACTATGTATATTTTTAGTATAATATTTTTAAGGCTATTAATACTTAGGCTTATAGGGGCGGCTTATAAAATTAAATAATAAGCTTACTAAAGTATAAGTTTAAAAAAAATTATAATAATTTAATTAATTATTTAATTAGTAAGCTACTAAGCACTTATTAAGTACTTATTAACTACTTATTTAGCACTTGCTAATTTTTTTATAAAATATAAAAGTAAGATAGTTTATAACTAGGCTATATAAAAAAAAAACTAGGTTATTAAAGTAGGCCTAAATAAGACCTACTTAAAAATTAAGCTAAAGTACTTTAACTTACTATATACTTATATTAATATAGTTAAGTAGTTTTATTAAAAGTTTTATACTTTAGGCAAGTGGCTTATATTAATACAAGCCCTAAAAAAATAAGTACTTGCCTAGTAGTTACTAAGTGCTTATTAATTATATAAGGTTAAATTTATAGCTTTGTAAAACTTAATAAAAATAATATTATTTAATATAAAAATTTTATAAAATATAGCCTTTACCATGGGTATAATACTTTAAAAATAAAAAATAATTATTTAAAAAATATAAAAAATTAATAAGTAAGTAAGGTTAAGGGGTAACTACTTATTAAGTGCTTGCTAACTAATTAAAAAAAATATAAAAGTATTAATACTAGCTTGCTAAGGCCTTAAACACTTTATTAATATAAAAGGTATTTAAAAAGGCTACCTTAAAATTAGGCAAGGCTTTTAAAAAAAAGGTAAAATTAATTATATTAATACTATTTTTTTTAGCACCTAGTATATAAAATAATAAGTATAATACCCTATTTTTTATTATTTACTAAGTGCTTACCAAGTGCTAGGCCCTTATAATATATTATTTTAGTTATATAACCCTTTTAAAATCTTGCTACTAAAAAATAGGAGCTTAAGTTATAATAACTAAAAATATAAATTAAGGCGCAGGATAAAAATACACGGGTAAAATAATTAATTAATAAAAGGGTAAAGCTTAAGCTTATCCTAAAATATAAATAAATTTAAAAAAAATAAATATATTTATTACTTAATAATTACTTGGTAGCTACTAGTAAAATACTTATAAATTTTTAATTATACTAGGGGCAGCCTACTCTTAATATATATATTAATTTAAGTAAGTAATATATTATGGTTAGCCTTATAAAGAATTATAAGAATTTTAAAAATATAAGTTATTTAATAATAAATATATAAATTATTTAATTTACTCTTTATAAACTAATATATATATATAAAATATATAAATAGTATTTTATGCTAAAAAAAAGTAAGCAAGTAATTAGTAAGTAACTGGCAAGCGCTTGGCCTAACCCCCCTATTTAATATTTATTTATATATATTATTAAGTTTAATATTAATTTTATAACCTAGTAATTAGCAAGCACTTATAAAATAGTTTTTAAAAAGGTTAATATATTATATTTTAAAGCTAGTTTAAAACTGCTTCGTGCCTAGTTAACTAGCATATTAAGTAATAAAAAAAAGTTTTTAAAAAATAAAAATAAAATAAAAATAACTAGTGGTTACCAAGCACTTAAAAAATACTTAATAAGTAATTTAGTTTAATATTATAATATAGTAAAAAAAATAAAAAGCTTAAATAAAAAGATCTAGCGCTTGCCAAGTAATTATTAAGTAATTAACTAATAGTTAAAATTTAATTATTACTAGTTATATTAAAAAATCCTTTACTATTATTATTATACATGTTTTATTATAATTAATAAGTAATTAACAAGTAATTAATAAGCACTTATTTTAAAATTAGTTAGCTTATAATTTATTTTTTTAAAAAAAAGGTTTTATTATAAAGTAAGTTAGTAAGTAATTAATAAGTAATTAATAAGCACTTACCTTTAAGTTTATTTTTTTTTATTTTTTATTTAACTTTTTTTTAAAGCTAGTTTTAATAATAAGCTATAAATAATTAGTAATTAGCAAGTACTTAAAAAGTAACTAGCCAGCACTTACTTACTTTTTTTTATTATTAATTATTTAAATACATGCTTTTATACAGGTGGAAAAGCAGGGAAAAAAGGTTTTTTATAAGTAATTAATAAGTAATTAATAAGTAATTAAAAGGGTACTTACCTTTTTTTTTTTTTTTTTTAGCAAGGGCGTTGCAACGGGCTAATACTTAAAGTTAAAAAATAAGTAATTAATAAGTAATTAAAAAGCACTTATATAAAAGATTAAATTTTTATAATTAAAAAAGGTAAAATTTTTATAAGGTTTTTTTAGGTTTTAATAATATATCTTAAAATTATTATAGGTAGTACACGGTATTTTATAGCCTATTTTTTTAACTTTTTTTTTTATATTTATAATATAAGTTTTTAAGTAATTAATAAATAATTAATAAATAATTAATAAATACTTATAATACCCTTCGCGTTATAAAAAAGGGGGGGTTTTAAAAGTTTTTTACTAGTAATAAAAAAAGCTAACTACTAGGCAATTACTTGTAAACTACTTATAATAATATTAGTAAGGGGGGAAAAAAGATACTATTAAAAAAAGACTTAAAGAACACTAGGGGGATTAGCAGTAACTAAATAGTTAATAAGTAGTTAATAAGTACTTATTAATTACCTAAGTAATATTTTTAGTGGCCGTATTACTACCTTTTAACTTTTTAATATTTAAACCATAATTATAAACATGCAATCTAAGGTTATATTCTTTTTTAAAAAATTATAAAAATAAGTAATTAGTAAATAATTAATAAGTAATTACTAAGTACTTATAATAGTAAATATATAGTCCTCCACGCGGTAAAACTTTTTTTTAAAGTAAATAATAATATAGCTGTTCTCTCCCTATAATTAACTAAGTAATTAACAAGTAGTTAGCAAGTAGTCCAGGAGCGCTTATTAAGTAATCTATAATAAAATAAGTAAAAAATAAAAATAAACTTAAAAAATTAATTTTTTAATAAGTAAAAAATTAAGTAGTTAGCAAGCAGTCCAAAAGCACTTGTTAAGTAATTTATAATAAGGCAAGTAAAAAATAAAAATAAACTTAAAAAATTAATTTTTTAATAAGTAAGGGATTAAGTAGTTAGCAAGCAGTTTAAAAGCGCTTATTAAGTAATTTATAATAAAGTAAGTAAAAGGTAAAAATAAACTTAAAAAATTAATTTTTTAATAAATAAAAAATTAAGCAGTTAGCAAGTAATTTAAAAGTATTTATTAAGTAATTTATAGTAAGGCAAGTAAAAGGTAAAAATAAACTTAAAAAATTAATTTTTTAATAAAATAAAAAAAAAAGGTAAATACCAAGCCCTTTACAAGTGCTTAAAAAGTACTTAAAAAAAAAAAATAACTTATAATCTTATAAAGTAGGTACTATATCTTTTTCTTTAAACCGTGTTTAAGGTACTATTAGTACCACTTTTAAAATAGTAAATAAGTAATTAAAATATATTAAAAAGTAACTTAACTAGTTTTTAAGGGCTTAAAAAGTAATTAATACTTATAACTTTATTAAGCTAACCTATTATTTATAATATTAGTAAAGCTTTAATAATACTAAAACACTATAAAAAAAATAAAAAAGGTTAAATATATAATAAAAATTTTTTAGTATTTATGGGTTATATAACCGCCAAGACTTAAAAATTACATAATAAAGGCTCATGTGAGCGTTTGGAATAGCCCAGGTCACCTCAACCCTCCCACGATCTGGGTGTGTCATTGGCCTGGAAGCACTCGGAAAAATGTGGAAGATTCTATTTCCGCCCCCCGGCTATAGTCATGTGGCCGACGTCATCCGTCTGTCCCACACATTATTGCGCTTCCGAGCCCGACCGTTGGCCAACGACTGGCGTTTTGGCTTTTAGGCACCAATGATGGAGACGGTTCGCCTGAAGGCTGAGGCAGAATCTCTGAGTCTGGGGCCAGACCGGAGTAACCCCGATCCCCGGCTCACCTTCTGTTTTTGCGGAGTCTCTCTGATCGCCGCTGGTCGTTGCAACGTCGAGGGAATGGGGCAGTTCGTAGTCTCAGCGTAGCTTGACCCTGGAGTATATCATACGGCGACCGTTATCTCGGCTGAGGATCTCGGTGGTGGACTGAGAATGAGGAAATTTCGCGGCTTCTCTGGCGACCCCAACGTTTGGGAAGTTACACAACAAAATATATATATCACCGCCGAACGCTTGAAGCATCTACAACCAACCCCAATCTCCAACCAGGCCCGACCATCTAGAGTCAATTATGCTATCAACTCTGATTATCGCCGTTGATATGCGCACTCAGAGCAGGTTTATTAGCGTTGAATCCCAATTGTTGTCCTGCTAAGCTAGTCGTTGCGGGGATATAACGTGCCTGATGCTCAAGGCAGACAATCAAAGCGCCAAGCCTTCCTTATCAGCACAAGCATTTGGGGCATTTCTTCTTCCCACCCAGTCTCGCCTCCCGTCTCTTTGCTCTTGCTTCTCTGCCTTGCTCGAGTCGAGCAGTCGGTACTGCGACCCTGACGCAGCTTTCAAAAGCCTCGGCGTTCTATTTGCCGAAATCGCATTGCAGCCCTATGACAGCTTCCCTGCTCTACCGGTACGGTGTATCATCGGAGGCCTTGCGCCCCACAGCACAGTTGAATCGGTATGGTGGCTGCTCTTCCATCGTATAAGGGATTGACGATAGATCAGGCTTAGCCCTCCGGTACCGCCTTGCAGATGACAGGGACATGGCTCTACCCCGGACTCTCCACCATTCATCGCGATGTCAAGCAACGATCGGCGTCCCGCTGCCAGATCCGACAGGGCGAAACATCAACAGACACGGATAAATTAACCGCTTCATCTACTCAGATCAGCCGTGAAACAGCTTTTTGCTTCTGCGCCAATGCCATCACGATGTCGCGTCTTCCAAAGCTTCGGTTCAACCCACCGGAGCTTGGCTCGGTTTCAAATGGGTGACCTGACAGCTGGCAGGAAGATCCTGAGAGGGAGGGAGTATAAGATCGGACGCAGCCTGAACGAGTGCTCAACTGAAGGACTTGAGCTCTGGATCGGTAACCAACATTTTCCGCCAAGAATGAAGCTCTCGCACACCCTCCTCTCGCTCGCCAGCCTGGCGCTGGCCGCCGCTCTCCCACAAGCCTCATCGTCCACTCCTTCACCTTCGCCTTCACCAAGTCCCAGCACGATCGCATCGAGCGCGTTTGCCACGACTTCCGGAGTTTCATTCGTCATCAACGGGGAAGCAGGCTACTTCCCCGGCTCAAACAGCTACTGGATTGGCTTCCTAACGAACAACGACGACGTCGACACCGTCTTCTCGCACATGTCCTCGTCCGGCCTGCGTATCCTCCGAGTCTGGGGCTTCAACGACGTGAACACCATCCCTACCGACGGGAGCGTCTACTTCCAGGTCCATCAGAGCGGAACGTCCACAGTTAACACAGGTGAAGATGGTCTGCAGCGTCTTGACTACGTTGTGAAGTCTGCGGAGCTGCATGGAATCAAGCTCATCATCAACTTTGTTAATTACTGGGATGATTATGGTGGCATGAATGCTTACGTGCAGGCTTACGGCGGTAGCGATAACTCGGAGTGGTATGACAATGAGGAGATGCAGAGTGCGTACCAGGCGTATATTGAGGCTGTTGTGAGTCGATACATCGACTCACCGGCTATCTTTGCATGGGAGCTTGCGAATGAACCAAGATGCCAGGGTTGCGATACGAGCGTGCTGCATAACTGGATCCAGAAGACGAGTGCGTATATCAAGGGCTTGGATGGCAAGCACATGGTTTGTATCGGTGATGGTGCGTACTCCCTTCCTCTACGCACCCGCACTCATTCATGGATGGTATGTTGATTGGTCAAACAGAGGGCTTCGGCCTCGACACATCCTCCGACGGAAGCTACCCATTTCAATACGGCGAGGGCGGCGATTTCGCTGCGGCACTGAGCATCGACACCATCGATTTCGGGACGTTTCATCTATACCCGGATAGCTGTACGTCATTATTTCCCGTCCCATCCACCATTCATGGCACACCCACTGACCAAAGTTCTAGGGGGCACAAACAACACCTGGGGCAACCTCTGGATAACCGCCCACAGCGAAGCGTGCGTCGCCGCCGGAAAGCCGTGCCTCTTCGAAGAATACGGTGTTACCTCGGACCACTGCGCCATCGAGAAGCCGTGGCAGAACACTGCGCTCAATGCGAGCGGCATCGCGGGCGACCTTTACTGGCAGTACGGCGATACGCTGAGCACGGGGCAGTCGGCTGATGATGGGAATACGTTTTATTATGGCAGTGAGGAGTTTGAGTGTCTTGTTACAGAGCATGTTGCCGCGATTAAGGCGAGTGGAAGGTGAAATTTGGCTCTGAGCTGGGCGTGTCTGAGGCTTCGGACTGGAGGTTGGTGGTGATGTGTCTGGGGTGGGATGAGGCTCATGAGCTATGGGGTGACCGTGGACCGTTATCTCAGTCTACTAGATCGATTGCGCCAAGGCACTTGGTTCCGTGTCCGTTATCTATGCCAAGAGGAGACATGAGCAGGGGTACTCTGGGATTTCTGCTGTCTGCTGAATGACTGCATGGAGGACCGGTCATGCTTACCGTACCTCGAGTCCGATGTTATTAACAGAAAGTAGCTACTGCCTCAATAGCATCGTGCCTACTCCATATTCCATCCGCGTCGACAGATAACAGATACCACAGAACAGATAAGCGAGGAGATAAGGCGTGCCTCTCAGCCTTTGTGGCGCTGGCTGGCGGAGATTAGCCTCTGGGCCGCCCCCCTCTGTTTGGCTGTTTATGCGGGGAAGCTGAGGCCCTCGATGCTACCTTCGACAAGCTGCATAACACATGACTCTTATTTTAGTCCGCCCATCCCCAGACTCTCCTCTCTTCCTTTCTTCCGCCGCTCAGAGAGAATTCGATAATTCAACGAGCGCCCACATCTAGCCAAAGATGGCCGAGGAAAAACCAACCCCCGTCACCCATGGCCATCGAGACCCCGAGGCTCTCCCCGTCCCACACAATGAGATGAAGACCGGCACCATGCAGGCTCTTGTCGAAGCCGATCTCCTTGACTCACGCTACCAGAACACCCAGCGTGGACTGAAAACACGCCATGTCCAGCTTATGGCTTTGGGAGGAACAATCGGTGGGCATTCAACCTTTACTTTCCCCTCAAATTGCGACTCTCTAACGTGCTACTGCAGGAACCGGCCTCTTCGTTGGTTCCGGACAGGCCTTGAACATCGGCGGTCCGCTCTCGCTCTTTCTGGGATACCTCTTCATCTCCACCCTCGTCTACTGCATCGTCACCGGCATCGCGGAGGTGGGCGCGTACCTCCCTGTCCACGGAGGCACAATGTCCTACCACGGGTTCCGATATGTGTCTCGCAGTCTCGGTTTTGCAATGGGTTACCTGTACTGGTACAGCTTGGGAATCCTAGTCCCCTACGAGATTGTCGCGGCGTCATTGGTGATTGATTACTGGCCGAACAGCGTTCCGCTGGCTGCCTGGATCACAATCATGCTGGTCGTTATCGTGGTGCTGAATTATATGCCCGTCGGTATATATGGAGAGACAGAATTCTGGTTTGCTGGTATCAAGATCATCACTTTGATCGGATTGTTGATTTTGAGCTTCATTCTCTTCTGGGGCGGAGGACCGAATCGGCAGCGTTTGGGTTTTCATTACTGGAAAGATCCTGGTGCCATGAATACGTATCTCGTGACTTCGAATGCGGATACTGGACGGTTTATTGGACTGTTGCAATGCATCGTCAAGTCCGCGATCGCGTTCATCTTCGCGCCCGAGCTCATTATTGTGACTGCGGGAGAGATGGAATCGCCGAGGCGGAACGTGCCCAAGGCTGGACGGCGGTATATTTATCGACTCGTGGTATTCTACCTGCTCGGAGCTCTGGCAATCGGCGTTATCTGCTCAAGCCAGGACGAGGCGCTCTTAACCGGAGACACCAACAATGCCTCCGCGTCGCCCTTCGTCGCGGCCATCCAGAACGCAGGCATTCCCGTCCTCCGCCACATCGTCAACGCAGCAATCTTGACGTCTGCCTGGTCGGCAGGGAACTCGTTCCTGTACATGTCCAGCCGCAGTCTGTACGGTCTCGCTGTTTCCGGCAACGCTCCGAGTATCTTGAAGACGTGCAATCGATACGGTGTTCCCTGGATCGCCGTCACCATATCCGCGCTTTTCTCTCTGCTCAGCTATCTGGCCGTTTCGTCCGGGAGCTATACCGTCTTCAACTGGCTCATCAACTTCACAAATACCTCCGGCTTCATCTCCTGGATATGCTGCTGCATAGTGTACTTCCGGTTCAATGCGGCGGTCAAGGCTCAGGGTGTCGTTAAGCCGTACTCGTCTCGTCTCCAGCCGTACGGAATCTGGGTCGGGTTATCATTCGCCTCATTCCTGCTCCTTATCAACGGCTTCACTTGTTTCTTCCCGTCTCAGTGGTCAGCGGCAAACTTCTTCACAGCGTACATTGGTATCCCGGCATTCGTGATACTCTATGTCGGACATCGGATCTGGTTCTGGAGCGACCCGTGGGCTTGGAAGAGTACCGAGGTGGACTTGCAAACTGGGATCGAGGAAATCCTTGCAGCGGAGAAGCCGGCGAGGCCGCGGGATACGATCGGGAGGAAGCTGATGGCGCTGGTTGAGTGATCTTGACCTCTGCTAGGAAAGTTAGTCTGCGAGGTAGCAGATCGGTTAGCAGGACACTCAGGGGGAGGTTGCTTTTCATGTAATGATACCAGAGATCTCATGCGGTGAACTGCGCTGGCTTCAAGCCTAAGTTTTGTCAAGCATAGCTAAGAGAGTTTCTAAATAGTGATGCTGGCTTGGTATCTCTCTTCAGAGGGATTATACGCCATTTCTTCTTCGGTGCAGGGAAACAGGCTAGGCACGCCGTCGAAAGTAGGGTGAAAATCACTCTTTCCCTCAGTTCAAGCTCGCCACCGTTGTTCCTGAGTAGGAAACGTAGACTAGGTGCCTTATAAAGCCGTGCTGGGGCAACGGGACGCCTTAGGAAACCGCGGAGCGTGCACGTGCTATACCTCCTGCTGTCTTCGCATTGGACCGGAGCGGACTGGCGGTCATGAAGCATCGATTGGCTGGGTATCTCAAGGTGTTTCCGGACTCTTCTCTCTAGTTTGTAATCCAGTAGTTTGTCAGCCTCGCTATTCTACCTCCGAAAGCTAAACCACACCGCCGAGAACCCTGCCTATAAAAGACTGCTCGAGCCCTCTTCGCGACTTTCCTTCTTCCCTTCTCCAGGCCCAGGTAGTTCAATCAGAACATTGGCATCCAGGGATATTCACTTGGGCGTGTTGGGTAAACCAACGCCCCCAGGGGTCTATCCCTGCTTGCCAAAGACGCGAGTTCAAGTCTCGCCCTGGGCAAACCACCAACCCAGGTAGTGTAAGTAACACGTTGGCGATCAGGGATATTCACCTGGGCGTATTGGGTAAACCAATGCTCCCAGGGGTCTATCCCGGGTTGCCAAAGATGCGAGTTTAAGTCTCGCCCTGGGTATACCTCCACCCAGGTAGTTCAATGGAGAACGTTGGCATCCAGGGATATTCACCTGGGCGTATTGGGTAAGCCAATGCCCCCAGGGGTCTATCCCTGCTTGCCAAAGATGCAAGTTCAAGTCTTGCCCTGGGCTCACAACCACCTACCCAGGTAGTTTAATGGAGAACGTTGGCATCCAGGGATATTCACCTGGGCGTATTGGGTAAGTCCAATGCCCCCAGGGGTCTATCCCTGCTTGCCAAAGATGCAAGTTCAAGTCTTGCCCTGGGCCAACAATCAACTACCTAGGTAGTATCCATGTAAAACGTCGCCGGCTTGGTTGTGGTTGGTGCAGGTGCCTGGACCTCAAGCCGGCTTTGCCCGCCCCGAGATCCATCTTTCTGAATGACTCAGAACAGCTGGCTGTTCTAGGCAGTGCTCACTGCCTTTGCTCGGAGAGAGCGGAGTGTTTCCAGATCATTCTTTCCGAGTAAGTCAGCTTTGCTGACACCACCGGATCTCTGGAACATTCTTGGTGACTCACCCCTGGATGAGGCTCGGGCTCGTGCCTTCCCGGTTTGCTCCGGTTGTCAAGCAGGTATCGGAGGAAGGTGCCGTGGACGTCAAAGGTCCCGTATGCGTAATAGCTTTGGCGGATGAATAGGTTACCCGTCAAAGAGTTCCGGCAGCCTAAACACACTTGAACAGTAATCTCATGCTAGGAATAAAATCGTCTCCATCATGAGTAGAAGTTTTTAATCGCCGGCTCTGAACTTTGCTTGCGATCTTCAGAAAGATTATCAGTGTCAGCGTCAGGTATCGAGCAGGGTAAGGCAGGAAGTCAACAATCAGATACCTTTTTCATGCACTTTACGCTCCGAACTCATAGTTAACTAAAAGCGGCCCTGCTAGATATATTATCGTAAAAAGACGGAGAGAACAAAACCCACCTGGTACCTCATGCAGAGGAAGAGGGTTCACTCTTTCCCAGTGGCTGCACGCAGCATAGTCGCCGCTGGAGTTGACCACACTACTCTCCCTCTCTGACTGAGCTTGAGTGCTGTTTCTTCAAAGAGCCTGTAGCAGGGCTGAGAATGGTCAAGGCTGCATGTATGCTGATTCTGTATGTCTCCTGTCTCTCGTTTTCCCTGCTTTGCTCTGGTGGTTGAGACTTTTGTCCCGAGCCGGATGCAAACACTTTTCAATCAAGGATCGACGGGAGGGCGGTCATGGTGTAGGATAAATAGTATAAAACAGCCGCAGAATCAACTACCTGACGAGGTGGTTGAATTGGGAACCGTGGCCGTCCTTTCCTCCATTGTACGGCCGAAATCTCGCTGGACATCTTTGGTAGGTCGAGATCAAGTAGCTTGGGTAGGGTGGCTATCAACGTTAATTCCGCGACGCCATCGCACCAAGTCCCAAATACCTAGGGGTATATGTACTTCTAATAAGCTTCCACATTAACAAATAGACTGGATAGCACAATGGTCAGAGTGTTGGTCTCAGATCTCAGGTTCGGGTCGCTCCCGGACACTCGACGGAGTGCTTTGCCAGCCGGGGACCTAGCAAAGGTTGAGGCAGAGCGGAGTTGAGAATGATTATCAGAGATGCAGGCTCGATTCCTGCTCCGGTTGTTCTCTTTCTTTCCCCTCCCTTTGTTTATAGTTATTGGTAAGGCGTTTTTGTCAAACCCAGCGGCTACGAGGCGTCTTCTTGTCTCCCTCTTTTGAAGCGGCAAACTAGTAAGTCCATCAAGGGATTGCAAACTCTCTGGTACGCTGTAAAGAGCCCTTAATAGTCTCTTTGAATATATTTGCGTTGCTTGACAGAAGGATATTGTATGGTTCAGGTCTGGAGCCGGGGATTGGAGGTAGAACTTGGTTAAGATCACGTTTCATCCACGCCACTAAAACATCGCCAGTCGCACAGTCTCGAGTACAACTACCGCGGCTTATATCTGAAGCCAAAACAAGTATTGCTCAATAACTGGACAAGTCCGAGAAGAGGTACTGGGGAAACCACTGCACTGCCTGTGGGAGAGGAGGATGGCTCTCTCTCTACATTGTATCTACCTAAGCAAGGGATCTCCCGAATCCTGTGAAGTTTTCTTCCATGGACAGTACATATCTATCCGTTACAACGTTCACCATACTAACACAAAAGGCCAGGTAGCTTAATGGTAAAGCGTTGCTCTCTTGCTGAGGATCCTCAGACCAACCTTGTTCAAGTCAAGGCCAGTACTCTAAGCCAGTGCAGACAAGCTGCAACTGGTTTTCCTCTGGAGATTCAGCAAAGCTGCAGGTTCGATTCCTGCTCTGGCTATTCCTTTTTTTTTAAAATATACTCGACCTCCACTATGCCGCGGGTCTCGAGGACTTGCTCAATGCCTTTCGCTGTATGGTTGAAGCACTCCACTGCACCAAGGTCGCGTAAAGGAGAAATAGAAGTCTCGGTCTTTATCATTACAACTTCAGGATCTCTTTGGGCACATGTATTTATGTCAAGGACGTTAATAAGGCCGACTAGGTCGGGCGAGTAGGTGTTTACAACAGTCCAGTCCCTGGATCCGGCCAGTTGTGCAGCTTCCCTGATCAAGCGATACCGGCAGCACCCCCGCCATTGTACAAAACCAGCTACCCGTGTCCCAGGGTATGAGTATATCGCTCAGAAACATGTCTCCCAGAGTAACAAATGGCCGGGTAGCTTAATGGTAGAGCGTTGCTCTCTTAAGGGCCCCATCTGGGTGAAGGTAAAAGCTTCCTCGGAGTCCACGGGGCTTAGTATTACGGTATTATCTGTGGAGGCTGTTACGTGGGACGTGGCTGGCAAAGCTGCAGGTTTGCTTCCTGTCCTGGCCGTTCTTTTTTGTTTTGTTGTTTTTGTCTTTCTGTGCTAGAGACGTGCTGTCTGTCTTACGCTGGTCTAGTACTACCGAGGAAAGGTCTTACCGGAATATCCTTGATTTAGCAAGCCTGAGCCGCTGTATCACTGCGTAAAGCAAGAAGCAAGAGCTTTCTTAGAAGAGCATAATCGTTTTGCTGGAAAGGTAAGATTGGCGTGGTTGACTCTTGACTCCGTTGCCATGGTGGTGAGTCCGGTAGTGACATCTTGCATCCACATGTGCCAAGACAAACTCAGCCAGATAGCTCAATTATGAAGCGGTGGAGGATTTCAGAAGCCCCTAATCTTGGTAGAACTGAAGTCGTATACTGAAGATGTAACTTTGTGTCCCGCTCTGTCTGTTGCTATTAATGTTTTGGCCGAGCGATGGCTTGCCCCCGGCCTGCAGAACTAAATCTCTTCTTAGCTATAGTGCCTTGACTTCCCGTAGCCGACAGCATCAATGGCAGCAGACTGAGCGCCTGCCCAATATATAAGAAGCTTCAATTCCAGGTATCTTCAGGGCTTGGTGGTGCGGCGTCCAGGAACATGCCATGCCTACGAACGTACAGCGCGTACCCCGGAGGCGAAACACTGACAGCTAGTTCTATAGTTGATGTACTGAATATACCTCTCAGAAACTCTAGTACTAACACAAAAGGCCAGGTAGCTTAATGGGAAAGCGTTGCTCTCTTGTGGTGAAGTATCAACAAACTGACAAAGTGTCGGTAGATACATAGCACTACTACCAAATTGCAGACAAGCTGCACTGGTTTTAGGGAGGTCTAGTCTAGCAAAGTTGCGGGTTCGATTCCTGTCCTGGCAAATATCTTTTTTACTTCATTTACAAGTTGTCATTTATGCTACACTCTGGAGTAGTGCCGCGCTGGTCTAAATTGTTGAGCAGATATCCCACTACCGTAAGATGCGTGCTTGATTTTGTCTATGGTGCTTTGGCAATTGCACCAAGGCTCAATCTAGGTACTAAGTAGAAAGCGTTGCATGGTGGTGGTATATATCATATCGTATCTGTCCCCGCTGGCGACCTGTCGCGGCTTGGCTACAGTTCAAATTTCAGAGGAACAATCTTGCCCGGGTGACTTCATCGTCCGGAACTTGTGGCCTAGGCAGCGCTACCTCGCCAATCCATGTGTATCTTTCAGAATTCTTGAGTAACGCATCTGGTCAGGTGGCTCAACGGTAGAGCATGGTTTCAGCCGCTCTGAGCCTGGGTACCCAGTGGCGAGGGTTGTCTAGGAACATTAAAC